GTGCGTGGGGGTTCGGTGGTGGCACCCGTCAGCCATCATCCTTGTGTTCACTGGGCACTGGGCTGTGCCCTTCCGCAGAGCCCGCAGGAGCATCGTGCGTGCTCTCGGACTCGGCTTCGTCCTCACTGCCAGAGTTGAGCTCACGTTCTACGAACCGAGGGTTCGAACGATTGTCTGGAGAGGCCGAGGGCGACGGGCTGCGGCGCTTGCTTTCTCGCTTGTCCACAGCCGCGTCACCCGAGGAACAGATCGCCTCGGAGGCCACCTGAGTAGCCTCCTTAAGTGCCGAGCCTTTGCCGTGAGGCTTAGTGCTCTTGGCTTGCGCCCTCCCGGCAGCAGCCTTGGAGCGTGTCTTCGCACCGCTCTTTGCAGTGCCACGAGGCATGGTAAACGGTCGAAGTGGAGACCTAGAAGAAGAGCGCACAAACTGCTGCTCCAGGCTCTAACTGTGAAGTGAGCCTCCGCCGCGCTCGCGCGGCCAAGTCGATGGTTTTCGACTTGAAGAATGAAAGTTTGTGACGAACACCTCTTCATTCTGATTGGTCGGTAAACCGAACCTAAGTGGGGGGGTGTAACGGGGTACGTATCCCTAAGTGTACCCTGGTTACATGAAGTGTGACACGTCGTACTTCGGGATATTTGGTACAAAGTACCAAGATCGTTCAAAGCCAACTATTGGTTAACGACATTGCATTTCTAAAGGTGACTTATAGTTTGTATTAAACCCAAGCTTTATCTACCTTTAAATATACAAAAATCTGCCTGAATAAGGAACGGGGTTTCAGCTAATAACCTCGCAATTTTTATATTCGGGAAAGATTTAGGGAGATGGGATAGTGATGGGCAAGGTACTGACAAAACAATCCAGGCACTGACTTTGATTTCAGTTTAAAAAATGGCGCGCAGTAGGTAATCGTTCTTCACTTCAAGCCCTACGAGCCGAGCTTCATTCCTACATTTACATTCAGCCTCACTAGCCGACTGCGTCCTCAGCACCCCCATTTCCTCCAACCGTCTCCGCCTCACCTGGCCCAAGAAGGTAGCCATCCTCGAGAAGGCTGCTCGCTCACCTAATTTGTCGTATTATGAGCTAGCTGAGTGGATCGCCTAGGCGAAGGCCCTCGGCAACCCGTACAGCGTCGACCAGCTAGCTACATTGCTCTGGTGCGATGCTGCATTGTCTAAAGCTAGCGCTTCCACGATTCAGCACTGTTGGAATAACTCTGGTCTCATTCAAAAGTCGAATCTTCAATTTATCCTAACTTAATTCAATACATGCACATGATCCGATATCATAGTCTGTTTTTAGCAAGGCATTGTCAGCTTATGCAATCTCTTTCTTAATTTATATCAGGCGTTCCTTATTCAGGCAGATTTCTGTACTCAGTTTACATTCTACCTTAATTAGGTCACTTCGCTCTCTTTTGAATAAAGAGGGGACCAGTGAACTGCCGTTACTGAGAGTTTGTATACTCTCGGAAGCTAACTTCCTCTAGCGCAAGGTGCTGTGTGACCCCGTCACATTCAGCATACGCTCGAACGCGCCCATTCCGGTAGTACGCGCTTTTTGCGTGTTTGTACATGTAGCGATATGTGCGGAGAGGCTCATACTGGTTGCTGTCTGTCTCTTCTGCTTTTTGCTAACTGGACATGACTGGTTGAGTGTACCGCTACACTACTGTTCAATTGTAACCTAAAGTAGGAGGTATACCGCATTGTCGGAATCACAGAAACATTGACGTATTCCTTACACGACTTAAATTCAGTATTGGTTTCTAAATATTTAGCTCTAGCTTGAGGACAAAGTTTGCAACCACTTAAGTTAAAAAAAACTGTAGAAATAGAAACAGGACTTTCTAAAAAAAGTCCTCCCACACCCTGTTTTTATGAATGGCGATATATTAATATTAAAGGTTTTAAAACCTCAATATGGTGCGAAGTTTGTCCATGGTTTGGTGGCCGACAACAAATGATGTAGTCACGCTGCTAGTGACGCCGTGACGTTGTGCCAACAGAAGCTTTTAGTGGCAAGTAAACAGTACCTTTGTCCAAATCCAATGCTTCGAAGCAGGTTTTATAGCGGAAACAAACCTCAATATGCGAAATTTGTCCATGGTTTGGTGGCCGACAACAAATGATGTAGTCACGCTGCTAGTGACGCCGTGACGCTGTGCCAACAGAAGCTTTTAGTGATAAGTAAACAGTACCTTTGTCCAAATCCAATGCTTCGAAGCAGGTTTTATAGCGGAAACAAACCTCAATATGGTGCGAAATTTGTCCATGGTTTGGTGGCCGACAACAAATGATGTAGTCACGCTGCTAGTGACGCCGTGACGCTGTGCCAACAGAAGCTTTTAGTGGCAAGTAAACAGTACCTTTGTCCAAATCCAATGCTTCGAAGCAGGTTATATAGCGGAACAAACCTCAATTTGTGCGAAGTTTGTCTAACGGTTGGTGGCCGACAAAAATGATGTAGTCACGCTGCTAGTGACGTCGTGACGCTGTGCCAACAGAAGCTTTTAGTGATAAGTAAACAGTACCTTTGTCCAAATCCAATGCTTCGAAGCACCAGGCTTGGGATTGTAGACTCTACAGTACTGGTAATACATGTACATGTAGAGGCATCTTATCATTGCATGCAGTTGTTCTCCGGTATGCTCGCATTCTCGGATTGCAGACGACAATAGTCATTGAAATACGTCGGATCAAACTGCTATTAATACTACCGGCAGTGTGTCTTCTCGGTCAGGCGTGCTTCGCTTCCTAATCTAGATGTATAATAGTGGCGAAGCCTTGTGTGCCGTCGATTGTGATACAGTAAAACATGGGCAGATGCTACTGCTACCGGAAAAAAACATTGAATCACAAAGCGTGTTTTTTATCATGTCCATGTAATACTACTAACAGCCGACAATTATTGACACGGTAGCACCTCGCTCGCCCATTCTCAATGTCTAGATTTAGAGATTTATCTTCCGCCGCGCTGTTCCTCGATGTAGCTGGTGCACATGCCCAAGTATCGAAGGCGAAGGTACGGCACTAGCTCGTACAGCACCTTGTTCCACGGAGTACGGCCAAGTGTGAGCTCCAGGATGACCAAACACCACAGACCACAGCTGTCGTTATCTTCTTGTAGGCACGATGTGAACTTGTAGTAAATGAGCTCAGAGTTCAGCGACAGCAGCGGCTCAACAACTTCCTTCACGGCAGCCTCCAACTCATTGTAAGATGCTGTTCCTTGCTGAGGGTCAAAGAGACGGCAGGTTTGGGCTCGTACGTCGATATGGTAGGCTACCCAGTGCACTCCTCCAATATTCAGCACCCCAATTATCTCCGTGTTCGTTCCCGAGAACGCGTTGTAAGCATTTGCAACTTTGCGCTTTCTGTCGGGCTCCTTCATGCCTGCAAATGATGGACTCACAACTCCAGTTTCACCATACTTGATTGCGAGGGCGTGCGTGGCTGTAAGAATGGATGTTGTCGAGAGCCATTGACAACGTCGAAAGCTCAGCAAGCGGAATATCTGATCATTCCGTTTCTTCACACTTGATGTCGAGCGAACGATAAACCGCTGGTTTGTTTGCGCTGAAAATGCGTGAAGCTCAGAATGAAAGCGCTCCCATGAAAGCCAGCGAGATGGAAATTGCTTCAGAAACCCAACACAAGAATCCGACGGAAGAGAGAGAAATCTGGAGGGCATCCCTGCATTTTCAAATGGCTTCACTGAACTATTTACCTTTTCCGGTAGGCCACCCTGTAAATTCATCGGTAGAACACCTTGTAGTTTTTCCGGGTGATCCAAGTGTAGGGTTTCCTGTTGTCCTCCCTGTGATTTTTCCGGGTGCTCGATCTGTAGTCTCTCCGTTTGGTCCAACTGTAGATTGCTTTGTGTCGGGGGCTGTTGACCTTCATCGTCCGACGATTCACTTATTCCAAAATAATGTCTCGCTTCCTTGTCTGTGCTGCATGTCAACACTTCAGCCGGGGGAGACACACATGCTGCTTCGTCGTCGGCACTGATGTCTTCATCGGCACCTGCAATGTCGTCTCCAGCATCCAACACGTAATCAGGGTCACGGCAGTCATCCGGACTTTCCGGGGACTCCTCCCCAATGCCATCCAACTGATCTGGTTGCTTCGTACGGGGTGACGCCTGCGTCTTGCTTCGCTTGCACGCGCGAGTTACGGGAAGCGGAGGAGCTTCAACTGCTCCAGCAGTATAGCGAGCTGCGTACTGCTCTCGTTTCTTCGTAACAAAAGCGCGCACCTCCGCTCGAGACATAGAGGTGTGTACTAGCTCGAATGAAGCAAGCTGCGTAGCTTCCTCTAGCGCTTGACACCGCTTGGTCTCCGATTTCCCTCTTTGCTCAACCTTCTCTCTTTGGGCTCGTAGCTGAAGCAAGTGCGCTCGCCCCTCCAACAGCGTGTCGCTTCCCCCTTCACTCTCGTCGCTCTAGATTCGAGATCAGTTACAGCATGTAATCGTCAGCGCCACTACAAGAGACCAAAGAAGCAGATACAACTTACCATTAGCCTTCCTCTCCCTTGTTTGCTCGCTTTGCTGGCCAGTTTGGTGAATGGCTGGAGGATCTCTAAAATTCTGAAAGCTGCTTTCCCATCTCAAAGTTATTCTAAGCGCATGTCTCAGGATATAAATGCAGATCGCACACTGGTGATACCGGAAATTACACCTTTTGCTACCGCTTTGCGGTAGCAGTAGAACTTCTCGTAAAACATGCCTCCTCGTAAACAAACAGATTGTTGAGACAATGAAATTATGCTACAAGTACCGGTATAATAGCGTGCTGTATCCTATGTCAAAATCCCATTACCGGTGCATACCGACGATGCTCGGCTTGAGTTTGAGTCACGTTAAATAGTTGTGTGTAAACATCAACCTTGCACTGTACCGGTATCTACCTGTCGCTGCGCTGGTTGTTGGCATTCCTGTTTCGTCCTCGTCAAGCGCACCCCGTATTATCCCTGGTGAATTATTGTCGATGGTTTCCTTATTCGCGACGGTTCTTCTGTGCGTAGCCTCGGTTCTGGTTTCAGCAACTCGTGCGACGGCCAAATCGACTTGCACTCTGAGTGACTCCGAAGCATGTCCGGTTGAAAGTTTTTCGTCGTTATCCGACGATGGTAGCGTACTTGTATACCCAGGAGGTAACACGCGTTGCGCCTTCGACAACTACCAAGACTCTGTGACGGGGTTTACGACGAACTCCACGTACTTCTTCCAGGTGTTTCCAAACACGAACCAGGACAAGTCCAAGCTGCTGATTTTCTTCCAAGGCGGAGGTGGCTGTACCGATAACAATACATGTGCCTTCGGTTTGGAGTGCTCACTTGCTGAGAACGCGCTGTTTACCACCGTTGCTACGGTTCGGGGAGCTGGAGTTATCGATCGATTCAAGGAGGACAATATGTTTAAGGAGTGGAATGTGGTATTCGTGCCATACTGCACGGGTGACGTTCACGTTGGGAGCAGAGTTCTTCCTGCATTCGAGAGCGGCATGGAGCAGCAATTAGGCAATCCACAGTGTCTCGGAAGAGATTTTCCCATGTACCTGAACGGATACAACAATTCCAAGGCAGCGCTGGACTGGGCACTTAAGAACTTTCCGGATGTTGACAATCTCGTAGTTGGTGGTGCAAGTGCTGGATCGCTGGGCGCCCAGTTTTGCAGTGCTCACATCGCCGACATGTGGAATGTTGATGTCAAAGGCACGCAGTTTTCAGTCATGGCAGACAGCTATGTCGGAGTCTTACCAGCACGTCACCCGGTCAGGCCTCGGACAATACAATACGAAATTGTACTGCAAGACATCGAGTCCCATAATAATAACGGGAATATGATGAAGTACAATAATAATAACGGGGCCAATATAAGTATATTGTGGCCTCTAACTACCAAGTCTTCCTACTCATTGGCGACGAGCGAAGTCGCGTTCCACATGTCGCGGTTCACGCGAAGAAATGCTAACATCTCAAAGTTTGCAGAAAGCATGCATGACCGCTGAGGCGTCAGAATGAGCTTGCACTGCGAAAACAGTCTTTCAACTGTGTTCGAGGTGGGCGGCACCACCTTTGCCAGCTCATGAAAGTTCACACCCGCAGCACCAGCCGCTCGCATCTGCTTCCCCCCTCGTAGAATTGCGCTGGCGTAATCGCTCGTCGAGCGCTCCTTCCTCTTACCAGTTGCAGCATCTGGCTCCACCACCAATCGCTGGACTGCGCGCGACTCAGACGCAGTGAGCTTCGCATTGTTGCAAATCTTGACCAAAGCTGCCTCAAAGGCCGGCGCATGGACGATCTTCGCCGCCGATCGCAGATGGCTCGCCATAACTGGGTAGTCGTCAACAACCTGGTCGAACAAAACACGCACGTCCGCCATGCTGGTGTCCTCGCGCTGGAGTGTCTTGCAGACACTATCGAGTTTCTTGAGGTGCTCTAGCAGGCCGAGAAGCTTCTTGTGGGCCGCACCTTTTGGGATGAGCTCGCCAGCACGCGCTTGAACATCTCGATGTGCACTTCAGCATCTTGGCTGCCGTCCTCCAGCGGTGACAGCGACAGCAGTCGCTCACGGCGCTTGCCGTCTGCGTAGCAAACACCGTAGATACCGACGTAGTGCGTGGTACCGTGCGTCCATCCATCCCACATGACACCAAACAGCTTGCCCAACTCGCTTTCGATCAGCACACCAACGCTCTCGGAGCACTTCTTCATGTCTTCCTTCAACCTCTTGGACGAAACGGGCTTCCAGGACGACATGGACCTTGTGAGGTGGTTGTCGACCTCGGAGACGGGCATGTGCCTCTCTACGTCCCACTGAAGCCACTGATAGCGATGCTGAGTCGCCTCGGACACGAACCCAAAGTTGGACAGGGGGGCGTCCGTAGCCGCAGATGCGCTGTAGGTCTCGTTGAAGTCGGGGTGCGTCAGGTTGAGGTGGGACATCAGGCTCGAGTACCCGGTACCGGTTTGCTGCTTGCGGTAAGAACCGCAAAGCTGACAGCGGAAGTCGCCTTGGCCCTTGTCTTCGTAGAAGAATGCGCAGATATCACGGTTCGGAGCCATCGTGGTCAAATGAAAAGTGAGGGAGTGCTGTGAGGCTTCGGCTCGTGCTCGTGTCTGTGCACGACCGTCAACCACTTGAACGATTGGCGCGAAGAGCTAGTTGCCTCTAACATATTGGTATAAACCGGTATTGTACTGATATTATTGGATCAATATCATATTATATTGACTTTGGACAGATCCAATAATAATAATTGTAGCCGGATAATACAGTAATTACGGGATTGATATTATTTTTCCCACCCCTGCACCCGGTACCTGAGCTGGTAGATTACTTTGGCGGCTGTGAGAGCGGACTTGCCTTCCGTTCGGATATTGCGGTGATCTGTAGTACAGAGAATGCGACAACGATTGATCTTGTTGAAGCACTTCTTGAAGACAAACCTGAGACCAAGTGGCTTTTCATTAACAGCAAAGGTGATACGGTCCAGCGTTATTAACTTACTACGCCCTAGTGGACGAGGGAATCCAAGGTTACCCGTTCCCGAATCTTATGTCGGAAGATGACCTTTACAAGAACATGTCAGTGATCATAGATGCGTACCAAACCAAAAGCCCACGCATTACCACATTTCTCGTTGAAGGTGACCATCACGTCTTCCTGATGGACAAGAACTTTACAAGTTACAAGAGCGACAAAGGACAGCTTCTCGGTGACGTTATCAATGAGTGGCTACCGGTATCATTTAACTCGAGCTCAAAGTCTACAATAATGGAAGCAGCCCCAAGCACCCCAGCATTCGATGGGAAAGCGGGCGTTCAATGACAAGCACTTCCACGCTCCCTCAACCACAAATCGAGTTCTTTGAGTGCTGCTTATCAGCCCTAAAACGAAGGTACTGAATCGTGGGTGTACTGTACTCGATATCCTGCATTGAATTTAGCTCGGAGATCGAGACTAATTACAGCAGTACCCGGTACTTAATATTATATATTTGGTTTGTGCAGAGAGGTTGTACTGTTTGCCATTCAATGTCAACAGACAAATCTATCTACTTCACGATGTTTTCGAAGTACATCATGTACTGTACATGTACACAGTTTCAACTGTGGATGGCTATTCTCGGCACAGGAGGTATTGTTTTGGTGGGTTTCCGTGCAGTTAAGACAAACTGCAAAAGGTCGGTTGCAAGCACAATGAAATTAAAGCTGTAGCCAAAAGGTTGTCATTATATAAACTGTGCACTAATGCAGCAAATGGCTAAATACTCTGGTGCTGCCGAGAGATAAACGACGCACACTCTGCGATGCAGTGTGCAGGAAGGCATGGTTTGTAACAAATTTTATCGTACAAAGTACTGCTTGTAAAAAGGCTTCATTGTTTTTTAGAGATGTTATCCTATATTGTGCTTTTGTCCTTTCAGATTTACTCACTCTCCGGATGCTAGCTAGGGTAAATAGGATATAATCCCCGTAATAACGGTCGATGAATAGGACAAAATGGATGGTGATTACAATAACATGTAAATCGGAGCTTACCCAAATTGTGAAAAGATGACCCCGATTCAAATTTAGGGACCTACAATGCCCAGTCCTAATTTCGGACATGTCGCTTAACAACGAGCCCGAAATTAAGACTGGGCATTTACAAGGAAAAAAAATACATGCAGTCAGGCATTGTGGAACAAGATCAGTGGCAAATCCAATCGCAAGTCGCTGCGTCTCGACACTTTCCTCTAACCCTGACTGCTGCAGTCACTACAGTAATAGCTTATAATTATAAGATGTGACAAGAAATTATTCTCCGGAGTTTAATGCCGAAGTTGAGATGGGCAAATACGGGAACCAACATTTTATTTCTAACTAAGGGTATTCTTGTTGTGGGGTGGCTCAGCCTGGTGTACATTCGAAATGGTGCATTTACAGATGCCAGCCGACCATCCTCAATTTTCAAGCTACACTGTATTAAATAGTGGCGATATTTTATTTCTGTCTGCGGGTATTCCGAAAGCACTGCTTTAAGCACCTTGTACTGTACATGTATTATTAATAATACAATGTAAATGTAATATTAGCTGTCATATGTATGAATGGAATGATACTTACCGGTAATGGCACCTTTTCATACGGTATGTAATGCACAAGTATAAAGCGAGTCGCTACATACTCTTGCAAGAGTCAGACTTGTCTGTTACTTAGTTAAAAGAGTTAAGTTAAGGTACAGTACAAGATGTCTGTAATGCGCTACATACTCTTGTGAAGCGGCCCTCTTCATTGGAGAGCTTTCAAGAGGGGGTGCCGTAAGCGGAGACCCACTCGTCTGCCATCGTACGAACGAATCGTTAGGCAACTAATGTACGATACTGTATGTCCCTTTCGTCTTGGTCGCAGATCTCGATTTTGTCGACGACTGGTACTACTTTACAGTACTGAACATGTATGATACATGTACTTCGGAAATGTGTACCATGGTGTACATGTACATGTATCTAGTATTTGATCTCTTCGAATCGAAGTACTAGTACTTCAAGTAAAATTTATACATGTACATGTACTTCGATTCGAAGTGATCACAGGCAGCTTGTCGTCCATGATGGAGTCCACACTGTCCATCATGGACAGTGTCAGGAAGGTTGGGAATGAGCAAGAGGGGTCGTGGAATCCACGACACTGTGGATGTCTACAGTGCATGTACATGTAATTTCATGCACACAGCAATTTTAATCTACAAAAGGCGGTGCCACTACCTGACACAGCCCTGAATACTGTGCGGTACATGTTACTTAAGTATGATTTACAAGTATTAATACACTTGCAGCATCGGTACAGTACTGTACTACATGTATTTAATATTAAAACAAGACATCAACGTGACAAATCTAATCTTCTCAACAATGTTGAAATGGGTCCGACAAACCAAGGAGTTAATTGAACCACGACTCGCTGCTGTCTTGGCGTCGCGGTGTCTACGCCCCATGCATGTCAGACAGGCGTTTCCCGGGCTTTCCCATAGGATCTCGCATTGCGAGATCCTATGGGAAAGCCTTGCGGCAAGACATCCCAAAAGGAATCCCATTGGGATTCCCATCGCGCGAGCACCAACCACGCTCCGTCTTCGAAGCTCCGAGAGTCTGCTCAGTTTGGAATCTGCCCCCTCAAGCAGACGTCTTCAACCCCGGCAAGCTCCTGAACTGTCTGATCTCTTCAACATGTTCGGACTCACCTTCTCGCGTTGGTACCTCTTCGGCGCAGCCTTCGTCGTGCAGTTCTGCATTGGCTGCATCTACTCCTGGTCGGTGCTCAACCACCCCATCGACATGGCTGTCTATGACAATCCCACGAAGGGGCGTGCAGTGAACGCCTTCTACATTGCTATCGGTGTCTTTGGCGTCGCGACTTCTCTAATGGGCTCTACCATCGAACGCAAGGGCCCCAGGTGGGGTGTCTTCATTGGCACAACATTGTTTATGATCGGCCACATCGTCACGGCTCTCGGAGTCCATTACACGTCCATCGCCTGCATCTACGTCGGCTACGGCGTCATCACTGCCACGGGTATGGGCATGTGCTACATTTCGCCCGTGTCAACACTTCAGAAGTGGTTCCCCGATTACCGTGGTACTGCCGCTGGTTTCGCTGTTGCTGGTTACGGCGCCGGCTCCGTTGTGTGGAGCAAGGTGTACCTGCCCACCATTGACGCTGTGGGTCTTCCCTGGATGTTTGTCCTGCTTGGTGGCATTATGAGCGTTGCTATGTTTACTTCTGCCCTGGTTCTTCGAGTGCCTCCCCCTAACTACACTGTCAATGGCCTCGACATCCACGGTGACCGTGTCGACGAGAACATTCTGGGAGAGAAGCTTGACGGCAGCTACAGGGCAGTCCAGACGCCCACTGGCGCGGATCACGAGGTCTCAGCCAGTTCGTCAATCAAGAAGCTGACGCTCAAGCAGGCCCTTTTGACGCCCGACTTCGTTTTCATGTACCTCATGTTCTTCGCCAACCAGCTTTTCGGTGTCATTGTGCTGTCCCGCCTCTCCAGTATGTGTACCGACATCTTCAACAAGAGCGCCGGCACTGCTTCTGATATTGTGTCTATCAACAGTGCGTTCAATTGTTGTGGCCGTCTTGCCTTCCCCGCCATGTCGGATGTGCTTGTCCGCTACCTCAAGATCGAAAAGACGTTTGCCCGCAAGGTGCTGTACTACTTCACTCTGGGTGCCCAGGTTATCGTGATCGGCTCGCTACCTACGATTATCCGCCACGACAGCTACACGCTCTTTGTGATTGAGATCTTCGTGCTAACGTGCAGCTACGGTGGTGGATTCGGTACTATTCCGGCTTTTGTCGCGGACATGTTCGGCGCCTACAACATTGGTCCAATGCACGGTATCATTCTGACGGCTATGGCTATTGGCGGTGTCGCCGGTGGACTAAGCTTCAACCACGCGTACAACGACAAGATTGCTGATGGCATGCCTGTGGGCGAGGCCTACATTGACAACATTCAAGGCATCTTCGTTGTTGTGTGCATTGGTTTCGCTGTGCTGTTCTTGGTGCGCACGACTGCCAAGGACCGCTTCGAGCCAGGTTACCACTATTCCGTTTGCGGCAAGCGCGTGATTAGCATTCAGCCCAAGGAGAAGGATGTGATGAAGCAGCAGGAGGCTGAAGCCGCCACTGCCGCTGAAAAGCTTCCTGAGACTGCTGTGTAAAAAAGTAAAGCGTCTATAAATTTAAATAATAAGTACGCTCTACTATCGTCCAATAATATCTTGTCGTTCTCTTAGTGCGGATGCACAGTACTTCAAAGTACTACGTAGTACATGTAGCTGTCAATTTGGAAAAAAAAATTGTCTAATGAACTCGTTACTGGTACAGACATTCACTTGCTGCCAGTCAGCAATGCCTGCAGACTGCATTTACAATTTGTCCTATTATTAATAGTACCGGTACTGGGATAAAGCCATCGTCAGTTTTTAGCCTAAGTTAAACAGTTTAAAGGGAAATGCAATCATGACTTTTTTTACTGTTACATGTACTGAAGTTCGCTCTGCACAGCTCGTCTTGTCGCGTGCAACTCGGCGAGTCACGCCTTGGTGGCCTGTTTGTGTGAATTGGACCGCTGCCGACGATTTGAATTGCCGAGCTTACTCGCGATGGAGCATTTTTGTCGAGCGGTACCATCACGACAGGAAACATCCGTTTTTCACAGATAATAATTTCGGACTCTTTCCAAAATTCGGGAGCACTTACCGAATTTAAAAGGGAGTGAGTAGTGCACCCAACTTAGCGTCGTAAATCGCGACCAGATTTTCCCCTACCCCAGAAGAGGCCCGGTCGACAGAAATGTCGATATCCGTCAAGTAAGTATTCGTGTATATCATTGTCAACTACCACTCATTTCGAAAGTGAGGGGGGGGGACAGCGAGAGCAGCATGGAAGTCACTAGCGCGGGCTGCTGCGCGTCAAATGCAGCCGGTGCTGGAGGCTTGGGGGGCCCGTGAAGCGACCGCTCCGAGCCTCAGTGTATCGTGTGTAGCGATGAGGAGTGGATAGATTCAACTGAGGAGTCGTCGGCCACTTCCAGCACAGTACACACGGATTCGAGCGACTCCACATCGCAAACAGCACAGGCACCACCCCTTCAGCGCACTCAATTTGATTCTTGGGAAGACCTGGAGGGCTACCTTCAACAGTATTCAAGGGAAACGGATCAGGTACACTTGACTGTATTTGTTATCGTTGCTAGCCAGGATTCACATTACAAGTGGCATAACTACTGATGGATTGTTTGTTTATTGTGTCGAAATAGTGTTTTAGAGTCCGGACGAAGAACAAAGTCGAGGTCCGGAACAAAATAATCCGAGCAAACCCCGGCTTGAAGCAGCCAATTCTTCCGGATGAATGAATTTACTACGGCAAGACATTTGTATGTACCCATGCTGGTAAGTACAAGGCACGAGGATAGGGGATTAGGAAGCGACAGCAGTCGAGGTCTATTGAATGCGATGTGCAGGTGCGATATATGTAGTTTCTTCGAGTTGGGTCTCAGTTGGGTACCATTGTATCAGTTGGGTGTAATTTGGGTGGTAGATTGTCTAATGGCATGCTTGTGTTGTGTACGTAGATTTGTGCTTGCGTGCAAGTAGTCGATACTACGGTACCTACACTTTCGCTGCGGATTACTTCGACGCGCTTGAAGCATAATCATCCTCTTCACAAGCACATATTTGAGCAGTACCCACATAATCGAATAGCTCTGGAACCAGAGGTCGTTGGGACAGTGACTGAGCTGCTAAAGGCTGGCGCCAAGAAGAAGCGTATGTTGCAGTACAATTTACGATCCTGGACTAGGTGTACAGACAGACTTTTACAATTGTGGGGTGGATGTGCTCCTGGTGTTTGAGCTTTTTTGCGGTGCTGAGCAACTTGGGTATCTGGACAAAAATACATTACAGCTTCTGCGATACCGCTACATACGCATGCTTATCGAAGCGTAAGGACCCAGCTGTGCAACAGCTTGTGCTGTAGGTGCTCAGCGTTCAATACACCACTACTTTGTTTTGCTTAGAGTGATGTTGCTGTTGTATTTGTTTGTATTGATTGAAAGGGATGACATGAAAATCTAACGCTCTAACTTCGCCCCCAAAGGCGCTCAGCTTCGGACTTTGACATGGCGCGCACATTCGTAAGTGTGTCTTTCCGGCTATACACGTTTGATGTATACAATTTTGCGTTGGCTTCTTGAGCTGGGCGCGTAGTTGGGAGCAGTATGGGGGTTTGTTTGGCACTAGCTAGGCTCGTATTAGGCGAGATGGTTGCAGCAGCCTCGTCACATATTTTTCAGTTGGGTGCAGCAAAGAGTGCCAATTTAAAAAGGAGATGCAAAACAAAAGCGACATCGCCGCCAATCCACACGATCGAGGCAATCAAATTCCCAACCACTGAACCGTTCAGTGAACGGAGCAGCAAATGTCTAGGCTGCAGCAGCATTCCTTACATTTTGTGGCGCTGTCCATGATTTGCAGTGTGACCGCAACCACCGCCGCGGGCGTATACTGTACCGGTACTCCTTGATATTAATTTAAAGTTGGTAACAACAGTGTTTTGCTTTAAAATTCGGAAAAAAAAGTATCTGTTTTACCAGTAACAGTTTTACCTACATGAAACTTTTTGTGTAACTCGTTCAGGAAGCCCCTTCACATGTACATGTACCCCGCCCCCCCCCCCCCCCCCGACAACCACTCGAGACAAGTCTCTACTAGAGAGACTCTTTAGGTGAATGCAGTGCATTATGCACCCACTCAGTTTGAAATCGGCCGCCCGACGCAGAAGTCCTCACTTTATCCAGTCGACTGTCCTCAATCACAATGCTTGGACTCACGTTCTCGCGTTGGTACCTGTTCATCGCAGCTTTTGCGGTGCAATTCTGCATCGGTTGTATCTATGCATGGTCCGTGCTCAACCACCCCATTGATTTGGCCGTCTACGGCGACGCCAAGAAGGGCCGTGCAGTAAATGCATTCTACATTGCGATGGGTGTATTTGGAACAGCAGCGGCAATTCTGGGGCCCATCATTGAACGATCCAAAGATTGGGTCCATACTCTGCTTGTGCTAAGCTTAACAATTATTTTTTTATTTGGTCGTATCGGCGAATTTATGGTTGCTCTCTGGTGCTATTACTTGTACTAGCATTTTTTTTATTTGGTCGCTCGGCGAATTTATCGGTACACTCGACCCCATTTCAAGCTCTTTATTTTAAGCAGTACATGTATTAATATGTACTAAATTTGTAGCAAAGGTTGTCATGTGTAGGATTCTGTTTACAGCGTTAATCAATTTCTTTTGATTTGATTTTAATCAGAAGCTGCAGGTTGACCCGATCATTTAACTTTGCTAGGCACAGTGGGTCACCCAGCAGCCCAAACAGACAGGCGAAGTCGCTGGCTTTCTCGGTGGCAGTGCTTTGCGTACCAGCGCATCAACAACCACCCGAAGGCGCCAACCAGACAAAAGCTCAAGCTCCAAGAACTCGCTCAGTTTGGAATCGGCTACCTGACACAGAAGCCTTCCCTTTTCCAGTTGCCTGGCCTCTACTTCAAGATGTTTGGACTCACGCTCTCGCGTTGGTATCTGTTCATCGCAGCATTTGCAGTGCAGTTTTGCCTCGGCTGTATCTACGCCTGGTCGGTACTCAACCACCCCATCGACTTGGCTGTCTACGGTGATGCCAAGAAAGGCCGCGCAGTGAATACTTTCTACATTTCGATGGGTGTCTGTGGCACGGCAACGGCAGCTCTGGGCCCCATCATCGAGCGAAAGGGGCCCCGCTGGGCTGTGTCCATCGGAACAACCTTATTCATGATCGGCCACATCGTCACGGCCCTCGGAGTTCACTACAAGTCCATCGCCTGGATCTATATCGGATACGGTGTCATCACCGCTATCGGTATGGGCATGTGCTACATTTCCCCGGTATCGACACTTCAGAAGTGGTTTCCCGATTACCGTGGTACTGCCGCTGGTTTCGCTGTTGCTGGCTCCGGTGCAGGGTCCGTTGTGTGGAGCAAGGTGTACCTGCCCACCATTGATGCTGTTGGCCTTGCCTGGATGTTTGTTCTTCTAGGCACGATCATGTGCACTGTCATGTACGCCTCCGTCTTAGTTCTTCGCGTCCCGCCACCTGACTTCACTGTTAACGGTCTTAACATTCACGGTGATCGTATCGACGAGAGCGACGTCCTTGAGGAGAAGTTGAGTACTGCCTACAAGCCTGTTCAAACACCCACGGGTGCGGACCAGAAGGAGACCCTGGTTTCCTCCAAGACTCCTACCCAGCCGTTAGCGCTCAAGCATGCTGTTCTCTCACCCGACTACATCTTCATGTACATCATGTTCTTCGCCAACCAGCTTTTCGGTGTCATCGTGTTATCTCGCTTGTCCGGTATGTGTACCGACATTTTCGCCAAGAGCGCAAACACTGCCTCCGACATTGTGTCTATCAACAGTGTGTTCAACTGCTGCGGTCGTCTAGCGTTCTCGTCCATTTCGGATTTCCTCGTGCGCTACTTCAAAGTGGAGAAGACATTCGCTCGCAAAGTGCTCTACTATTTCACTTTGGGTGCGCAGATTATTGTGATCGGATCGTTGCCCACGGTCATTCGCCACGAAAGCTTTACGTTCTTCGTCATCGAGATTTTTGTACTCACATGCAGCTACGGTGGTGGTCTTGGTACGATCCCGGCCCTCGTCACCGACATGTTCGGTGCTTACAACGTCGGTCCCCTGCACGGCATTATTCTCACGTCCCTGGCCTTCGGTGCCGTTGTTGGCGGCATCACCTTCAACAACGCATACAATGGCAAGGTTGCCGACGGCATGAGCGTGGGCGAGGCGTACATTGACAACATTCAGGTCATTTTTGTTATCGTGTGTATCGGCTTTGTGGTGCTCTTTTTGGTGCGTACGAACATTGAAGACCGTTTCGAACCGGGCTACCACTACTCGCTGTGTGGCAAGCGCGTCATCAGCATTCCGCCGAAGGAAAAGAACGCTGAGCATCGTGAGCACGAGGCCGAGACTTCTGCTCCAAAGCTGCCTGAGACTGCTGTGTAAGACCCAGCCAGGTTCGTTTCAAAAATGACACTAAGTACAATGCAGTTGTTCAAGAAAGTTACTTTCATTTTCACGTCATGAGTTGTTGCGTTCAGGTCTGGTATTTCACTAACAGAAAGGGGTAGTGCTTGTAGTCAATGTCGAAGTTATACTCGCAGTAGGTGTTGTGTTGGTTGTGCTGGTTGTGCTGGCCTCAGTAGATCCCGAGTTCGTGTTCAGACTGGAATCCGAGACTAACCATGCATTGAGTACATCACCGAGCATCAGCCCCTCGTCACTCTCATAAGTCGTGAAGTTCATATCGGCCAAGAAGACGTGTTTCGTCCCTTCGACGTAGAACGTAGTGCTGCGAGCGCTGATACTTTGGTAAGTTTCTAAGATCAAGCTCATGTCTGCATAGAAATTTTCCTCAGACACCTGATCAGTGAGCGGGTAGCCTTCGATATCTTCCTCGAGAAGCGCATAGAAGTACCGCTGTGTCAGATCTCCCTAACTGTTGATGAAAAGCCAATTGCCTTGTGGTACATCTTCGATCAATGATTCTGTCATCTCAACCGTTGTAGCAGTCTCTGCGTCGCATTTTGCCATGACAGTAGCAGGCATGCCCAAATTTACGTCACATACTCCAGTGAAGTGCAGCGATTGTGATCCCGTATGATTCGCGGGCACGGCACCGACGTAGCTGTCTGCGATCACCGAAAACCGTGTGCCTTTGGCGCTGACACTCCACAATTCCGCGATGTGGGCGCTGTGAAGCTGTGCACCGAGCGAACCAGCACTTTCGCCACCTACAATGAGGTTTTCGACGTCCGGATAATTTTCCAGAGCCCAGTCCAGCGCTGCTTGGGTGTTGTTGTAGCCGTTCAAATACATGGTGTAATTCAATCCGAGACATTGTGGTTCTCCAAGGGCCTCTGCAATGCTGCTCTCGTACGGCTCCAAGATCCGGTTTCCAGCGTGGACATCCCCGGTGCAGTACGGCACGAATACAATGTTCCAATCCTTAAACGTATTGTCCGAGATGGAATGATTCAGTACACCCGCACTACTTGAGGTTGCAACTGTAGAAAGCGTCGCACTAGCCCCCAGGGAGCATTGCAAGCCAAACGAGCAGGTATCCTCGTCAGTGCATGCGCCACCTCCCTGAAAGAAAATCATCAACTTCGACTTGTCCGAGCCCCCGTTCGGAAAGACTTGGAAGAAATACGTCGAGTTCGTTGAGAACGTCGTCGCCGAATCGGTGTAGTCGTCAAAAGCACAGCGCGTGTTTCCTCCCGGGTAGATAAGAACACTGCCGTCGTCGTCGGACGGAGTGAGTGTATCCACAGCACACATTTCAGAGTCACTGAGCGTGCAGATGGACTCGGCCTTGATTTGAGGAATTGAAGCGATGAAGGCCGTAGCAACGAGCAGAGTGGAGGCGACACTCTTGAACTGCATAGCGGAGATGTTGGAGGGCGGGTGGCAAGCGATGCAGCGTTCACGAGGCTGATTGAAAAATGAGCAGGTGGGCAGTGCTCTCACGAAGCTCACCGAAAGAGAATCCATTCACCTACATCAAGCGAGAAGTTCACGCTGTCGTGCTGTTAAACGATACCTCCACTGTCCTGACAACTTCAACTTGATGTCATCAACCTGGACATTGTTTCCTTGACAATGTCAAGTTGACATACTGTACATAAAGGAATTTGAGAGCATCAAATGCGTGTCAACTTCTTGTTGAGCTGCAAGGATATTACGCAATTGTCGGAGATTGATGATCATGTCCGCCCTGCTCAGCTCGTGGTACACGTACTGTACCTCCGCATCGTCGTTTTCGGTGCGTGAGTTACCGAAGTGTTTGGAAGCAAGGTTGGATCGAAGAAGATTTGCTACAAGAGGAATCAAGATCCCGGCTCACAGAAATTAAAGTTTGCATTCAGTTGAGCCTTCTTACGAGACGGTGAACGGTCAAAAGTTTATTTCAATGCTCCTAGCACGCGCGGGGCGCGGAGGTAGCGGCAGCACTGGGTGCAGTCGTCGATAATGTAGTGGGGCTTGGAGACGTAGGCGTACTCGGGGAGGAAGACGGGGAGGTGCCTGGTGCGTCTGCTGTCGCCGGAGGAGTTGCCGTAGTTGCACCGGGTGTCACCGTAATCGGACTAGGACTTCCAGTCGGTGTCTCGGTCGAGTTTGAATTCAAGCTCGAGTTTGAGATGAGCCATTCATTGATAACATCACCTAGTAGCAAACCTTCATCGCTCTTATATCTCGTAAAGTTCGAATCGGCCAGGAAGACATGCTTCGTACCTTCCACGTAGAAAGTTGTGATACGAGAGCTTACTTTGCGGTACGAATCCAGGATTGTGCTCATGTTTGAGAAGAAATCTGCCTCCGAAATCAAGTCCGAGAAGGGATAACCCAAGATACCTTCTTCGACAAGGGCGTAGAAGTAGCGCTGAGTCTTGTCTCCTTTGCTGTCGATGAAGAGCCAATTTCCTTCAGGTTGTGCGTCCAACAGCGCATCGATCATCTCAATGGTAGTGGCAGTTCCAGCTTCGCAAGCCGCCACAATGTCCTCAGACAAACCGAAGTCGTTGGTGCATGCACCGTAGTACACCAAGAGTTCTGCTGCCGGGTGGTCTTCCGGCACGACACCGACGTAGCTATCGGCCAACACCGAGAATCTCGCACCCTTGGCGTCAACGTCCCACATCTCAGCAATCTTTGCGCTGTGGACTTGAGCACCAAGAGACCCAGCACTTTCGCCGCCAACGATGAGGTTGTCCACGTCTGGGTAGTTCTCGAGTGCCCAGTCCAGCACCGCCATGGTATTGTTGTATCCATTCATGTGCATCGCGTAGTCGTGTCCCAGACGCTGCGAGTTGCCTAGAAGTACCTCAATGCCGCTCTCGTAGGCAGCCGTGACTCGGTTGCCAATGTGAATGTCACCCGTGCAGTAAGGGATGAAGACAATGTTCCAGTCTTTGAACATGTTATCCGGTAGCGAGCGGTCAAGTACACCTGCACTGCTAGCAGTGGCTGCAGTCGAAAATGTGGCACTGGCACCCAGAGAGCACTGCAAGCCGAACGCACACGTGCCTTTATCGGCACAGGCTCCACCGCCTTGGAATAAAATCATCAGCTTCGACTTGTCCGAGCCTCCATTCGGAAACGCTTGGAAGAAATACGTCGAGTTCGTGGAGAACGTTGTATTCGAGTCCGTGTAGTCATCGAAAGCACAACGCGTGTTGCCTCCCGGGTAGATGATCACGCTGCCATCGTCGTCGGAAGGTGTGAGTGAGTCGACGGCGCACGTTTCGGAGTCGCTGAGCGTGCAGATAGACTCGGCCGCGGTTTGATGCACCGAGATGAGTGACGTTGCAGCAGATAGTACGGTAACAGCGTTCGCGAGGCGGAAGACCATTGTTTGGGGGATGTCCTGGGCAGATGTGCACCAGGCGGAGCAAATTCCAAAGTGAGTCTGTGAATTCGCAAGTAGAGCAGGCATCCTGGTCAGCCACCATCACGTCGCAAGCGCCGTGAATGGCATCCAGAGGCAACACTTGCATCACGCGTTAAACCTATCATTCCCATCCAGTCCCACGTTCGTGACACCTTTAAAAGGTCCTTTTTGCATGAACTTCAATATGTAACCCGCTTGGATTATGCCAACATCTTGCCGGGCACACTCTATAGAGTCTATAGACGGTCTATTACATGTAGACCCGCAGGCGCAAAGGACTCAGGGTGGTCGAGACTCTCGGCGAGAGGGCTGCTTGCAGCAACAGAATCAAGTTAAAAGTCCACTCTTCAAGAATTGGCTTTGCCAGGGCTTTCGTGAACTATGCTGAGCCAATTCATGTGGAGCTTGTACCAGCATATCCACGTATGTGATCCCTCTCGTTTACAGGCCAATTAAGAGCGTCAGCGATATTTCCCCCTGCGTCACTGACGCCCTGACGCCGTCAACCGGGACTTCCTCAAGCAACCATCGAGTCAGCATGATAGCTTTTGATTTGTTCTTTTTATCCAATCATCTATCGACTCAGATGTCGAAATGAATCAGTTCAGCTAAGTTATCGTCACTTTCGCGAGGCAATGAAGGCGCCCAAGGGCTACGCGATGGTGGCGGGCGCGGCGGAGCCGGCGGCGTCCCATATCGGATGCAAGGAGTACGTCATGACGGTGTCCAGTCGGCTCTACTTCTCCAGCTTCTACCGCCTCGTGTATTTCTTCATGATCGCCTCTAGCATTGTATGCGTCGCCTGGGTGAGCAATTGCAGTCTCATTTACTATATCCGTTAACACAAAGTTGCTGAGAGAGATCTAATAACTGATACGATTGCACTGTGCTTATTGCTAACGACAGACAGGGATGAATGACTGGAAGATGTATGTCTTATTAAAACCAAGAAGTGGAATAAGCGTGGGCATTCTAACGAGTCTGTTGTGTTATTATAGTCCGTCGTCAGTCGTGTTCATCTCACTGGAGATCACGGTCAGTGCGCTGTTGGTGTTCGAGGTGCTGCTGCGTATGATGGCGTTTAAGAAGGTGAGTGATGCTGCAATTGAAGTGGCAGGTACAAGGAGTAGTGAGGTCTGACTTTGCATATCATGGCAGAGATTCTGGCACAAATGGTGCAACATCTTCGACGTCGTCGCGTTAGGTGCGTTGATTTAAGTGGCGATGCTGAAGGCACTGTAACTCATGATATGCTATCTGCTCTGCAGTTATGAGCCTGGTGTCCGTGGCCATGTACTTTAACGAAGGGGAGGGCGTGTTAGGCGAGCTGGAAGAGGTTGCGGCGGATTCGGTGCTGGCCCTGCGCAATGCAGTGCAGTACGTCAGATTAGCGATTTTCCTCAAGTACGCTCACCAACTTTGATGGCTCTGTAATACTACGGCTGAACAATTGTGTTATTATGTGCAGGAACCGGTCAGATCAGCCCGCGACTATCGGCAAAGATATTGACTTCGAGGAGTTGGCTGTACATCCGGATGACGAGCGAGAAATGATGCTGAACGCGGAGAGTGGAATGAGCTTGGACAGCGATGACGAGGAGGAAATCCAGATCGTGTAGACATGCGTTAAGTGCTGGTCCTGGCGGCCTTGGTGTCATTGTGTTTATCACCTTGTTCGTTGTCATATTTTAGTGTCATGTGCACCGTTTGGTAATGCAATTCAGTGTGTATACCGCATGCAATGTGCTTTGATGATGCTTGGAACAGACAGCGCTCGTATTGAGTTATGTAAGCACACAATGTCACCTAAAAGAACAGAAGCTTCAAAAGAATGGCCCACATCATGTGCGCTCCGCTACGAAGGAGGATAACACTACCAAGTCAGCATTTACAGCTCAGAATGACGAATCACAGGCCAAACAAGCGTACGCACCTGATAACGGCCAGTACTGGTAGCATCTTCTCCTTCGTCAAATGCTCCGAAATGACGTGCCAGAGGTTGTAGAGCAGGAAGTAGAGCGACCACGCCATGGCAATCAGCATCACTACCCAATCCAAGCCGTCGACCGGTGAAACGCACAATATCTGCATACAGAATGTTGTTAGCGTGTCAGTCACATGTCCACTTCACACTGCGACAATATCGATGAGCTCTTACCGCTGCTGGGATGAACATGATCGAGGAGTAGCCGTACAGACACACGAGGAAGAGCAGCGTCATCGGCACTTGGAAGTACTTGCCAACTAGCCAGATCAGCATGGGCAGGCCCAGTAAAAAGATCTCCACTAATGTGTAGGCAGAGGCCAGGCGACTGAAGTCGTATGACCACTCGTCTGCGTTGCCTTCGTAGTCCAAGAAGGACGCTGCATTACTGCACGACGCCAGGCAGAAGATAAGTGTCGTGGAGAGCCAAAACGGACCATACGCATCGGGGGACTTCAGTGCCAGCTCAGCAAACGTAGGGTCCTTCTTGAACGGCACCAGCGCTCGCATGAGACGCTGCTGAACATCCGACGTGTCGACATTGAAGTACTATTGGACATTCCAAGAAGCAAAAGAGTTAGGTTACGCCTCGTAGCATGCACACACTATCAACTGCGACAAACCGGTTGGTAGAACGCCAAGCTGAAGCAGCCGCACAGACCCACGGGGCGTGCAGGTGTGTCGTCTTCTCCATAAGCAGCGTTTTTGGCGCCCATGAGTGTGTCCCTAACCTTCGGGGACATAAGTCCGTCCTCCAGCTCATCGCCTTCGACCACCGAGACCTCTTTACCATGTCCAACCAACCCGTAAGCAGTCAGCTAAAGTGGTCGTATAAGTTCATTCCGCCCCAGTGAACAAACGTACCGAAGTTGAGGTCGGCGCCTCGATCCTGTGCGGTCGTTGAACCGAAAGGGGCAGTATAAACAGCGGTTAGATGTAAGCTAGTGTCCCACGAGGAGATGAGGTAATATATCAGCGTGTTGGTCGCATCAAGCCACGTACGTTCATGGCATTCGCCGCGGACTTGACGTCGTCGTCCATGTTTTTATGATGTTTTGCTGGCTTTTTAGACTCGTCTTTTTGGAATGCATGGATCCCGCTGTTTTCAGCCAATAGAGTTGCAGTGTGGCTAAAGCATCGATGGAAATTGACATGGGCAAGTGGCAGCGAGACATGGACGTTGGAGAAACAAATAACGTGTCTTGCATTGTGTGTGCAAGCTATTAGTGATTTGTAGTTTAGTCTAGGTCCTGCGTGGGCACGACAGGCACGGCGGGGGCGCTGGCGGCTTCAACCTCAGGGGCAACGGCAGCGAGTTCAGCCTCCTCCTCGGCATCCTCCAGCTGGGCCAACAGCTCGTCATCCTCGTCAGCGGCATCCTCGGCCTTCTTGACGATAGCGGCAACGTCAGCGGGAGTCAGACGCTTGGAGTCCTGCGTCACCTCAAGCGACTTCTTGCCGGCCTTGCGCTCCGCGGCAGTCACCGTAAGGACGCCCTTGGAGCTGACAGTGAAGGTCACCTCGATCTCAGCGTCGCCCTTAGGCTGCGGGGTAATGCCGGACACACTCAGCTGCGCTACGAGCGTGTTGTCCTTGGCCATCAAACGCTGGCCCTCGTAGATCTGCAGGAACACAGCCTCCTGGTTGTCCTCCGAGGTCGTGAACAGCTCCGTAGCCGTGGCGGGCAAGATAGTGTCGCGCTGGATAAGCTCCGACACACTGCCATTGGCCAGAGCCACAGACAGGTTGAGCGGCACCACGTTCACCATGTTCAGTGGCTTCTCCGGCTCGGGCACGTCCACGAGCTCGGCAAGACCCGAAGCCTCGATGGTGGCACCGAAAGCGACAGCCTCATCGGGCGACATCTGCGTACGTACGTTCTTGCCCTCAAAGTACTTCTTGACAAGGTTCTGCACCAGCGGGATACGTGTAGAGCCACCAACCAGCACAACGTGGTCGATGTCCTCCTTCTCGAGTTCGTTCTCCTCCAGAATAGCGTCGATCTCGGTGATCGTCTCGTTCACGTAGTCAGTAATGAGTTCCTCGAAACGAGGACGCGACAGCTTGAGCGCAAAGTCCTCGCCCTCCATAAGAGAGTCGACCTCGATGTTCGCCTGCGTCTGTGTGGACAGCGAGCGCTTGGCGGTCTCGCATGCAATGCGAAGACGGCTGGACGTTTTCTGGTTGGTCTTGACGTCCAGCTTGGTCTTGCGCATGAACGACTTGGCACAGTGCTCGAACACGGCAGCCGTGAAGTTCTCTCCGCCAAGAGTGTCCTTGCCCTTGCTGGCCACAACCTCGAACAGACCCTTGTCGGCGTTAAGCAGAGTCACGTCGTGGGTGGCACCTCCAATGTCGAACACAAGCACATACTCGGGCTTCTCATTGCTGGTAGCCTCGTCCAGTCCGTAGGCAATGGCAGCGGCTAGAGGCTCGCTCAGGTACGTCAACACATTGACACCGGCCTGTTTGGCGGCGGCGTCCAACAGCTCCGTGTACTTGTCGTCCGTGTGAGCTGGTTTGCTAATGACCACGTGCTCAAGCTTCTCGCCCGTAAAGTCCTCAGCCAATTCCTTAAGGTTCTGCAGCAGTACAGCCATAAATTCCACAGGGGTCACGGGGTGCTTTTCGCCGTTGCGCTGGGTCTCGACCTGAGCACCCTCGGAGCCCTGCGTGACATCGAAAGGCCACTCCTTGACAAAGTCACGGTCCTTAATATCGGCGTGGGCCTTGCCCAGAATGCGGTTGAGGTGGAAAATGGTGTTGTCGGCGTGCGACGGCAGCTTGTTGACAGCCGTGTCACCCACGATCACCTCCTCGCCTTCGAAGCACACGTACGTGGGCGTAGTACGGAATCCCTGGTCGTTGGCGATAATGTTCACCTTGCCGTTGTGCCACACGCCAACGCATCCGTGCGTCGTGCCGATGTCAATTCCTGCGACGACCATGTTGCCTGGTTTACTACTGCTACGTACGGCGTGCTAGAGGACCGATCTGAGTGTGGAAGATGTTGCTGATGGATTGGCGGCCAGCCACTGGCCACCAGTATTTGACAAAGCCTTAATGAAATCAAATGAATTGTCCTGGTACTTGATTGGTAGAAATAAATGTGTCAGATTTACAAACACGATGACTTCAGGATTTATTATCATGATGCCTTCGTAATGCTCTCGAACTCGTCGCGGTGGTCTCCATGCCTTTGCAACACCCATTACTTGGGCAAGAGACCAAGAACAGGCAAAACGAGTAGCAGTTGGAACATTCGAGGGCCGAGGAGTCCTCGCCTTGACAAGTGCCGTAGTTGGAAAACAGCAAGCCTCACGGATTGTTTGGGTGAATGAACTTTGGAGGTTAGTCAAGCACAGGCGTGGGGAGCGTCAGCAATCTGAAGAAGCCGTCGGTCAGTATCGCCACGCCGTGACGACGCTGGTGATGATTGACGAGAAGAGGAAGAGTACTAGTCCAAGGGAGCCCGGTCCCCAGGGCCCGTGTTGTGTGAGGGTCGATAAGCACTAACCAGTCCAGCCGCCTACATTATCTTCTAGACTGGACAGTCCCTGGGAAAGCCTGGTCTGGGAGAAAGTTGTGGCGATGCCCTGATGTTTTTCATGTTTTTCTGCTGAAAATCTCTCCAATGCCTATTTTTTCTATCGCGAGCCGTTGTGACTTCCATCTCTCGACAGCTGAAGCACATCACCTAAGCAGGTTTAGCTGTATTCGATGTTTCCTTCATTACACGCCTACGCACGTGGGGTGCTGCTTGTCGAGCTCTCCTTTGTCGTTCTTGGCAACAGGAAGTAAAAGACACTCGCACCGATCTGAATTAAGTTGCGGCTGCTTAGCGCTGCTGGGGGCGATGAAAAGCTGAGCTCCCGTCCGTTAACGGAAATCGGCGTTCGGAGACTCAGACACTCGATCACGAAGCTGCCGGTGAGAGCGTTCCACGAGATCACTGCATGTCTCGTTGCAATCATACTGTCGTTGCCGATATGACAATCGACAAGGCCGCCAGGAAGACCCTGGAGGTTCCCAAAGCCCATGTCCTTGTACAGAGTGCACCACTGAGACTCCATCCGTCCAAGCACTACGAACGGCTCAATGAAGAAATACTGGAAACTCTGACCCTGTATCATATCAATAAAAAGAACAGTGAGTCTAACCGCATCAGTGTATCGGCAACTGCGAGCCATATCGTACCTCCAGCTTCGCATATCCCAGTGGTGAATTCTGTGAGCTTCTCTCTTGCTGCTTGAGTTGAGCACTCATCATGGCGTTTTGATAAACTGGTCGCAAGAACATCCGACTTGCCTCTCGCTCCAACGCCGTACAGCTTGTCCCTTGGTTAGTTGAAGCGTGTTCTACCCGGGTATGGAAATTGAGCACTCTACTCGAACTGAAACGAGCAGCACAATCCACACAAGTAAACACCAGTCGAGGCCTCACGTAGCGCTCGCACTCCTGAATCATAGTCAGTGCCCCAGACTCGCTTTTGGCACTAGGCGACGCTGATTCTGCTCGATCTGGAGCCTCATAAAAACCCGGGAATGTGCTGTCATTCAGTCCAGTGTACACCACGTTGCCCTTCTCGTCAACATACTGATCATGACCTCCCTTGGCTTTATTCAGCATCAGGATCTTTGGAGCATTGCACTTGCGGTTTTTGCACGTTTGCTTCCGTAGTCCAGGTCCTCCATACTTCTTCATATCGAGGCAATGAGGACATTTCATGCAATCAGGAGCGTTGCACCCTTCGCATTCCCCACACCGCACCACACGTGACTTGGCAGATCGAGAACTTAAGTCACTGAGAGACAACTTATCGTCCAGTAATGTGTCGCTCGCCGGTAGCAACAAGTCACGTGGAGAATTCATCGTTGCATCGGAATATCGAAGAGACTCGTCATCCGAGTCCCCGTTCCCGTACGTTGCGGTCGACACAGACTCTCCGTCGCTCTCTGCAGACGAATACGCCACAGAGCCATCGTCATCCGCCTCCATTTCACCCTTCACGCTGCTCGCATCTCTGGATCCAGCACGCTTCGTCTTGCTGCGCTTCCTCTTTCTTGTCGCATATCCCCATATCTTCGGATTTAAGCACTTGCGGTCCTTACAGGACTGCTTGCGAAGACCTGGTCCACCGTATTTCTTCATGTCCTGGCAGTGTCCACATTTCATACAGTCCTCCGCCAAGCACCCCGAGCATTTGCCACAACGCCCAATTCGTTGGCGAGAACCTGGTGTCCCATCGCTACCTCTACGCTTCTTGACGGCAATCGGTGCCTTGATCGTCAGTTGCGAGTCCACAGGATCCATCGCGGCATCTTCCGGTTCAAGTTTGCCCTGTCGACAAGCAAGCGAGTTAGTATCCGTGAAAGACAGAAAAACGTATAAGAAGGGATTTCACCTTCGCCGGGACGTGTGCACTAGGACGGCTGCGAGATTTCCTATTCACTACTCGCTTCACAGGCACCATAATTGACGGCTCTATTGCTCTCACAATGCCTTGTTTGTTGAGTGTGTCCAAAGCAGCCATCTCGATTTCGCTGTTCTGTTTGGTACGCGACTCCACCTTCGTCATAAACGTCGAGCAGGCTTCCTCATTCGAGTCGAGCATGAATGCCTTCACCATGTTGCACGCCACACCTATTTGATCTGGATGAAGAGCTGCACTATTCCATGCCTACCAAACACAAATCCGCAACAACAATAGTACGTCAGTAAGCCTGGGAAGTAGCAAAAAGCGACAGCTATGCAATAGCTCACCAGCAGCTTTCGTCGTGAGCTAAACAGTTCGGGCACGAGAAAGTGGAGTAGCTTTCGCGCGTCGATAGTAAACGAAGGCTGGCAAAGCAGCAACCGTTGGCGACATCGAAGCGAAAGCAGTTGTGGCCAAATGGCTGCAATCTGATCGGTAGCTTGTCCTGGAATTTCAATAATACTGAGCTGACACTGCAGTGAAGCCACGATCCCGATATCCTCCATAAATACTTCGTAGCTGGTGAGTAGAACGTGTGCTGACAGGTTCCGGCTTGAAAAATACTCGTTGCTCAGCAGCTGCAAAAGGTTTCGACGATCTTGCTTGCTTCCCCAATACGGATACAACTGGATAAGCTGCTCAGACGACAATGCCTTCTCCCAGCGAGCAAGATCCGAACCGGCGGCCACCACGACATAAAATGCCGACGTGCGTTGGTACAACGCAACCTGAGCCATAAACGCACCGACCTGGATACAAATCATAGAGATCAGTCGTTATAGACGACGTGACATGCACAAATGTCGACCTACCTTGAGGCGCTCGGCATCACAACTGTCTCCTCCAACAATAACTCCATTCGATCCTCGTTTGTACGAAGCAAATAATTCGCCAGTATCCCCGCGAAGCATCACTTGTGGAGGATAAGACGTCCCAGTTGGAGTCGACTTCGTACTGGAAGCTCGAACCTGCGTCAAAAGTGTTGCCCATTCGTCCATGCCTAACGGGTTTGTAGTGCCTCGCTGAAAAGGATTGGCGCTTATGGTCGAAGACACCTTCGGCAGTTCTTCGGACGTCGTTGGTGCGAGTCGAAAACTATCAGCGTGGGATCTGGCAGCAAAAAAATGTCAGCAGGTTCAGCAGGTTCCGATAACCTACTAGATCTCACCTTTTCCACTCGTCATCAAAGTCCATAAGAGCTCGCTGGTGGTCCTGGAAGAGCTGTAAGCCGGTGATCCGAGCTAAGTCACTAGCACCAGAAGAACCGCGCTTTGGGAATCCTTTATCCAGCAATTGGGAGCAATAAACCTCAAGCTCTGCGATAAGGAACTCGTTAAGGGAGAGATGATCAGCTCGCTCCACCCTGTTCTTCCCTCCATTTGTCACGTGCTGAGGTTTCCTTTTCGGCTCTGAAGCTGATAGAAACCCGTCTTCACTCGAGGTTCGATTAAGTGGCAACATTGTAGACTGTGGTGGGGACGAAGTCGACATGACCGAGTCGGCTGAACGCGATGTCGGGGCGTCACTTCTTCCTCCAACGCCAGCCGAGTTTGTACCTTCAGATCCGGGATCAGCTAACGAGGCAGTCCGTCGCGTTTCGGTCGCTGAGCTGACATCCTTCGTCTGCTGTCCATCGTTCAATTCACGCTGCTCGGAGCTGTCAACGTGCTGCTGCATTGACGATAGACACATACTCTTCAATGTCCCGACTTGTCTGAGAAAATGAGAATTCACAGCGGTTAGTACGCTATCGTTAATTTATAGTCCAACTCAATGGAAACCATCAACTCACGAGGTTTGCTCGTCCGCCGTGTTGTCCTAGTTTAACACATAACAATGCCACAATTCTGTCAGTATTCACTACCTATCCAGCTGTTGACAGTACAACCAACCTTGCTCTCACTTTCCTTCCCAAATCCAGTAGTCTTCCCTTCGGCCCTGCATCCCACAAAACTAAAACATAATTATCAGCACTTGAGGTCCATGCAAATCTCGTTGAAGCTGCAGCTCACCCCCGCTTCTCCTCATGTCGGACCGTAGGCTCCTCTTTATGCACATGTTCCGCCTCCACCGCCGGGTGCACCAGGAAGGCTGCATTGTAAGCCTTTTCCAGTGCGTCGTACACCGGTTCGCCCGAAGCATCCGGCCGCGAGTCGTACTCGCGACCTGTCGGGATGACCGCCAAGGATGGTCCCATCCTAGCGCGCGCATTCTCTAGTTTCAAGCGTACTTGTTCCTGCTCTGTGTCTCGATGCGCCATCGTTTCTTCGCTCTTCATCGTCCTGCGAGTGATAGAGAATCGTCTCATTAGTGTCGTCACAGTAGCAAGTACGGACGCATCCTCCGCGCACGAACCTGGAAGCGCTGCCTTCCGCCAACATAACGAGTCCAGACATGCTCACGAACCGCTGTCTTGCCCGTTGGCCACCCGAGGTCCGCATCATGGTCAAGCGACCGCGCGAAAAACTGACACATCAGTTTCACACCAGATTGGTGTGGTATACAGCCTAAGATTGTGCTCGACACATGAAATGGATGCAAATCGATTTCTGAGCCAACGGTTCAACTTGCCGTTTTGAATTTCGAATCTACAGTATCGGCATGACCCGCACCAAGAAGAGTGCGCGTCGCGGCAAGCGCAACGCCGATGTAGCTCCAGCTACATCCAACAAGAAGCAGAAGAAGAACACGCCTAAAACTGCAAATGCTACTACTCCTGCTGCAACTGCAATTACCAATGGAGAGAAGGGCAGCCGCGAGTGGGCTGAGAACACGTTGACAAAGCTGCTGGGTGGCATGTCGCTGGACACATTCCTGTCCGAGTACTTTGAGAAGAAGCCGCTGCATGTGCGCAAGGCAGACAAGGGCGCATTATTCGACAGCAATCTGTTCTCGCGCAAGAAGTTGCTTAAAGTCATGGAGAAGCAGCACCGGTCATTGAGCTTCGGCAAGGACCTCACGGTGTGCAGATACGTCGACTCAGAGCGCGAAAACTTTGACGGCGAGGACACTAATGGCCATGCTACGAGTCGACAGGTGGCTAGTCTGCTGGACAGAGGCTATAGCTGTCAGTTCTACCAGCCGCAACGATACGAAGACGGACTGTACGAGCTGAATGCAGCGTTTGAGGACGTTTTCGGCGGTCTGGCAGGCTCCAGCGCATACTTGACCCCTGCCAATTCGCAAGCATTGGCGCCGCATCATGATGATGTCGAAGTTTTTGTGGTTCAGACGCAGGGCCGCAAGAAGTGGAAGCTTTATCACCCGCTGGTGGAGCTGGCGGGTGAACACAGCTCGGACCTGGCAGAGGATCAAATCGGTGAGCCGTGGATGGAGCTGACTGTGGAGGAAGGAGACCTCTTGTACTTCCCACGTGGCGTCATACACCAGGCATGCACGGACGAAAAGGAATTTTCCACGCATGTGACCATCTCAGTGTACCAGCACAACACGTGGGCTAATTTCCTGGAGGTGGCGCTGCCCCGTGTTATCCGTCATGCATTCGACTCAGACGTCTCGTTCCGTGAGGGTCTTCCGGTGGGCTACCTGGACTCGGTGGGCACCCAGTTCCCAGCGGACTCGGCAAAGGCGAAGGAGTTTATGGCAACGTGCAAGAAGCTGGTGGGCAAGCTGGCTGCTCACGTAAGTGAAAAAGACTTGCAGGAGGCTGCTGATGAAGCTGCCCTGGATGTGCTTGCAAACCGTCTACCGCCGCCATCAGAGGGAAAGGACGACGATGACGAGTCTGGCCCGAGTCCGCTTGATGGAAACGTCTCCATTTGCTTCAAGAACCGCTCACATATCCGCTTGTCGATTGGTGAAGACGAGATGAAAGAGGCGTTTGTCGCCGTCTATTTCTCGCTGCACAACTGTAGGCGGCATCACATGGGCCTGTGCACATGTGACGGTGGAGATGATGAGGAGGGCAAGGAACGTGAGGAAGAAGGCGATGGTAGTGACGCTGGCGAGGAAGCTGAGACTAGCAGCGCCGACGGAGACCATGGCGACGACCAGAGCGATGACGAAGATGGAGACCTCAGTGCTGCGTTTGGGCAAATGCCTCCTCAACCCAAGAGCATCGCTTTCCCAGGAGACTTGGCACCTGCGCTTATGAAGCTGTACGCCACCTCCACACCTGGAGCATCAATTGACGAGCTAGCAAAGGCTGCCAGCGACGAAACCGCAGTGCGCGGAATGCTTTTGCGACTGTGGTCCGAGGGCCTATTGGACGTCACTACGCAGCCGTAGTCAACAACTAACACAGATTCAATCACAAACAATGTCCATTGTGTTTTGAGAGAAAGTATAGCTCGTAAGCATCTCGCTAATTGTGCTCCTCCGTTCCTCACGTTCCTCAAATTCCAACGTTCGCTTATGTTCCTCTCCAAGAGCTGTACATATTCCACGTTGTATTTCAATTGCCTGATGGACACGACTGCCGAACATCCGGACGACGAACGCAGGCTTCTTATCTAATGCAGTCCATGATGGTCTGACTGATTTCTTCCGCCTCCGAACGCACGCCCATCTACACGATGTAACACGTTAGCAAGAATGCAATGTATGGTCGTACAGCAACACAATTCACAACGTACCTGCAGAATCATGCTGCCGCTCTGCTCATCGAACGATATTCTCGACTTCACCAGTGCCTTGACACCACCGACAAACACACCGGACAACAGGAGAATGTGCGCCTTCGCCTTTGGCTGCGGCACAGCCGTGTTCTCGCAGGGCTGCATGCCGAGGTTCTCAATAACAGCGGCCACGCCCTCCACGAGGCTCTTGTACTTCAGACCATAGCTGCCCTTAACCTCGGCACCGTCGCCAATGTGCTCCCAAGCCGAACGGAAGTCGTTGACGGGAACCTTGGCCATCAGGTCCGACGAGCCAATCTCGATTTCCTCCATCGGGTACTCCTCGTCAAAGCCGTCGTCTTCGACTTCACCGGACGACGGGTTCACCTCGTGTACCTTGAACTTCAACTGGAAGAAGCATAAAACAATAGTCAGCAGCAGTACGAAACAGTGATATCAACGGTGAAACATACCTCCACATTAGCAAGCTGAACGATGGGGTAGACACCATCGCCAGTGTACTGCAAGCACACGTAACACGAGCCGGTCTTCCCGTAGGCCAACTTATCCAGCGGAACAACCGAGTGTACCTGCCACACTTCCTCTGGTTCCATCACGAATCCAACGTTCACATTCGTGAGAAGCTGGTCGCTCACAGTGTTAAGCACCTTAAACTGTTGGCAAGTACATCAATGACAGCATCAGCAGAAATACTCTCTCCTGTTTGCCTTCAATGGGTGCACATACCTGGAGCACAATGTGCTTCGCGAACACGTGCTTCGTGCAGCTAACGACATATTCAGTTTCGGCCTCCGTTAGCTCCAGGCGCTTGGACGAACGGAAGAGTGTGCCAAGCTCGGCGAACTCCGGAATCTACAGAAATGACACAGAAGCAGAAATTTGTCAGCAGAGCACATACTAAAGAGCAAGCCACGCTTGGACGCACCGTGTACAGTTCCTTAGCAACGTCCTGCGGCTCCGGCGCAGCGTCCGCTTGCATCGGATCATTGTCAGCTTCGGCGTCGTCTACGTTAGCTTCGACGACGTCCTCGACCACTTCAACGTGCGGAAGGGCCTCGAAAGTAAGCGGACCTTCAGCGGGGCGCAGTTCATACTGGTCAATCGACTTCTGCAGTGCCGCTACACTCATGGGGAAGTCCTCCACAAGAAGCGTACGGCTAGTGACCTCATCGCCCTCCAGAAGGGCGAGATACATGGTAGCACGGTCGCGAACTTCATCATCGTCATCAAGTTTACAGCACTGCAGCAGCGAGGACACGCTGACGCGGAGCGATGCAACGCGAATAGCAAACTGAGCAAGGGCCGAAACGGCCGAAGCGCGTACCGGTGCATTCTCCAGAATAACACGGTTACGGATGAAACGAATGTACCGCGCCGGTGCAGACGTGGTCGGTCCCTTCTGACCCAGTACTCGTAGAATCTTGGTGGATAACTGAGTGAACTCGCAGTCCTCGATGAACTCGCACAAATGAAGCAGCGCAGTCTCCTTGCACTCCTGGATACGGTCGATCAAGAACAGAATAGCGTCCGTAATCGTCTTCTTGAACTCGTATCCACCCTCCTCACGGAGGAAGTTGGCCAGAAAATTAAGCAACACCCGGTGCTTCTGAGGATACTTCAAGCACAAGCTCTTAATAGCCTCCACAACGACGATCTTGAACTCGTCGGCAATGTCGCCCATGAACGTGGAGATCTGCTTCATCAAACGGTCGACGCTGGACTCGGCACCTATATATACCGATACGGTTAGCTACAAAGTCACAGCAGCCATCTCCACGACCAACGTACCAGTCTTCAACAGCGTAGTGATGGCCAGAGTCGCAATAGATCGATTGGAGTCCGTGATAAGCGCCTCCATGTCTTCGTTGCAGCGCGTCACAAGCATGGGTTGGGTAAGTGCCACCTGACTGAGAGTGCGCACCGCAGCGAAGCGCAGAGTAGGCTTTGACGAGCCCAGGAACAGCTGCAGCACGACAATTGCCTGCGTCAGGTCACGCGCGTCCACTGGCAGTGCGCATAGAGCCTTGGCAGCCTCATAGATAACCATCTATCATGTCGATAAGAATGTTAGCAACTTCAAACTACATTAATAAAATCAATCCATCTTCTGAGAGTGTGTACACGTACCTCGTTCTTCTGACGCAGCATCTTCTGCAAGAAGGCATAAAGTGGAGCGGCGTCTTGACCGTTCGCGTTTTCTCGCAACAGAGCCGCCGTATAGCGGATGAGCAAGCAAGTAGCAAGGCTGGAACGCAGGTTGGTCTTCTGGAGCTGCGTGATGAACTTGGACACAGCGAGCTTGTCGTGCTGTCGGATCTGATACAGGAGCGAGACGCCGTGATACTGCACCATGTCGTGCGTGGAGTTAGCGGCCTCCTGCACCTCGTTCACCCAGCGTCGCACGATGTCCGGGTTGTTCTTGATCAGGTGAATACCAGACACTAAAGCTGAACTAGCCACAAGAGCGTTGCGGTCCACAATGGCCTGCTTGATGTAGCGCTCAATTGCGTTCAACATGGAGCCCTACATCACCATATCAGCATTAATAAGTCTACTATCACAAGCGCCACACTGGTACTGTAGCTGAGACGTACATCAATGATACGACAGAGCACTCGGATAGCGTTGGCACGGTACAGATCCACGTCGGAGCTCATGTCCTTGGTCAAACTCTGAGTCACAATGATCACCTGATAACCACAACACGCGTCAGCGTCCGCGCTCTTCCAGCTATGCTGTGTCTATACGTGTGTAAGCTGAGCTGTACCTCGTCGGCCGCAGTGGCCTCGGCCACTTCCTTGATAAACAGATACATCATACGACGCAGATTGGCATCTTTGGATTGAAACAGCTTGGTGACGCCGAAGAAAACAGCGGTGGTCTCTGCGCTAGTGAAGGGCTCCCCCTGTGTAAGAATGTGCAGCAGCTTGGTGATCAGCTGGCAGCATTTCTTGGGGTGGCGAGTCACTGTGTTGGCATCCGAGAAGATCTTGGTCTCCTGTAGCACCGTAGCCTTGTCCAGTCCCTGGAATGGCGACACTGTGGGGGCGACCGGAACATTCACGGTCAGTTTAAGTTGATAAAGGTACGAACAGCAGCTTCCCAGCAGGGGGAGACTAGAGGATGCTGATCTTTATTACAGCCGTACCTTGGTCCTCCTCGTCGTTCTTAAACTTCTCCTTGATGTCAGCCATGACGGACGAGATTGTCATAGCTGATCCGCCGCGGCCAGAGTCGCCTCCGGCGCCGTACGTGTCCTGGCCTGCTCCCAGTTTCATGGCTGCTGGCTACCTTGGATCGAGTATTAGCCGCGTGGCTAGAAGTGGGAGATCTGACGCCTCTTTTATTCGTCGGACAGCGGACCTCGGATGCCGGATGCCGGCTGCTTGTGTGTCTACACTTGTCAGCTGATTAGTGGACCCTCTGTTTCGCCACCCACCAATAAAATAAAGACAATACCGATTCCGCCAATCAGCGCGTGTGAAGCGAGCCCGATTGAAAAGCTACCATCATTGCGAGATGGAGCCACATGTTTATAATTTGAGCGGCGCGCGGGAAAAAGTAGCGGCCAACGCTGCATGAAGGTTGTCATTCCGAGATTTGACTCACGCAGTAAAAGCAGTTTCTACTCTCCTCTCTACCAGCAGCAATGGCGAAGACTCCCTCCAAGAAGGCCGCAAAGACGGTTGCCAAGTCCGGCAAGGGCAAGGGCAAGAAGCGTGTTGAGTCGTACTCGACCTACATCTACAAGGTGCTGCGTCAGGTGCACCCTGACACGGGTATCAGCAAGCGCGGCATGTCGATCATGAATTCGTTCATCAATGACATTTTCGAGCGCATCGCTTCGGAGGCCGGCAAGCTGTCCCGCTACAACAAGAAGTCCACGCTTTCCAGCCGTGAGATCCAGACTGCCGTGCGCCTCATGCTCCCTGGTGAGCTTGCCAAGCACGCCGTGTCGGAGGGCACGAAGGCTGTGACCAAGTTCACGTCGGCTTAAGTGTCAACTTACCAAAGTCGCCCTACTGTCACACAAGCTGCGGCTTTGGGTTGACTTTCTTTCTATCTTGGTGTTTTTTAACACCACCCTTTGCTCGAGAAATTTATTAGCTGTTTGTTTTATCTATTTTTCACGAGGTATTAGAAAAGTAGATGCGGAAATTGCGGGAATGAATCTCCGCCATTGTGCTGCGCATGTGTTCAGTTTTACGCTCAAGAAATTAGAGAGCGGTTGGTGCTTTGGAACTTCTCGACACAGATTGTTTCATGAGTCCTGACTCAGGTCATTAGCGCAGCATTTTAATACAGTAAATTTATAGGGCGCGAAAGGTTCACCGAGACACGAGAACAGTTCCTTGAAGTGCTTGTAATACTACAGTAAAACCTTGCTGTAGTACAGTACTACAGTGGTACTACCTCCGTTTTGAAAAAGAAAACCATTTCAAATTATATGATAGCCTACCAAAATACATATCCCCTCTATGCCGATCACTTTTTGGATTTCGAATCTCCCGCGCTTTCCCGACCAGACTGGCTCCCGCTCCCAGCTTTCATTTTGAAAGCTGGAGATCAAACAGTGAGCGCCAGGCCGTCTGGAAGACCTTACTGCTTCGCAGCGTGGGAGGAGTGCTCAAACATGGAGAGATCGTTCGGGTTGCAGCGTACTTCCGTGTGGGCCGCCAAGTTGTCGAGCGAATTTGGAGGCGTGGAATCAATTCAATGGGAGATCGAGTAGCAGCCGTGGTCAAGTCAAGGAAGAGCGCATGTGGTAGGAAGAAGGTGGTTCGAGCTGAGCTGTGCGAGAGAATCGCTGCAGTTCCTGTCAATGAGCGCGAAAACCAGCGTCTGCTTCAGCGCGCGTCCAACATGAGCTGCTACCTGGTTCAGTAGCTGATCAAGGAAGGCTACATACGGCGTGCGCTCAGACAGACCCGCCCACTACTTACACCCACGCACAAGTTGGCGCGCTCCGGCACAAGGACAAGCAAGTACGAGCTGGCACTCTCCCTACGTCACTGCCTTGTGACGCTACCTCACCCGCCAATGCTAACGCGTACATGCTGCTTCTTGCAGCGAGCAGCCCCCCACCGCCTACCGCTAAAGTTCCAGAAGCCCCACTGAGCGCCCCTTCAGAATGTGGCGATGTAGTTGCCGTCTTAGATCCGTTTTTGTATCTGTAGTTGCACGGCGGAGCATGAACGCCTGTGCCTTGCTTAGTTTCTCACTGTCACCTCTCGCCATAAAGCTAGCTAGCCAGCCTCTCACAAATTAATAACCCCCAAATGAACGAGGCGGAGCGCTGCGCAAAAAAAAAACAAATGGTTATCTTTTTCCGAGCGGAGGTAGTACTTAAGTACTGCACACGCCTTGATACATGTACATACAACGAAGTAGTACGATCGTTTGAACAACTACAGTAGCATTCCGATGCTGAATGCATGGAAAGATGTACCTTCATCCTCTGGATAACAGAGGTTCTCCCACGACTACTAGTGGTACTTGTGTGACCTCAATCGCTTTTGCCTCTCTCTATCTAGTAATAATTTAACTGGTTACGCATCTAAGCCTACAACGAATTGTTTGACTGTTCTTTTAAAAAGGGTGGTGTTAAAAAACACCAGAATGAAAGGTGTTGGCCTGACGAGGTCAAACCGACACGAAAAGAGTAAGCAGGCTCACAAAGGAGCTCACCTACTTAGCAGCTAGAGCTACGCAGTTGCGGACAAACAACTTACGAGCGCTCGCCACGGATGCGACGGGCCAGCTGAATGTCCTTGGGCATGATGGTAACACGCTTGGCGTGGATAGCGCACAGGTTGGTGTCCTCGAACAGACCCACCAGGTAGGCCTCGGCAGCCTCCTGCAGAGCAAGCACAGCCGAGCCCTGGAAACGCAGGTCCGTCTTGAAGTCCTGGGCAATTTCACGCACCAGACGCTGGAAGGGCAGCTTGCGGATCAGAAGCTCCGTCGACTTCTGGTAGCGACGGATCTCACGCAGAGCGACCGTACCGGGGCGGTAACGGTGAGGCTTCTTGACACCGCCAGTGGCGGGGGCCGACTTGCGGGCGGCCTTGGTGGCGAGCTGCTTGCGTGGGGCCTTGCCACCGGTGGACTTGCGGGCGGTTTGCTTGGTACGAGCCATTGTGTTTCTTTTCTTCGAAGTTGAGAACTTGAGGGAGAATTTGAGAATGAGCTTGACATTGTGCTTGCTGTTGGGCCACTCAGCGGACCCCCTCTAATAAGGTTCCGCCAATGAGCGAAGCCTATTTTTAGATGATGAGAGATTGACCAATCAACCACTCCGAAGTGCATCCTGTGAAAAACGTCTTGTTTGGCTGAGGGTAGGTCTCCGCCTTTTCAAACCGAAAAAAACAGAGACTCGGTACCGGTATAGAGGGGCTTGGCCACAAAAAGCGCGGGTGCTCCCAACTCTCATTCTTCAATTTCCGGCTTGGAAACAACAACTTTCCACTCCTCTTTTCTCAAGAAAATCAACTACTGAACAATGTCCGGACGCGGCAAGGGCGGCAAGGGACTCGGCAAGGGCGGCGCTAAGCGTCACCGCAAGGTTCTTCGTGACAACATCCAGGGCATCACCAAGCCCGCTATCCGTCGTCTCGCACGTCGTGGCGGTGTCAAGCGTATCTCCGGCCTCATCTACGAGGAGACCCGCGGTGTCCTCAAGGTGTTCCTCGAGAACGTCATCCGTGACTCGGTCACCTACACTGAGCACGCTCGCCGTAAAACCGTGACTGCCATGGATGTCGTGTACGCTCTTAAGCGCCAGGGCCGCACTCTGTACGGCTTCGGCGGATAAGCGCATTTCGCTTAGTGTTTCAGGTCGCTTCGGCAGCCTAAACAGCAACTTTACCATCACTGGCTGCTTTTTGAGCTAGCCTTTGTTGCGAGGAGCTCTGATTCCTCACTCTTCACCTGGTGTTTTTTAACACCACCCTTTTCAAAAGAATCTGTGTTTCTTCAGAACAGTACCGTGTACTACTGTACTATTACTATTTGTCGATCTATTGCAAGTGGCGAATGTGGCATCAAAAAGTGTGGATTTTGGTGCTGCTGTTTCCTCTATGAGCTACTGCGTAACGTGAGGTACCGGAAAAACAAGTTTTATTAATACTATTACGTAGTACTAGTAATTAGTACTTCAGCTCTTGTTTGCCCCTTGCTGAAATGCGTGTGTCATCGACGATTAGCACTCGTCAGGTCTATTTATTATTGCAGTAGAACAAAATTCGATCGTCCGCGTTAGGGTACGGGTTATTATTTGTTGCAGCTGTGTACTTCTGTAAGTACAAGTTGTTGTCAACGAATGCATTTGGAGCATAGCTACTATTACAACAGTACGTACAACAACACGTAGCGGCTTAAATCGAGCTACTGCGTTGAATGGCGGGACTCTTTTACGAAATTAGCTGCATGCCGATGTGGTGTGTAAGGAACACGTCTTGAAGTTCTTGGTGAGAGCACCGCAGCTCCAACAGCGGGTAACGCGATGTTCGAGTAGATATCTGTTTGATGATCCCCGAGCGCTCCAACTCGTCACAAATGAAAAGCAGTCCGCGCAGTCGCGGGATCGGCACGAACGAGTGAGTCTTGCACAAAATCGCAAACCGCTCGATCACAGCTTCCAGTTCCGCGCCATTCTTATTGACCCCACGAGTTGCGTTTGAGCGTACTTCCATGCGCAAAGCGACCAGAAACGTGCACTCGAACTTGCTGCACGCACGGAGGCGACTCATTGGCGCTGACACCGACACGGCCTGCTGTGCATCGTGCAAATCTTGACCTGTCACGAACAATTCACCTTTATTTGTTGCAGCTGCAGACCGGTCAAGCTCAGTAAGCCTGTGCAAACACACCTCCGCAGACTTGCGGCAAAGCGACAGCGCCTGACGCACATCACCCGACTGGTGTGCCAGCGTCTTGGCACAGATCTGGATAGCCTCCTCACTGAAGATGTCTAGCTGAAGTAGTCGCTGCTGAATGATGTTCTCTAGCTGAGCTCTGGTGTACGCTGAAAAGGTAATGCGGTGGCCACCCAATCGACTGCGGATCTTGGTTGGCAGTCGCTCTGGCAAGTCCATAGTGTTGGCAATACCAACCAATACAAGCTTCGCCGAGGCGGAGGTCTGCCATTCTAGCAGATTATACAGTACCTGGTTCTTGCCGGCCAGCATGAAGTCCATCTCGTCCAGTAGCACCAGCAGCATGGGCCGCGTTGAACTCTTGGTGTGGAACTCGCGTTGCAGAATCTCGCATCGTCGTGCAGCGCTCACGTTCGCACGCGAGGGTTGAAGCTCACTATCCTCTTCTTCAGTTGTAGGTGGGTGCAAGGCCTTCCATAGTACAGTATAGGCGACGTCTGGCCGTGGCATCTGCAGCCCGTTGACTTCCACCCATGCAAAGTTGCGGAGCTTCCCGCTGTCTCGCTGAGCCTCAAGCATACGGATTACCTCCTTCACGATGGATGTCTTACCCGCTCCTGGGAGGCCACTGATGTAGATTGGTCCACCGGCACTCTGCTGCTCGATGGAGGAGCGAAGCGCCGTGTAGATTTCGTCGCGTTCTTCCTCACGCCCGGTCATCACGCGAGGGAGACTCGACAGCTGCAATTCTTTGCATGCTCGCTGTAGCTTCTTCACCGCAGCGTTGGCGGCTGGAGGTAGTGCACCTGACACTTTGTGGGGCCTGTTAGCGTCAAATTGGTCGCTTGACGGCCGCTTGAGAGGCATCTCATTCCTAAAACTAAAAAAACAATACTTGTAGAGATGTAAAAAGCAAGTTGCGAAAAAAGTGTTGTTTTGCTTCTTGACAAAAAGAAAAACTTTATATCGCTTTTTTTAATTTGCAGATACCGGTATTTTAACTTCATGTTAGAAATCTTTAAAATACTTTTTTAACTGTATTTTATTGGAGTCTAAAATGGCTAAAGGCATATTTCGAACCGTCTTCAGGTTGCAGCTTATTTCACCGAGACCTTTGCTTAAGCGCTATCCCTTGTTGTTTGAGCTGTCTTCAGGTTGCAGCTACGTTGAATCTGACACGGACGATGAGAGCCGTCCGGTGTCACTTCCAACACCACACGTGTGTGTCGGCGCTAAATTTACTCTTTTCTGTGGAACCACATGACGCCTATTTGGGGCGAAGATGCCTGCAAAATGAGGCCATCTCTTGACTTGACTCATTGTCTGACGCAAGTATTTTTCGCGTTGCCTTCGCGACCAACAAAATGTCACTTGGGATGTTCGACTGTTTTCAGCAAATATTAAGTGAATCGACGCGGTGGCAATTTCATGAGAACACTTTTCGTCCCAGTAGGCGGCGTTTCCTCACTAGCACCGCTCCAGCTTCTCGTGGTGGCGGCTTTCTGATTTAGGTATCAGCGCAATGCAAGCGGAAGATCGGCGTCCGTGCTTCTCAGAAGTGGTCAAGTTTGTGGTCAGCTCGAAAAAGATGTAATAACAGGCTTACAAGCGTGTATTGCTTTTCAAGTCAAGACAATGCGCTGAGATGTCGGCAATTTTAATTAGTGGCCCGAGCCTGGCAACAAGACAAAGTATCTGCCAACTTTCCGACTGCCTTGTCGATTTGGTGGCGAACATCTCGCTCGTAAGCGAGACTCACTTCCAATTCGGCTGGCTAGTGATAAAGCACTCGAGTCAGCCTCTCACGACACACCGATGAAGATCACGCATTTGATACAAGCGGCAGTGGCCGTCGCAGGAACAACTCAATCTTTTGCAGCAGACACGACATCGAGTGGCGGCTACATGGCTCCGTTCTCGACTGATGAACCTTCCGATCTCTTCCAGCGTTACGACACCCTCACCGAGCTAGCGCCGATCATCAACGTAGCTTCCGACTTGCTCACTAAGCCGATTCCCACCAACAAGTGGTGGGGAAACCTCATCCACACCACCAAACAAGACATCAACACGGTGGCCAACCCTGCCTGGTCCAACCCGTACGCTCTCAAGCTACCCAAGCAAGCACCCTTTGGTCTCCAGGCCTGCTACTCGTACACATACCGTAGCATGGCCAATGAGGTGAACGGTGTCGTCAAGTACTACTTGCATGCGTTCCGCAATGATCTAACGCTATCGGCGACCGAGTTTTCGTCAAAACCTGACTACGAAATCTATTCGTTCAGCGACATGGGTGCCAGTCTTCGTACTTGTGCGTCAGGAAGTGACAACTGCATGGATTCGTCTCTTGTAAACGGTATGGCGTTCGTCTCCGCCACGTACTCCGGTCTCACCGCCAGCATTGTGTCCGAATACGCAATGACCATCGTAGACGACTCGACTGCGGGCAAGTACGTCATTCAACTGGCAAACAGCCAGACGTGGGTTGTTTATTCTAGCGACCCCAGTGCATCCTTCTCGATTGACAGCACAGGCTCTGCTCTTGTGTCTAACGCACCGTACACCGGCACGCTTCGAGTGGCGATTCTTCCTGACAGCAACGAGCAGAGTGTGTACGATGACTACGCGTCCTGTATCATCCACGGTGGTAATGTGTCTATGGAGTCCCGCACCTCCTATACGTTGCAGTGGGAAACTGAGGGCAGTGGATGTGATAGCACGGGTCTTCTTCACTTTGCTCTGCCTCATCAAGTGGAAGTCATGGACAACGCCATCACCGCACAGTCAAGCGACGCCATTGTCCTGCACTCGTCCACCCGCGGTCAGATGGTGGGCCAAGTGTCGACGTCCGGGAGCTGGACGCTGACGGAGAGCGAGGCGGACGAAGAGGTGGATTTTTACCCGGCTAGCAGACGGTCTGTGGACGTGGTCTCGAAGATTAAGCTGCTGCCGACTCTGCAGAGCGACATCGATAGCGACTGGAGCTTCAGCACAGGCAGCTGGTACTTTAATGGCAAGGCGTACCAGAAGTACGCATCGCTCTGCTTGATGGCCGCTGACAGCGCTGTTGTGGGCGATGACACTACACTGTTGAGCACCTGTCTGACGAAGCTTGAGAAACTACTTGAGCCGTTCCTTAGCAACACTCTTAGCTCGCCTCTCGCGTATGAGACCGCCTACAAGGGCATCGTCACCAGCCAGGTCTTCACCGCCAACAACATCGATGTGGATTTCGGCAATGGGATCTACAATGACCACCACTATCACTACGGCTACTGGATCACGGCGTCGGCTATTCTGAAAAAACTAGATCCGACGTGGTCGGGGATGCCGCAACTAGAGACGATGGTATGGACGATCCTTCGCGATGTTGCCAACCCAAGCGCGGATGACCAATACTTCCCTACGTTCCGCCACTTCTCTTGGTATTTGGGTCATTCGTACTCGCACGGTGTGACCCCCATGGCTGATGGCAAGGACGAGGAGAGCACATCGGAGGACCTCAACTTCTTCTACGGCATGAAATTGTGGGGACAGGTTTCAGAAAACAAGGCGGTGGAAGACCTGGGGAGTCTCATGTTGCGCCTCAATGCTCGCGCTGTCCGAACCTATTTCCTCATGACATCAGACAACACGATCCACCCGCCTCAGTTCGTTCCCAACCACGTCACGGGCATTTTTTTCGACAACAAGGCTGACTACGCGACGTGGTTCAGCGCCGAAAAGTATTGCATCCATGGTATTCAAATGATCCCTGTTTCGCCTATCAACGGTTTGGCACGCACGAAGACGTTCGTCCAGGAAGAATGGGATGATATTCTGTCAAAGGAGGCGATTGTTACGGGCAGTGATACCTCCAACCCGTGGCTATCGTTGTTGCTTGTGAACGAAGCTGTCATCAACCAAGCTGATGCACTGGCGAAATTAGCGACAGCTACCATGGATGACGGTCTCACCCGTTCCTGGGCTCTGTACAACGCGGCTTCACGTGGTGGCACACCTACTCCGGAAACACCGACGTCTACAACTGCCGCTCCGGGAACGCCTACGTCTACTACTGTCGCTCCGGAAACGCCAACGTCTACTACTGCCGCTCCGGAAACGCCTACGTCTACTACTGCCGCTCCGGAAACACCCACGTCTACTACTGCCTCTCCGGAATCGCCGACGTCTACTGTCGCTCCGGAAACACCCATGTCTACTACTGCCTCTCCGGGAGCGCCGACGTCTACTGCCGCTCCGGAAACACCGACGTCTACTGCTCCGGAATTGCCGACGTCAACTGCCTCTCCGGAAACGCCGACGTCTACTGCCTCTTCGGAAACGCCGTGCACCCCAAGTGTGACACCGGAAGCAACTAATTCCAGTCCGACATTTAACGTGACCACTGCGAGCCCTAGTGTGACATCTGAAACCCCGACAATTGCGTCTTCGATCGCCCCGACGGCCATTCCAGATGCAACGACTCCTACACCAGCCACCAAGCATTGTGGAATAAAAAAAGAGTAGCGTGCCCCCGATTTCCCGGAATGACGCGATGCGGCATTATTAGACCTGTCGACGTATCGCCAAACGCCATCTTCGCTTCCGCAGAGCTTACCCCGTCGAGTGAAACCACTTAAAGAATAGTGCAGTGTTGTATTTTAATTTTGTCAAAAGTGCTTCCTTAGTAAGATGTGTTGATAAATTTCAACTTCAACTTTAGTGCCACGTACATGTATTATTGAAGTTACTACTGTACGTACTTGTAGAAATGTATCCATGCTCGCACAGTGCTTGTTAGGAGCATAACATTTGCTAAAATGCAAGAAAGAAGAAAAAAGGAAAATCTCTATACATATTCCCCAACCTACTCACTACTTATCAAAAAGAACCAAAGCCGTGGGTGAAGCAAGAGGCAGATGGTGCACGCCTCATACTTCTATACTACCTATTTCCGAGGAACTCTTAGTTAAGGGCCGAGCTAAGAGCAGCCTGGGCGTCCGGGCTCATCTGTGCAATGACTTCCTTCATTTGGACCTCATAGGCCTGAAGCAAACCACGCACACACACCTTCACCTCAGCCTGGGTCTCCTCCTCTACGCTGGACGTAGGGGCCAGGGCCTTGGCGTACACGTCAAGCACCTGCGGCATCAGATTGAGCGCCACCGGGTTTTGCGAGCTCACAAGGCCGTTCAGACAACGGAAGCACACGGGGCTCTCATCCATGTCAGCCTTCAGCGGCAGAGCGCCGAGGAACACGGGCAGCACGGCCTCCAGAGGCAGGTTGGCACCGCCAGCGATGATCATACGAGCCACAGCAGCGCACGCGTTGTCCGTCACCACTTCGTCGTTGCCCGAGGTCTCAAACAGCGGTCGCAGAGCCTGCAGCATCTGTTCGTAGGCGCTAGTCAGCTTGTCGCCACTGACCTCAGCAAGAATACCCATGCAGAAGGCGCTGTTGGCCTTCAGCACGTAGTTGTCGGAAGCAAGACCCTGCAGAACGACCGGGAACACGCTCTCCACGAAGCCCAGGGCGCCAGGGCCCAGTTCGCGAAGTACCTCAGCGAAGCAGCCTACTGCAGCGGCACGGTCACGCACAGCACGCAGACCAGTGGCGAACGCCAGCAGAGCAGGGAACAGCTCCTGGAACGCAGACAAGAAGTGCTCGCCGTAGCACTTGGCCAGCACACCGATCAGCTCCGATGCGCTCTCCAGCACAGAGCCACCCTCCTCTTCTTCTTCATCCTCATCTTCCTCGTGGCTAGTCTGACAGACGTGCTCGTGAGCAAGAACAGTCTTGGTGATGCGCATCAGCTCGTTCATGTGGTCCATCGTCACGACGGGCCCCACACGAGCGCTCATGGCCTTAATAGCGTTGAAGGCCTTCTCCACGACAACCTCTTCAGGGTCCTCCAGTAGCTCCTCCACCAAACTCTTCATCACAGCCGACGCGATCACAGCGTTGTTTGGCGTCAAGATGTTCTTGTTGAAATCACCCTTAGTCCACACCTGTGCGTCACCGCTGGAGGCGTGCGAAGCTTCGAACGAGCAGATAACAAGAGCAGCCAAAGCCTCAGCCACAGCGCCACGCACGTCCTCGTGAATGTACTCGGTGAGCGGAGCCAGAGCCTCCAGGAACTTGGGAATGTACGGTTCGAACACGGAGCCACCGCAGTTCAGAGCCAGCTCCTCCACGGCGGCGACAGCGCGCACCTTGGAGTTCAGCGCGTCGGTACGGATACTAATGTGACGCAGCACGTGGTCGTCTCCGTCCTCCTCATCGTCCGAGTCGACACCGCCCAGAACGTCCTCATCATCGTCCATAACACGGAGACCCTCGTCACTGACAATAGCCTGGAGCACGTGAGTGGCAGCCTGGTCAAGGAACGGGGCGAACTCTTGCTTGAAGATGCTCGACACGTTAATAAAGTACACGAACGCCTGTTCCTTCAGCTCCGAGTCGTCCAGCTCGAACGAAGAGAACACGAACGGCATCGAGGGCGCAAAATAAGGACGGAAAGGCTCCTTACCCAGGGCCGTAGCCAGGTAGCCCAGGCACTCGATGGCCGCGCCACGTAGGAAGAAGAACTTGGGGTCCGTGATGCCCCAGAACGGCTGAATCAGCTCGGCCACAGACGGGAAGTACGGCAAGAAGGCGTCCTTGGCACCAATGGCAATAGAGCCAACGGCATCCAGAGCCATCTTCTGCAGCTGCGGCGAGCCAGTACGCAACACATCCACGAGCTTTGTCACCAGCGTCTCAAGGTACGGGAACACCTGCTCGCTCTCCATGCTCTGCGTGATTTCGTCCAATACGTACAAAGCAGTGGCTTTGATGACCTTCGACGCGTCGTCCAGCAGAGTGAGACCAATAGGCAGAATGTCCGTGTAGTGGTCCGTGATCGTAGGCTGCAGGAACTCGGCGAACTGGCCAAGAGCGAAGCATGCGGCCTCACGCACGTGCTGGTCGGCATCCTGAGCGACGCGGTACACGGCAGGCAGCAACTCGTTCAGGTTCTGGCACATGAACTCGCAGCATCCCTCCGACAGGATACCTAGGGCCAACACACCAGCCTTACGCTTACGAGCGTCCTGAGCTGTGATGTACTCGTTGCAGATGCCAAAAACCACGAGGTTTAGGTACTTGGCTGGCACGCTAAGGGCCAGCGAGTCCAGCGTCTGCTGGGCCAAGTGGCCGGGGGACTCGTCATCCTCGTCATCGTCACCTTCTTCCTTGCTTTCACGCTCGAGCAGGTTTGAGATAAGGCCACAGGACACGGCCTCGTCAGCGGCCACAATGTCCAACATAGTGGTGAAGATCTTGGCCACCAGGTTCTTCTTGCCGATAGTCTTCGGTTTCTTCTTGATGAACTCGCCGATAGCGTAGCTGGCGGACGCGCGAGTGCTCACCTCAAGCTGCTCGGCCAGGATGATCTGCAACAGCAGCTCAATGAACTGAGGGAAGGCCTGGTCCAGAATGGGGAACGGGTGCGACGCGATCTCCGAGAACACGTCCATGAACTCGACGGCCTCGGCTTCAGCGCCGTTGGCCACGCACTGCTGCAGCACAGTGATCATAAGCGGCACGAGCTCGCGGAAACCACGCAGGTCAGCTTCCTCCAAGAACTCGACGAGGCTGCAGGCAGCGCGCATGGCTCCCACACGGACCTTGAGGTTCTCGGGGTCCTGAAGAGCCTTGGCGTACAGCTGCTTAAGGTCGTTAAAGTGCGGCTGGAGCGACGTGCCCATGCCCTCGCCCAGAAGCTGCAGCAGCTTCATGCTCATCTCACGCTGGTCAACGCTGGCGCTATTGGCGCACGTGTTGATGAACACCATGAGCTCGGGCCAGTTGCCAGCGGGCACTTCGTGCAAAGCCAACGCAGCGATGAGCGTGGCCACAGTGGAGCGCACCACGTGCACGGGGTCCTCGGCAGCGCGGCTGAGCAGCACCTGCTTGGCCTGAGCCTGCGCAGCCGCATCCAGCTTGGGCCAGTGCTTGAAGATCTTCTTGCGCAGCATGAGAGCGGCAAGCTGACGCACTTCGGGCTTGGCCGAGTGCTGCAACTGCGTGAGCAGACCGCCTACAGACGCGATCTGCTTGGTGTAGGCCTTAAGTGCAACCTCCGCCTGCTTGATCTGCTCCGTGTCCGGGTTCGTAAGCTGCAGCAGACATGCCTCCAACTGCTCCGGGGTGAAGTCCGCCATGTTTGTCCGTCGATCAATTGAGGAAGAAGTGAGAGGACTGGCGCGGTTACGGGAATGATGCGGAAGCGCGGGCCACGAGCGTGGGAAATGACTGGTCGACACTAAAACCTTAGAAACATGATATAATATTTTTGCCAGCAAAAAGTGGCTTCACTTGCCAGTTGCCACTCATTTCACATGTCAAGTCCCGTTTTTGCAAGGATTGGGGATTTGAAATGGCTTCACTGGTGCAAAACACTGGTGCCACGCACGTGGCGTTTTGGCAAAAGATTCGTTTGCTCTATTCAAAATGCGCTTGGTTGTCGTTTGGCACTCGACAAGGAGGAGGATGCGGCAGCAAAAGGGATGACTGTGAACTCGACCCTGGCAATGCCGCACATTGTTGTCGCTGCTGCAGTACGGGAATGCATAGCTGCGCGTTTTCGATCCGAAGAAGCGGCAGAATCCCATTAAGCAGAGCAGATTGACTGGAGAGATGTTGAGTTTTCCCAAGCAGCGCGATGATCTGTGCAGGGTAGTGGTTAGTGACGTTGCTGTCCAATTGATGGCGTGAGTCGACGTACCTGGGAGGTCTTGAGCGTTAGCTCCAGTGCTTGGTTGCTGTCCGCACTGGACAACTTGACCACCTCGAGATGCAACACGCACTGACCGTCATCATCATTTCTGGCGGACATTTGCACACGACACTGAATCCCATCGATAACGTGCACGGTTGGTTTCGATCGGCCAGATGAGTCTGCAGGCTGCATTTCGTCGCTACTCGAAGGTTCACGAACTTTCCTTGCTGTAAGCGAAAGTAGCCGTGCTCTGCGAGAGGTAAAGCTGGCTGGGATGCAGCTATGTGGTCGATCGGGTCTCTTTGGCACGCACATTGTTGTCGACGGATCACTGGGGATCAAAGGACACGAAGCTTCCGTAGCTTGCATGAAGCGAGTAGGCCGAATTATTTGTCGCCGCGGGTGGGAGGGTGCATCCTCAGTAGAACGAGTAGTCTGATACGAAGATTTAAGACTGGCGGCGAGTAAACTGTCAATTGCGTCGATGTCGATGGTCTGCGGGTTTATCGACGATTCTTGCACTTGAGATAGCTCTGCCCACTGTCCACAGTACAGTTAGTACAGAGCAAATTGTTTTAAGAGTGGCAGTTGCTTACATAGAGAGCTACCGACATCAGTAGTTCTGTACTGCAGACACAACCCAGCGTGCGTAGAGGATCCAACAGGGAACACGTTACATTGTGATAGCGCAAAGCGTAGAGATGGATGGCCGTACGTGCGCTTCAAGTGGAACGCTAGTTGACGCATTCGATCTCGAGGAGCTAGTTCTGGTGGGCCGAACGCATGCAAACGAGGAAGGACTCGCAAGAAATACTGCCGATACTGGTTGCTACCGTTCGTGATGTTTTTCTTGGAGAAATTCATCCGCATCGAGCCAGCAGAAAATGCTCGCGTATGTACTACCACGATCGGCTTCTGGGGTTTCCTTACTTCCTCTTCTTTAGCAGAACTGCAACGCTTGTTTTCCTTGGGTAGATGCTGGTCAGCTTGAAGTCTCGTATCTTCATTTGACATACCTGTACTCTGGTCATGCATGACGTCCTCATTGTTGTTTCGGCTTGGCGAGCTGCATGTTTTAACTTCCACGTTGACATTTCTAGCGCAGGGAAAGCAAAGTTGTACTGTCTGGTATCTTCACGAAAACAGCGATTTAAACAAATAGAAATGATGCTCTCACCTCGAACAGGAGGAGTCTCACCAATATTACAAAGGCAAACTTACAGATAGGCTGCAGACCGTTTCACATGCTTGTATCGCTCTCCTTGAATGGATCCATTAAGCATAGTCGGGATCATCTTCTCAGCGTTGTCGACTGAATCACGCTTGCATTGCTGAATAATCGACTTGTTGGTTACCTAGAGCAGAGCAGAGCATCACTTACTACGATTCATCGTGCCTAGAAGATGCAACCCCTCGGCATATTTGACTTACCACGTACTGAACTTCGTCTCTTGGAAACATTCGATTGCAGTTTGGGCAAACCTTCAGCTGGGCTGCACAGCCGATGAGCGACTGGTTCGTCATTTGCGGTGTTTCTTCATTGTTTGACGAGGACGATGGGCAGAGAGAATGACTCAGTGCCATGCTATAGTGCTTGGCAGCACCCTTCGCTTCAGCATCAAAAGAAAGCATTGAGCTCCATAGCAGATAGATGCGATGATCAACCCCAATCTGTTCGTGGAACGATAAGCAGGAATTAGCTGATCAATGTACACTACAGAGCTTAATTAATACAAGCGCAAAGTAGCAAGTTGATTACCTTAAAGTAGCTGACAAAGCGAACCATCTTTTTCCCTACGATGGCTTCCAGGTGGGTCCTCATTTCCGCGTTGATCCTCTCAATAGATTTCCGTACTTCCTTGTCCGTCACATCGCCTATCAAGTTTCATGAGAATCACAGTACCAAACGTCAATAGCTGCAACATTAAGCAACGCAACAGACACGTACGATGGCGAAGTAAAGAATCATCGACCTCGAATGTGGCCGTGCGTTGTGCTATAGAAATCTTCGTGTCGCTCAGCAAAAACGGACTAATGCACTTTTGAACCGTGCAGCTATCCGCCGACCAGTCCGATCGAACCGTGTGGTTGTATCCTGACTGGGTTGGGATAAACCGCTGCAAGACGCTAAGTCCAGGCTTGTCTCGCTTTTCAAGCAAATGTTCTGAAGCAGAAAATCTATCGTGAGTTCACCCCGGCAGTACCAAAACGTGTCATAGCTCACCTAGCTCCGCCTTGTCCAGGTGCTCGATAATCATCTGCATCTCGCCAAACGCAGATGATCGCTCTAAGTAGGAGAAAGTTGCAAGTATCTGTTTACCGTTGTCCAGCTTAGGTAGTGAGTTCGAAACCCATCGCGGTACCAGAAACTCTTGCAGCACTCGAGAAGTGGTCAAGAACCTCTTGGTCTTGCACAAAATCTGCAATAGAATAGGGCAATCACCCTTATGGTCGTCAGCGCTTCACAGTTTGAGCGTTGCTACTAATAGTAGCTGCGTACCTTGCCCCGCTCCTGCTTGGACGTGAAGAACCATTTAACGGGCTTCTGTCGCTTGAATACCACCGTGTCCGTGAGCATGAGTGAGAACGCCTGCTTGCCGCTGTCTTCATCGTCAGGATTCGCATTGGACCAAAGATACTCATACAGTCGCAATGGCTGCTGTCCCAGTGCATGCTCACAGGCGACACCTTCGCATTCCGCTCCTTTTCGTCGAGCAGCAGTCATTCCCTAAATTGGCTTCAACAATAAAATCACAATTTTGTTTTGCGATTTGTGATTTGATTTGTGCTTTTGCTCACTTCTTTTTCGTCTTTGAAACAAGAAATCGTACTGAAAATGTCGGACGCCTTTAGCGCCGGCTTCCGCGAGTTCTGCGGTGGCGTACAGCACGCTGTCTCGCTGCACCGCATCCTGCTCTTCTATCTGAAGTCGCGACTCATTTGTGTGTCCAGCGTCAAGGTCGGTAGACTCACAATTTTCAGGGCGTAAAACTAATTTCTAAACCTTACTGTTGAGCGCAATAGTGCTTCGTACTCAACGGCCTTATCTTCTTGGGAAGCATCTACTTCTTTGACCGAGCCGTGATCCCAGTGATTCACATGTTCGGGGAACTTCTGCATCGCTCTTTCTCCTACGGGTAGGGAGCCTTTTCTTTAAGCTGTCTTTGTTGTTGCCTAAGTGGAGTTACTCCAGGACGACAACTCAAGTGGATGATGTGCGAGATCGAGTGGATGGCTTCGTCTTTATACTGTATCAGGTGCATAATAACGTCGGAGTCATTAGATTGTGCACTATACCGACAACTCTATGCTGTTTTTAGGTGCTGTGGATGTACCCGATCTACTGCATCAGCTTCATCTTGAACACAATCTGGTACCAAGAAATTGCCGACGATGGTGCGTGTAACTCTCACATATGATATCGTGTTGACCTAACATTAGGAGTGACTTTTTTGTTGCTCAGCGTACATGCAGCTTCATGGCAAGCCGTCACCCACCCCGGTGACCGATATGATTAGGTGGGTACAGGGATATGGACTCTGTATGTTGTTTCAGCACTAAATACTGCTTATGGGGATTGGCTAGGGATGAGATGTACCGAGCAATTCTTGTGGCCTTCTTTCTACTGCAGACTGTGCTGTCTTACTTAATCCCGATCGTTGGACCTGCTACGAGTTTTATTCACTTGAGCTGGCTGTATTCGCTTTACTGCTTCGAGTACAAGTGGTCCCTGGCTGGCTGGAGTCTTGAGCGAAGACTAGCCCATTTGGAGCAGAACTGGGCTTATTTCGCGGGATTCGGGAGTCCTTTCACGCTGGCTACGTTCTTTGTACCCAATTTTGTGAGCAAAGGCATCTTCGCTCTACTCTTTCCAGTGGTATGTGTTTGATTGTTTGTATCCGTTGTTGGTGGCAGACGACTAAGTAAATTGTGTGTGTCTACGGTGTTGGGTATTCAGTTTCTACTGCTAGCCATCGCGTGTGACCCTGTTTCAGAAGGCAATGAAGCGTCTAAAAAGCTGCCGATTTTCAGGTACGTTCGTACTGTACGAGTGTCCTGTATTTTGTTTTCTAGAACTGCTTGTATTGTTACTTTGACCCTGATGTTCATATCTTGTCTTATATGTAGGTTTTCTCGGTGGTGGAGTTTGCAGTTGCTGCGTCGGATCGGAAAGGCAACAGGCTTGAAGACGAAAAAGCAGAGAGCGATGGAGAAGCAGAGTCGGAGCAAAAGAAAGTGAAAAGTTTTGTATTATGCGGGTGATACTAGTGTTGCGCGACGGTCCTGATTTTACTTTGTAGACTGAGAATAGCCATTGTGTTGACGAAGAGTAAAAATGATCATTTCTCGTCTGCAAATAAATAGTAGAGCGGTTATTGTCTGGTCGTACAGCATTGAAGAAAGAACACCAAGAGTGCAGAAACCAGAACGAACGATGCCGGAGGCGTACACCGTGTCGAAAATGCTCGCCAGTATCAACGAAGTCATGGCTCCTGTAGCTACTGATGTATGCGGGTCTGTGACGTTACAGCGAAAGACGGAGAATGGTATCATGCTGAACACGTCGGAGAAGGAGATTGCATACCTGGACACCAAAGCCAGAGTGAAGCACTCAGCCCAGCAAGTCGCTCAACTTGACAAACTGGCTAAGGCACGGTGGGTAGAAACTCAACGACAGGCTGGAAATGACGCCTTCCACACTGGAAACTATCAACAGGCAGCAGAGGCGTATATCCAGGCCCTTACGGCGCTGGATTTTGGCTCTACTTTAGAGGAGAAGATTTCTTGCCAACAGGAGCTACAGATTCCACTGACCTGTAACTTGGCTGCCTGCATGCTAATGATGGAGGTAGGGGCGAACAAGCTATCAAGTTTTGTGAGCTGATTTTATTGAAATATGCTGGTCCTTTGTCGACAGCAATGGGAGAAGGCTCGGTTGATGTGCGACCAAGTTCTTTCCATAGACCCGAACTGCGTTAAATCACTCCAGCAACGTGCGAAGGCGAAAGTGAAGCTTAATAACTTTGACGATGCTCGGTACGGTGAAGCTTCATTCGACTATCGTTTGATTTGACTCTAACGTTGCATGTTTCTCAACAGTGCCGACGTCTATCGTGCAAAGCAAATTGTTCGTGGACCGTCAACGTCGATTGATGGTGTCAGCGATCAGCTTGTCGATCGACTTGACAAACAGTTAGAGAACATTTCCCGAGGTGAATTAAAACACAAGCACCGAGTTCAGCACAGGAAGCAGTTTCAGAAGAAGATGATGCAGGAAGCAGTAGGAAAGCTCTATAAGGACAAGAAGGAGGTCGATTGTGCACAGGATCTTAACAGCATCCGGCAGCAGCACAAGTCCAACCTCACTTATGCTCTGTCTTTCAACGGTTGGAACGCCGGTGTCGGCTGGGTTCTCACTGTGCTTGCCATGATCATCAATGCAATTTCACGATTTCTGATTGCTGCGCGTGGCAAAGTCAAAATGTCGTAAGATGCTTAATCGCATCAGGAGGCGTAAGCTACAAGAACTGCCGTGAAATTGTCGGTGCCGTGAACTTCGAGTTGATCTGCTTTGCCGCCGAAATCATGCGCTCTGCATCGTCCCCAGACATTCCCCGACGAACTGTAAGGTCTCGATCCCTGCGTGGTTAGCATAAATGATCAATGAGATAAAGCTCTTGATCGCTGAAGTCGAACTGCATTTACAAACCTGTTCCATCCACCAACGTTCTGGGTAGACTCTGCTTCACTTTTCGCCTGCTCAGCTTGTTTGCGCTGGTGCTGCTCTAACAGCGATGGTCCGCGTGACTTTCGCAGTTTATCCATTTGCTTCCGCATTTCTTCGTCTGCTTCGGGGTTCGCATTCGGGAGGATCGATTCGTTCACGCTTGGCTGTACTGTAGTCGAGGATATCTTACTAGCGGCTTCAACGCTAGGAGCATTTTCCTCGCGGACGTAACCAAGCAACTCCCTAGACAGCAAAGAAAGTAGATCAGAACAGCATTCACGATAGCACATCGTCGAAAGCACCTTGTCGTACATGTCCAGCTTGGCGCGTTTCGCACGTTCTCGTTCTTCAGGAGAATCAAACCACGTCTTATCCACTGCTGCCGGCTCCTTGCTGCAAATATAAAACAACACATGCAATAGTCAGCAAGATAACCACTCCACGACGACTAAACTATGAGACTGTACCTGCGGAATGCCGCGGGTTTGCCAGGAGGAGGTCTGTTCTGGGGTCCTAGAGAATCCTTCAGGATTGAGCTTTCGGGCATCATAGTCATCCATGCTTCTCGCACCATCCCATTCCCTGCACCCTTTTCTTCCTGGCCACCATTACGTGCACGTTGCCACTGCTCCTTTTCCAACTGCTCTGCTTTACGTGCCATCTCCGCTTCAACGCGCTCATCTGCCAGCCGGAATCCCTTCATGCCAGGTAGTGATGGACCGACAACCTCATCGTCACTGTCATCATTCTGAACATCACTGCTGGGCAATCTCGCTGATGCAGGAGGCAGTGTAGGCCCAATGGGTACGTCCCGTTTAATCGGCTTTTGTACCACCGGCTTCTCTCCAACAGGTTCAGTACCTTTCGTCGGTAAATTGTCATCTTGCTCTCCTCTTGCATCCGACTTAGGCAGCTGCTACGAATAAAACACCGTTAATTATACAGCCACCTTCATCAACCATATTGCGTGGGAGCTACCAACCTTGTCGCTGTCTCCAGACAGCATTCTCTGGAACACCTCCATGAGACCCTCTCCATTATCCTTAGCCTTACGCGGCTTGGCAAATGCACCCTTAGGTTCTCTAAGCTACATCAATAATACCAGTCATTAGTATTAGCATATCGTCAACTCACTCGAGCTCAAGCCACAAACCTTGACCAATCCCAGCAACGGAAAGAGCTCTTTCAGCTTGGAGCGGATGCGTCGGTTCTCGATACCCCCGATGACAGCTACCTCTCCATCGTCTACCATCTGAATTAACCCCAACAGGTCCCCTGCCAGCTCCGGTGTCTCCGTCAGCAGCTCACGCACTACTTTCATTGCCCTTGCATAATCTGGAACGTTGTCGCGATCACTATCGCTGTCACTGCCGCTACTGTGGCGCATGCGCTTGTGGCGACGGTGGCTCTTACTATCCTTTTCCTTCCTTTTCTTGTGCTTCTTCTTATCCTCATCGCGCCGCCGTTTGTGTCGCTTGCGCTCATCAAGCCCACTCGAGTCGCGCTTGCCCATTTTCGGCAACTATTGTTTTTTGTTTGGTTTTAGTGTACAAATAGGTGTGGCACAATAAAAAGACAAGTTGAAGTGATTTTTTTACTCTTTCTATCAGCTCACTTAATGCATGTACATCAACTCTTTGTCTAGGAGCAACCTTGGGTACACGAGTAGGGTGGATGGAGCATAGAACACTTTTTGTTGCTAGTCTCCGAGCTGTCGTTGTCGTCTTCGGGCTCGGGCTCCTTTCCGAAGTCGTCAATATCGGACTCGTTGAGCACGTGCTGCGTCGGCAAGGATGCTGCTCTTGGTAGGTTCCTTGTGGACTTCCGCGAACGACCGATAGCGATGCAGGTTAGCGTGGGTATACGAAGCTGCTTGGCGCGTACAGCTACTGCAGCGCCAGCATTGCGTACATTGGAAGAGAGCCAGGTGAAGCGTGGTGGTCCCCACATGGAGCCAACTGGTTCCTTCTTCTCGGGGTATGAAACCCGCCAGTGTGGCGCAGAGCTCACGCCAAGCCCAATCCAGCACTCGTTAAGATCGAGGTCATCTGAGCCCACATCCTCTACAAGGATGGACGAATTGTTGTCTCGCCGAGCTAAGTCGAGTGCTCGCGAAAACTCGGACGTCATGGTGCTCCGAGTCTGCAAAAAGAGAAGTGAACAAAAAGCTCCAAGCCGAAAAGTAGAACGCATAGCATGGCGAAGCAGTTGAGAGAGAAATCAGTAGGTAAGAGACTTGCTACATGTATGGGCTTTACGTTTGCTTCACCACGGCGCGGGATAGGATCTCAAAAGTAGAACCGCTCGAAGGACAACAGTATCTCGACAGTAGTATTCGTCGGAAATGAAACGGGATGGAGTGCCGATTGTCCGTGGGTTGCGATTCGCATCTTCGCAACTTGCGAAGATGTCCGCTTTTCGAGCCGATATTTTATTGTAAAGAAACGACATCTCGTCCGCCCTACGTCGATATCCCCGCGTACACATCATTACAGTATAGATGTTCTCCCTACAATGTTGCTAGTTTGCCTCAAATTTCCGGAGCTGGTCATAGACCTGTCGAAGTGGCTGTGTTGCCTCTTGATTCTCGGGAAAGAAACTCAAGAAGTGTCCAAGCTGTCGGGTCCACGGAAGCAGCAACCGTGGGAAAGCCACAGCCTCACTATCGCTCCTCGCATCGCGCACGAATGATCGGAAGACTTCGTGGTTAAACACAACGCCATAGGCCAAGTCGGCTAGTGCCAGACTATGCCGTACTGCATTTCCGCGCACGCCGTACCATACCAGTTCATCGGTGATGTAGTAAAAGTCGAAGTACAGTGCTCGATATGACTGCACCAGTTGGTAAAGGTCGTCCCTACTGGATGTTGTTTGAACACTCTCCTCTTCGTCGAAGGTTTGTATGGCTGCGTGAGTGAGATTCCGAGGGCTCAGAGGCGACACCAAATCCAACGCATTCTCGAGGTCATTCAAAATTTTCGCCAGCTTTGAAGCAGGGGATGACTGGCCGACCGAGTGCTTTGCTAACACCAAGGCCTTCTCGTGGTACGATATCAACCACTTCCACGTGTACTCGTAGTTCTACATCACCAGCAATTAAAGTGTTAGAGCAATCCATACCACCCACTCGCAGGTCTAGAGCGTTTTACGCACCTGAAGGAACTTTGCAACGATATCCTCGAGTGCCGAGATGGGGTAGCTCTCACTAATATTTGGTGGGATGTAGAAGCTCGCGACGTTACTGTAGCAGACAAGTCAACATCACAGGTTAGGGCACAAACACAACACACACAACACTTTCGGTGTCGTACCTGCATGTGAAGCACAACGTCACTTGATAGTGCTCTGCGAACTGCTTGATATTGTACAGTGTGACGTGCTCCTTCACGCTGTGATCCCAAAGCTGATGATGTTTCCACAGCGCCGCGACATCGGGTTTCACTCGGAATACTGCAACACTCTGGGGCTGGATGGTCACTAGTAGCGTTGATCTTCGACCAGCGCACACCCCATGGTCAAGCAAGTCAACAGTTGCAGCACCTGGCTGAGTCATGTTGTCATCCAGCGCCAGACCGAAAAACATACTATCATTCCTCAGTGCAAGCCTCGCATACGAATCACTCTTCGTGTTGCGTACAACCAAGTACTTCTGGGTTTCATCGGCAGCTATTGTCGACAACTCCGGGCTTGAGAGTGTTGATTCCAGCATAGGAAACACCAAGCCAAGGAACGTTGGCTGGGCTGAGAAATACGCTTCCCTCTGCAAAGGCGACTCGTTGGTTTCTCCATTAGCGACATTGACCATCAGCTGAGGCTGGCTGCAGATAGCCCGGATAATGACTGTTTCCCTGAAGTCTTTCACCAGTCGGCAGCTCACATAGACTTCGATTTCACGCACCCAGGGTTCATTCACTTCGACGTCCGACATCACCTCAGCAGACGCAGAGGAAAGAAGCATTTGCTTTGGCTGGGGTCGGAAATGTAAGAACACTTGCATGCTCGCATGAGCTCCCAATGTGACTGTGGTGACCTCGTTAAAAGACATCGGCGAGATTGAAAAGCTGACTTCTTGTGGCCTTGCATTCGTCGACAGAATGAAGTCGAGGCTCAAACCAGACGAGTTCTCGATCACAATCGAGTGGTTTTGGTACAGCTTGTAGTAGTACACCTCGCTGAAATCAATCATCAATCGCTGAGCACCACCGGCAGGGATTTCTGGAGGCATCTCGACACTGGAGCGGCGTGAACGCTTGGGGCTGCCGTGATTCGACACAAGCACGCGGAACAAATTCGTCGCTGGATCTAGCCCGGATGACATTCCACGTAACGAGTTCAAGTCCGCGATGACTTCCAATCGTACATGTATCACCTTCAGGTCGGACGGGTTAGCCAAATTCTGCAGCACCATGAAGGTCGAGTAAACTCCCACGACTCCCCGAAGAAAGTAAAGCACCACACTCTGGTAGCTGTGCGCTCGATCCAGTGTGCCTCGTTCACGGCTTAGTTGCAGCCACGACTGGGCATTCTTGTCGACAAGCATTAGACGGTACTCGACGGAATCGAGTCCTGGATCTGCCGCACTAGCGGCACTGTATAAGCTTTCAATCGTAATCTCCCATTCCACTTCTCCACCATTACGAACAGTATGCTGCCCCACATCGATCAAATAACGCGTGTTTTCCAGCGATGAATACTCTGCTGGCGTACAGCCACGAATTGCCAAGACCGGTAGATGGTTTTTGCGTCCCACAGAGCCTGAACGGATCGAGGAGATGTCAAATTCTTCGAAGTTGTCCAGCCCAGATGATTCCGTCTGCTCGAACAACTCGTCCTCCAAGTGGGTTTCAAGTGTGGGCCCAGGGTACAGCTTCCTGGACTGCGCAAGTCGCTTGTTGCGGGCCTCAAAGGCTGCAGTAATTAACGTTTTGTCCAGAACCACACCTCCTTGTTTGGCAGCTTCACCTGTCGAGCTTTGCTGCTGCAAAACTAAGAGAACATCAACCTCGGTTGACACGCCGGAGTCCAGGCTGGAGTCTGCATCCCGCACAGTTAAGAACATGCGGTTCTGCCCACTCTCTTCTGCGGTTGTTTCTTGTCCATCGGCATCCCACGAATTGCTTCGCCAGCTTGGGTGGTGGCGCATCTTGTGCAGTGCTGCCAATTTCCCCGCTGGTCTGGTATCACTAGCTTCAAGGAACGAAGTCGAGTTTGAAGATGGAGCTGACGTTTCCTCAAGATGCACAGTGACCTTCACCGACTCACCAGGAGCAATTGTACCCGACGAAGGAACTGCTATAGCTTGGATCCATTCACTCATAGCGCGCATATCCGACTCCGTCGAGCCTTCAACGAGACACAACCCGGGCTGGTACATCGAGATTGGGCTGATGACGAAATTTAACACTTCCTCGGTTGACGGATTCCTCACCCAGAAATATTCTGATGCGTTTCGCAGCTGATGCACAACGGAGGCAGTGGTCTGTTGCAACGCTCCAGGTAGCGTGTTTTGAGCTGAATCTCTGCTGGCCCCAGTTTTCGATTTCAATGACGGCGGTAGTTGATCCACTGGAATATCTGCGGGGATTTCTGTCGCTGTGGCAAAAAAGTGAAGGCTGGAGGCTGACAACACGAATGTTTTGCCTGGTAACAGCTTTCCCTTTACGTGAATTTCTTCACGTTGTGCAGCGTCCTCCATTTTCTCGATACTGATGTCAAGCCAAACAAGCCCCAAGTCCAGAATTTCGGATGTAGCTCCATTGCTCCCAGTCGACCATGTGTCAGCCGGGAGGCGAGCAGACGGAAGAACGTGACACACGACACGAATATCTACCGACTCGCCAGGTGCGATGACAAGCGAACTCAATGGCGTATTAGCAGAACGCAACATGAACAACAGCTCAAACGTTCTACAACACACAAAAGATCAGGCAGGAGTCAGGACTCATGCAACAAGAACTACGAAAAGGAGGAGATAACGTACCGCTCATAAGGATTGTGCGTCTGTGAGGAGAGCTTCACGTTCAACTCTTCATCGTACACATTTCGAAGCGAAAACCAGAAACTTGCACGGTGCGGAGGCGCTTCCTGTGCGGTCGGCACTGTGACCGGAGGGAGGAAAGCTATGTGTTGGTCCTTAAGCTCTGACGCTTCCACTCCATGATCTGAGCTTTCAGGGTCTACTGCCAGTTCGGCGTAACTTGAAATAATCTGCGTTCGAACTAGCACATCGTCATGGTTGTGAGGATTGCTCAGGTTAAGAAAGCGCAGAGGAAACTCGTGCGAGCCTGCTGCCAAAAACTGTTGTGATAGGGCACATCATATCATCAGTTCAATCTCCCGAGTTCAATCATCAACATACAAGCCAATTAAACAACGTACCTCTGCCGTCCGGACGAGCTCCATCTCGAGCACACACGATGTCCTAGGCTGAATTTTCCACGCGCTCCCTTGTAGAGCCTCGCTGCTCTTCAGGATCTTTTCTACATTTAGCGCCAGCATTCGAAGTGAAGGAACTTGAAGCCCCGATCCAGAAATGCTGTCGGCGAAAAACTGTATACGGCTACCGTCGCAAACATTGAGCACATTGATGCAAGCTGGTAGATTGGCGATGGCAAAGGATACTGCCACGTCGGATACGTTTCTCACACAAATCTGAAACGTTGATGATTTCCAGCCGATTCCATAGCCAATTTTTCCCAAGGAGAAGCACTTTTCAGCGATCTGAAACCGCGGTTCACCGTAAGATCCCGAAACGTTTACAACTTTCAGCGTGCATGCTTCTTCGGCATCCGTTCCATCTTCACTGTCAAAACTCTGGATTCCAATCATTCCCCGCAGTGGGCACAGCTTACCACTCTCGATTGTATCAATAGGTAATGGGACAGTCGTAGCAATGGCCGCAAAGCGGAACGATAGCGAGCACGAACTCTTGGCCTCCAGTGAAAATGACTCGCCGTAGAAAATGGACGGTTGATGACTCGGTTGTGCTATCTCAAGTGGTGGAGTGTGCAGCCTTCTAGCACTGTCGGTCGAGGTGCATCGAGCCATCAAATCGTTTTGCTCTGTGATAGCTGTGATATCTCCTGAGTGTCGTTCACGCTTCCATTCGAACGTCAACGGAAGCGTACTCAAGGGGCGCACCACCATGGCTCGATCTGTCGTGTTCGTAAGCACGAGGGTCTTTCCAGTACGTTGCTTGTCTGATTGTGACGCCGTGTTCACTGTCGGGCCATGCTCCTCTTCAAAAAAAGATCCATTTCCGTGGTCTCCATATATCCGATATTTACGAGTTGTGGGCTCGCCTTCGCCTCCAGAAGAAGACGGGCTGTCCGCCAACTCGTCCTCAAGCTTAATCACGTTAATCAAACCAAAGTCAAGAGTTTGCAGTGAATGCGATTTTTGAGTTCCGCCGTACGTAGATATATCAGTTCCCGCATTTGCACCTGGAATTTCGCACTTCAATGCACCATTATCCACAAAAAGCACGACATCAACGAAGCTAACTTTTCCCGGGTAGTGGATATTTTCCACCATGATACGACGTCGAAATAGCCCGTTCGTGTACGCCACTATACGAAACTCGATAACTCCAGTCTCACCGGCAGGAATTTCACCCTTTTCGTGCTTCAGTGAAATGTGTAGTGCATCATCGTCATCTGAGTAGCCCTCCGTAGCACTTGTCACAAAGAGGCGGTATCCCAGCGGCAACGCCTTGCTCATGTTAATCAATTCAAAGTACCCTTCGTGCGTTTGGCATGTTTGCGTCCGTTCGCTGTTGTATTCCACACCAAAGTCGATCAAGGACGGCGTCACTCGAGCAATACTGGCACCGGCCACTCCAACAAACTTGACAGTAAACTCGGCCAACATCTCACTCTTCTCCTCTTCTGATGACTGGGTCGTCTGTAGCCCGAACAGCTGAACGCGAATGCCACCAACGAGATCACGTGTCGACCCTGTCTTGATTGCATCCGATGACAACCGTGGGCGTATTGCCACGTAAAGATCAATGGATTGCTTCCCTTTCATCGTAACATGTGTCGCTTCACGATGCAGGCGAGCGTCTTCGTAGACATAGCACTGAGTCTTCAGGTTCGACGATGCGCAAATAACCAAAGAGTCGTCCACTTGACTCTGTAATGTCAGCTTGTGCACTTTACTGAACCTAAGCGAGACATTGGGGCTGTCCACCGCTGTGTCTTGCATTTCTGGCGTAACGTAGCAAGGACCAAGATTGAGAACTTCCAACTGGCCCGTCGATTGAAGGTCCAATTCAGGAACCCGAACATACACTGGCCGAGTAATGCGAACCGACAATACCAACACAGACGTGTCGAGGCGATCCCCACTGAGATTGCGCAAGACAATTTGCTCGGTGTGTTGTCCAGGTACACTGCCTTTGTACACAAATGTAGCTCTCACAGAAGACCCCGCTTCCACGGTCCCAGTAGCGTTTTCGAACGTCATATCGCCTCCAACAAGCAAAGGAGAAACCACGGACGATGAGCTCGCACTACCTTGATCACGAGACCCAGCTAGCAAAAGAAACTGGAGAGCTTGATGCGATCTATTGTGAATAACAACCTCACCCCTCACGTCATCACCTTGCTGATGTTCACCCAAATCAAGCGTGTCCTTCTCGAAACACAGTGACCGCTGGACAGCCTTAGCTATTGCAACACCCACGGACGAGGTCGGAGTCCGCGTCGTCACATCGATATTCTCACCCGGCGGCGAGTTGCTTGGGTGGTAGAAAAAATCGATCTGACCGGCATGTAGTTCCGCCGCTTCAGATACGCTCTCCAAAATCGATCGGCTTACACAAGACGCCAGAGAGGTCGACAATGCAAAGCCCGCATCACTAGTGAAACACCACTTAAAGTTCAAATTTACCGTCCGATCAGGGGGGATACTCAACTTTAGAGGAAGCATAGTTCGCAAGTCAGCACTCTCTGTGGGTCCAGACTCAGTCATCATCTCACCAGGTATCAGAAAATCATGAGGAACAACCTCGCACGTCAAAGCCAGCACATTTCTAAACGTTCCCGCTGCATTCCACACCACCTCCACAATCCCTGAGCCCTTATACGAAGGGGATCCAAGCGATAGTGTTACTGTCCAGCCACGGGTATCTGCTGGTGATTCTTCCGCAGACACCAGCAGGTTTGAGCTCGTTGGGGATACACCCAGCTGATCAGGGGCAATATCCAAGTTCAGCTTTCGTGCTGTCTTGCCAGAATCAGGGATGTTGATAGTTAAACTGCGACGATGCTCCACTATGGCAGAATCAGTACCAGAATGTGCGGTCTGCGATGGAATAACATCACCGAAGCGTGAAATGGAGCCCTCAATTGGCTCGTGTGGTTTTCTTGCACGACTTTCCATTGAAGAATCGCCCACTGTAGAAGGCAACACGCTGGTGTTTGGGTGCGGGGGAAGCACAGACGGAGGCTTTCGACCGACGGCGCGGCAAAATGCGTTCTCTCCAGCAGGCGTCCGTGAGAAGATTTCTGCATTGTACTGAAGCTCCTTGACCACGTCCTTGTTCTGCTGCTCAAAGAGGAGAAATTTTCCAACCCCTACTATAGGAGTAGCATCCCGACGAAGGAGTCGCTTTTTCATTTTCTGGCTTTGGCGAGCTCCGCTCTTGTCCCCGTCCTCCCCCCGTGGTGAGAGATCACCGGACCTCAGGGGGCTAAAAATCGCATAGGCCACAACTCGCCCAGTTGCCTCAGCTCCAAGCGAAAAGTGCAAAGTATTCGTACTGGACGACACTAGTCCGGTTTTCATATCGATGACCGGTTTGTCGGAATGTCTTGACCGTCGCCGTCGTGAATGCGAGCTGGATTCTGACTCAGACATCTCTGAATCGCTGTTGGCACTATCATACGGATCAAACTCCCCCACCTCACTGCTTCCTCCAGACCTGCCTGTCAATTCAGCGTCGCTATCTGCAGGCGTCCCGGGCTCTTTCGGAAGCTGTTCGCCAGATAACAACGCCTTGACCTGAGAAATCTTCGCGTTCAGTTTGACAATCTTGTCCGTCTTCTTTTTCGTAATCGCAATTCGCAACTTGTGCTCCAACTTCTCCAGCTCCTCGTCCAACTTTTTCTCCTGCGCTTGAGTAATAACCGTAGCTGGGGTTTCATCGACTGAAAAATAAAACGTTGGTCGCAACGTAGGAACCGTGAAACTTGGATCCAACTGGATCACGTATTCGCGCTTCTTGCGGCTAGTGTTTCGGACAGCGATCTTCACCTCATCTGTCTTCTCCCCTACAAGGCACTTTCCAAACGAGATCGTTTGGCCTAAAGAAATGCACGGCAGTAAGTTAATACCCCAGAATCTAAACAAAAATACCCATCAGAGGGAATACCTGATTGTAGAAGCTTGAACGTTTCTCGCTTGACTACCTTCGCCTTGATTGTGACCGAAACCGAGTTTTCTGGATCTTGAACGTTGATAATCTTCAGCTTTTCTTCAAAGGGACCAGCCAGGGTTGGTTGGAATTGAAAGCAGATTTCTTTCGTGCCGAATGCCTTCACCACGCCAACTTCTCCTTCCTTGATCTGTAAGAAGCCCGAAGAGATTGAGCCCGTTTTCTCAACGCTGTACACAAGCGGGGTAGCAGACATGTTTTGGACAACTAGTCGCTTCGAACTCTTCGAAGACGTAGTGATGCGGCCGAAATTGATGTTCTTCTGGTTCACATTCATGATGGAACGACATACTCGACTCTTAAGCAGTAGTTCCCTCACAGAAGAGCGAGTATCAAAAGGATGCTTTGACGTAGCCCATACGGGTTTGCTCTGGTCAAACTTCCCTCCATCTGTGACGGCTTTCTTGTTTCCACCAGGTGGAAGAGTAAGCATGATTTTATGCTTTTCCACTCGTGATTTCGCAACATCCTTGGGGGCTGCTGTCTCTGAAGCAACAGGACTAAAAACGGCGACGATACGTTGACGTGATTTTGCAGGGATGCGCACGTTGCGTTCTTTGTTGGAGCTCAGCAAAGCTAGCTTTTTCTCGGCGAATAGAGTTTGTAGGCGCTTCGTGCGTTCACGAACCATCGCTACAATTTCTTCCTCTTTTTCCTTTGAAGGAAGAGAGCTGTGGCAATGTGCATCGCATTCGGAACGAGATTTCGCAAAAAGCTCCAGCAGAGACGAAACCTCTTCCAAATCACTGGAGGTCGATGGCGACGTCAGCCTCGACTCTCTGGCCGCAGATGCCAGTAGTGAGCTAGAAGAAGGTCCTTCCGAGCTCCTTCTCTCATCTCCCGTCGCATGGGATGAATTTCCTTTGTTTTCTGAAGCGTTTTGCTGTTCTTGCCGACCTCTATCACTTTCGAAATGTTGAGTGGAAACCGACCTGGATATGCTACTTGCACCAGGTGAAGCTGTTGATAGATGGGCAGTTGAAATCGCCGTCAGTTTTTTCGTCAAAAGCTCTCGAAGCGCTGTCGACTTGCCTCTTTTCACGACCGTTTTCCCGTCCATTAGCTCCGACACACTGCCAAACGATCTGCGTCTGCGGAGAGGCCTCCCAGTAGGTGGCTGGCTTATTTGCGTCGAAGCATTACTTGGAGTGCCACTGCCAGCACTACCCTGCGAGGTCGTAGATTTTGAAGAAGACGATGGTCGAGCGTCACCTTCCTCTTCGTTGCCCCCGTTGTTTTCCAACATTTTCGATGGCTTTGCCACGTCGCCGAATGGATGTTTAATGCAATACAGCCGTACTTTTGCCGGTGCAGAGCTTTGTATGTTCAAGTGAAGCGGGGCATTCGTGATATTCTCCAAATCGAACACCTGGATTCCAACCGAATTGATTGCCACGTGCTCAAAATTCAGAAAGGCGGATCTCGACTGGGTCAGCAGCTTGTAAAACAACGAATGGTAGATCACGTGATGTGCGTCCATATTGCTCGAACGGACACAAATCTGCGGAATGTTGCTCTTGTTCTTCATGTTGATAATGGAGATGAGTCGCGAGTAGTTGGGATTCGTCTTGCGCGGAATAATTTCGATCTTGAGCTCGGTGGACTGCTTTGGACCAAGCATCATGTCGTCATTGGGCACCGTTGAAATCACTTTGGATGTGACTAACGGCTTTACGACCGTCGGTAATTCAGAATGATTTGTCAGCATACATGAACTGCTCTTCAGCTCTCCGATGTTGCAATCTCCCAAGTGCAACACTGACGGTGATACCGTCACCATGGAGGTGCACGTACGGGCGCGAACGTGAATAGATTTGCCCAGCGTGCGGTCATACACTCGTGACTGAGCTTGTTGCCGCGCGCCATGCATTAAAAGGCACCGGAACGATATGCGAAACGTCTGCTTCGTCAAACGAGCAGCCTTGAGATCGACTGCATCTGCGTTTTCGCCGTACAATCCTTCTAAGTTGCTACTGGATACCGGCGCGTACCATATTAAAATGGTTCGCTCGACACCAGGTGGCAAATCGATGGTTTCAACGAGGAAATTAGACACCGAGCTGTCGTCAACAGGGGCTGTCTGACGCTTTCGTGTGTCGACACGAAGACTTCGTTCAGGGGAAGAGCGCGGGCTGTCATCATAAAAAAATACAACATTAGATAAAAGCACATCGAGAAGCAATGCCCATACGGCAGCAACCACTTTACCTGTCCACACCACTATCGTAAGCGAGGCCTCTCACTCGAGACGAAACCTTAGACGACTTTTTCCCTTTCGTCCGATAAGTTTTCTTTCGCAAATCTCCAGTCCCTCTTGGTCCTCGCAATTTTGGACTTCCCAGAGGACTTTCAGGCAGTGCCCGGGGCTCTCGATCAAACTCAAAGTCGTCATCTAAATCCTCACCATCTCCCATCGGGTTCTCCTCGAAAGAGTTTCGTTTAGTCTGTTGAAATTCCTCCTCGTAGAAGTCTCCCTGTCACAACAGTAGTTGCAATTTGTTAGCCTGCTGATACCTTTCAATAATCAAACGCACTAACCTCGTTGTCATCGGCCTCCTCGTCACTGTCAAGTGCGTACGCATCCATGTTTGAAAAGGACATCGAGGTCTTCGCTCTGTCAGGAGACATCGATCCCTTTAAGCTCGATCCATCGTTGGAATTAGTGGGAGAAAGAAGCTCTTCACTACGTGGGGCTCTCGGAACACGTGATCGATTCTGCTGCAGCTTGAGTTCGAACGTGACTTCCTTGGGTCGGTCGCTAGTCAGCTCCACATGTAAGGCCACCTCTGTCATATTTCGCATCAAAATCACTTTTGAACTTGCGATTCCCGTGTAGCAATCCCCAAAATCAAGCCGACTTCCACTCCTAAGGTAAGAACCATCGGGCTCCTTGATCGACAGACCCTCCCTTTACGACACATTAGACGCAATTGTTTTAAGTGAGCAGATAGCAAAGTATGATGATACTTCAATGGCGTCATTATACCTGTGATGCTCTTGGTTCGTAACTGCATGAATCTTGAGAACCTTCATGTTTCTGGAGTCATGTAGGTTTTGTGCCTGAATCTCGAAAAAGCGCTCTCCGATCTGTACGCCACGCAAGTAGGCAGCCAAAGCATGCGGTAAATACCAACACGGATCAGCTGTCTCCCCCTCCTAATACACACTTACATCCGTCGGGCGATACGTGACGCGAATCCGCACATGTCCATAAGCAGCAGCTTGAAGCGTTTTGTCGCCAATAACGTATCCAGAGTTGTAGTCCGTACACACTAGCAGTTCGTTATTCTCACTCCACGGCGTCATTGGCGACACAAGCTTGAGCAGTAACGGGATCTCCGAGCGGTTCCAGACCGTAAAGTCCTTGACGAACGAGCCGCCAGGCACACAATCATCGAAATGCAATTCCTTGACATCTAGTCGTAGCAGCGAGCGGCACACTTGAGCTTGCAGTGGCACCAGCATCTCCGGAATCGGCAATCTACTAGTAACACTGCCGTCAACGAATGATGGCTGCAGTATCAGTCGCCCTGACAGCACGAAGCACGATGTTTCACTAAGATGAGCACGCTCTTCCTCCGACGAATCCCCCGCCGCCACGTACGTGGAGCTCCCCGACGCATTGTGCTGCGGTGTAAGGTTAGTACATATGGAAAACATGATCCTCCTAGTCTCCCTGGGCCCCAGCACGATCTCGTCCAGTGTCCCGATATGGTTGAAGAGCTCGTTGTAGCCTTCACACAGGTAAACGTTCTCGGCACACAGAGCAGCCTTGGACGACGAGCGTAGCACGGAAAATGGTACGTGGTTAAATTCATCCGAGGCCACGGCACGGTCCCTCTCCTGCTGAAGCTCGCGCTGCATGATGCTAACATTTTCGTTCTCGAGCTGGAAGCCCCACTGAGTGTTCTGGAAAGGCTTGCGCAGCTCCGCGCGTAGCTTTAGCTTGAGCTTGCGTGCCTTCTGATTTGCCACTTCGAATACGAAGATATCCGACAGGTCGTTCAGGTAGATCTCGCCCAGGCCCAACAGCTCACCCTTGCCGCCACGATACTCAACGCGGCTCTGCTCCGCCTTGCTCAGCATGGCTACGGTCACGACGGGTGGTGGTGGCGAGTACGCTGCAGGCACATCGAGAACCTGCGGTTGTCCTCCTACCACAGCGTCAATGTCGCCTGGGGCCGGCGCAGGCGCGGCCTCCCCCACGCGATTCTTCATCCTTGAGGCTCGCAGGTCAAGTGCGGATTATAAGGTGGTTAAATGCGACATAACCTGTTTCCTATGACAAAACTTGATTGGACGAATGTGATATAACCTATAAAAGACCAATCGTGTTGTGTTGGCAGACATCAGTCTTCCAGATTGCGAAGATGAGCGAGGCGAAGGCTCCAGCGACGTCCATGTCGGACGCTGCCTACGCCTTCGATGAAGAGGTACTCAAGGATGTGCGCAACAATAAGGTGTGGATGCAGGACCCCAAGTACTTCAAGAAGGTGATTGTGTCGCCTGCCGCCACCATGAAGATGCTCAACCACGCCAACTCGGGAGTGGAGAAAGGCATCAAGGCCGGTGGAAAGCCCGTGGAAATCATGGGACTTATAATGGGACGTCCGTCTACTGGAACTGACAGAGACGCTGGAGATGCCCACACGCTCGTGGTCACCGATTGCTTCCCACTGCCCATTGAGGGCGCTGAGACGCGTGTGCTTGCAGACGACGCCGAGGTTATTAACTACATGATCTCGCTGGGCGAGGCTGTGGAGCAGACCCGGAAAGAAAAGTTTATGGGATGGTACCATAGCCACCCGTTCGACGTCGAGGTGCACAGCCACTGCTTTCTTTCTGCCACGGACGTGAGCACGCAGCTACAGTGGCAGCGCTCAGAAGATCCGCACGGCAATCCGTGGCTTGCTATTGTATTGGATCCGCTGCGCTCGCTGGCCAAGAAGCGCCCGGAGATGGGAGCTTTCCGCGTGTATCCGCCGGAATTTGCTGCCCCTGTGAACGAGACTCCCGATGGAACAATTGTCACGGACGAGAGTGCGAGACTCGAGCGCTGGGGTAACTGCTGGAACCGCTACTACACGCTGGAGATCGACTACTTTATGAGCTCTCTTGGTTCCCAGGTTGTCAGTGTTCTATCAGAAGAATTTCTATGGATGCGTACGCTGAGCTCCAACACGATGCAGGAGCGCGAGAACCGCGACCGCTTCTCGGAGCGAATTCAGCTGCTGGCGAACAAACTGGATGGCTGCGAGGCTCATTTAATGCCCCGTGTCGGTCGCAGCGCGTCACGCATTGGTGAGTATTATGTGCCGGAAAAGCAGCAGTCGCACAAGGAAGCTGAGGAGTCGGCGCTCGACAAGATCACTCAAGCAGCGAACGAACTCGCCATTGAGAACTCACTCGGGCAGGAGCTGCAGGTCACCAAGAAGGCTCTCTTCAATGACAAGAAATGAGTTGCGCTGCCACTCTCCGTATAAAGGTAGCACAAGGTAATAAACATGGACTGCGTGGATTATCTTCGGAACTTTGCGATAAATTATTGCCGTCAACAGAGAACCTAGAACAGCTTCGTCTTGGTTCTTCCTTCTCCCATTGCAAACAGTTCCTCCGCAATACGTTCTTGCGCTTCCATAGCCTCAAGGTTCTCCTGAAGTGCTTTGCGTTCGGGGTTGTCGACCACACTGACAACAGTCTGCTGCGGGAACAAGGAAGCTGTGGAAGAACGAGAGCCGTGTCCGTTGCCTTTCTTAAAGCGCTTGTAGTTCACTAGGCCGTTTCCCCCTCGCCTACCTGAGCGAGGCAGTTCTAGCTTCTTCACGATCAAGGAGCAGCTCACGACGATTGGTTTACCTGCATCTTCTTCTTCAAACTTTACGTCACGCGGTTGCAATACACGCGCTGACTTCCAGGAGGACGCTTCTTCATCGTTTGGCTTACGGGACAGCTTCTCACGCTCGCATTTGTTAGGAGTCAAAGATTCTATCACGTAAGAAAACAATATGGCCCCACACCGCAACAGAGTAAGTGACATCTCCGTTGCAAGGAAAGCTTGAAATCACCGTACGTCGCATTTGCGCCTCGTCCAAAGAGGGGATCTGCACGATGTTGATGTTGCTGTCCTCGAACATGTCACGTTTGGCCTGAGAGCACAAAACTCGTTAAGAACTTGAAAGGAAGTAATTCTTAAAGAAGGTAAGCGTACCTCCTCGTAGAGAGGATCAGTTTGCTGTTCAGAGTTCTCCTTAATCGTCACATCCGCAGCGTCAACATCCTCGTCGTCATCTTCTCTGCTTGATTTTACATCGTCGTCTTCATGTTCCACTGTTGACGTAGCACTTCGTAAGCTTAAGTGCTCTGGAAAGCTCATGATCTGAACGGATGAGCCTGCATAGCTAGCAAGACTACTGCTGAATGTGGAGTCATTGGATGCTGAGGGTGGTTTTACAAAAATCACACTCGCCGCAAGCTCTTGAACACTCGTAAATACAGCCCCCATTGACTTGAACAGCTCCACACGTCGCTCTACTATTTCTACAGGACACGGAGGATCTAAAGAAGCTGAAGCTCGCTGTTCACTTTGACCCGCTGTGCTGGAGAATCCCGACCCGTGTGACGGCTCCACAAGAAGTAGGCGCTTGCTCGAAGCCAGCGAATCCAACGCACGCAGCAAGTTATCATCCTCCTCAAAGCCCTTGTAGGCAGCAGCCACTACACCACCCATAGCCGGGATGAGCTCTTGCATGGATTGCGGGGTTAGAAACACGACTGCGTATCCTTGAAACAGTGACTTGCGGAGCGAATTCGGCAGATAGTTGCTCTCTACTGAAGGGACAAGCGGGTCTGAAGGCAGAAACTCTTCACATCGTGGCAACGGCTCGGGCAGACTCGAGCGATTCAAAATGGCGTAGATCCACGGCGTGCACACCACCGGTTGGTTGTATACCAGCGCCCAGAGCACCTTCACAGTCGCCACAATGCGACCTGGGTCCATAATACAGTGTGTAGCGTCCTTGCTCTCCGCCGCAACCAAGTGCATGCCGAGACGCTGGCACGTGTCGTTCACTTGCACTCGATTGGCCCGTTGAATGCGTGAGGCCACGAGTACGAACACTTGATAGCGCACTCGCAGCACCGTCTTCTTTGCGCCAAACGAGATCTGGTCGCCATGACGCAAGATGCGCGTCCCGAAGATCTGTTCCTGGTTCACGAAGGAGCCGAAACGAGAGTTCTTGTCCACCAATTCCAATGTTGGACGCGTCGATGGATCTCTAAGCTGCTCAGGAGTCAAAGCCCCGACGCGGATCAGCGCGTGTGTGCGCGAGATGGACGAGTCCGCGTGAAAGTTGAAATGGCAGCGCTTACGCCCCACGCTCCACTCGCCCGCCACAAGGTAGAAGGTCGTGTCCGCGCCGTCGCCCGCCACCACGTCCAGAACCCACATGAGCAAAATTGAGATGAGGCTAAAAACGCAAGGCAAACCCCCTAACCCACTCAAGTGATGGTCGTTGAAGTGCTTATTGACTTTCCATTCATTTTTAAAATTATGCTAAAAAAGCATAGTTTCCCCCAAAGAAGCTCACTCTCTTAAACGACTTGTGCGACGATGCAAACAGTTTGCCAAACTGCAGTCTGCATCATCGAAAATAAATTTAACTGCACCTTCTCGTCTTGAACTTCACCAGGAGCTTCGTCGTGGCAAGCTAGGCGTTTCTGCCGAAAGCCCAGTCCAAAAGGTGGTGCGGGGAACTTGGACCATTTGTCGGCGATGGGGGGAAGCTAAATCGACGCTCCGGGGGCGATTGTGCCACACCCGTCTCATTTGGAGACGGAGACGCCTGAAGGGAAGGACACGAATACTCGACCTCGCTGCCCGAGCAGCTAAGATTTACTCCCTCAAATAGAGGCGAGTAGCTGGGATCCTCCTCGCTGTCTCGACGCGGTGAAGGTGAGCGACGGATCCTTTTCGAGTCGTGTGCATGAAACGGCAACTCGCGCCGTGGCAGACTTCGTTCGCGCCTTGGGGACCCTATCGAGCAGCACATGGGAATTCAGGCTTGATAAATAAGATCCTTCTCCACTTACGCACTCACCGTAGTCGCTTCTCGCTTGGTCGCGTCGCTGGTGTCGGTCATAATGTGAGTGCCGGCGTCGGTGGGACCGAAGACTTGGTTGGTGACGCAAGTGAGAAAAATGTGGTTTTTCCGTGCGGCTGAGACGCCCTCGTCCACGCCGATCCATCTTCACTAACCCCCACATTTCGTCGATCCACATTATTTGTGACGCCAATTGTTGTAGATCCCCTGACACAGTGTCCAAGAAACCTACAAAATCGATCATACACATGCTGGTTAGAATAAAAACAAGAAAGTAGTTCGAACAACCGCTTTGTTTGATGAAAACGTACCGACTACCCAGACTTCTCTCGCCAGTTCATTGCGAACGTAGCGTAAAGAGGTATAAAAGTCTCCATCGCCACTGACTAAAATGACGCGCTCAATATTCTACACAAAACCGACAAAAGACAGAACATTAGCTTTGCATATTAAGTGACAATTTGCAGGCAAGGACGGTTTAGACCGTACACGCGTCAACGTCAAGGTAAGCAGCTTTGTAGCTATCCTGTTATTAATTTACGAGCAACGGGGTTAATGCACGAGGTCCTTTATACATTTTAGCATTTCATCTTACCCGTTGTCGACACCCTTCTGCACATTCTGGTTAAACTTGTGTCCGCAGCTCGTGCATTTGCAGCTGCGCGGCTTGGTCGAGTAGATCTCCACTTGAAGCTGCATTCTCGTCGTACATAAATCATTGGTCTGTCACTTGACTGTTACAAGCAAACAAACGTACCTGGGGCCCTCTTGGGCGAGCATACTTCAGGGCATGGAACTCTGAAGCCAATTGACTGTTGCCTGGCGCATCTCTACGTTGGCTGTCGAAGTACCAGCACTCTGATGTGTGTTACGATAGACATCTCCAAATTGTGAGCTAAGTACTGACAAGCATATTCATTTTCCTTGCAACCAAACTCACCATCAAACTCGGTTGACGCGATCTCCTCTAGCTCCGTTCGGAGACGGCTGAAATCGATATTTCCGCCCTAGCATGCGAGTTAGCAACGTGATACCGACATATTGAAATACAGTGCTTACCAGACTGCGACCATGGATGCGTGCATACGCTCCATCTGTCAGCAATAGATAAAAAATGTATCATTCTTTGCATTTATTGAGAAATGGAATTTCATCGGCTTACCAATGATCAACGCTGTTGTCTTGGCGGACACCTCGCTGGTCTTTCTTTTCATAGCCATGCTTGACTTGTTCGGGGAGCGGCAAATTGCCAAATACCGAGATGGGAAAACACGAAGAAGTCAGCTCCTAGGAAATTCCCTCAACTGTCTTAGCTCTCTTATTCTCTGGCTGTCATGCGTGGTCTGGGACCAAGGAACGCGAGCGTTTGCTGTTTATCACGCCCCGTCGCAGCCGGGTCGCTTTCGATCGAGCTGCGGCGGTCCAGAATTCTTCCAGAGACGTGATGGAACTGCAAAAATTGGCGTGGACACCCGCAGCTTTGAGCGAGAGCAGAACGAACTTCGTAACAAAGCTTCATCCTCCAACGGTTGCGGCAACTTTGCATCTTCAACCTCTTTTGTAAATACCGGTAATTGATTCTCTTAAACCTAATATTCACAATTCCAAAAAGCGCGGGAACGGCAACGTCATTATTCGTTGGCAATGTCCAGACTGAAGCGCCGACGCGAGGAGGCCTCGCAGCGCAACAAACGATCGCGCCACCGTACGCATTGTATATAATATTGCTGTTCTGTGCTCTGCATCTAACAGCTTATAACACTGCGCAGGCGACGTAATTGGCAGCGAAGACGCAAGCGACGATGAAGTGATGCCGACGAATGTCGTGGTGGATGACGGCCCCAGCGACGAAGAAGCAAAAGAAGAAGACAACGACGAAGAGGAGGCGCTTTTGGACTTTACACAGACGGACTATGTGGTCCAGATGAGTCAGGTGGAGCCGATCGCAGGTGACGACAGTGACGATGAAGGACTGACCAGGCGAAACAAGGAGCCCACCAAACCTAAAGCCTTGCACAAACTTTCAGACAAGGTTTGCCATATAATGCGTATATCTGTGTGTATATGAAGCTGTCTGTACTGATGTTGTTGTACGAATAAGGCGCTGGATGAGCTCATGGCGAAGCTGGTGCGCTACATGCTATACAAGGGCGGCCTGAAGCTGCCGATCAAGTTCGCGGACATCAGCAAGGACGTGTTCCCGCAGTACAAGAGTGTATCAAGGTGCGCTAGAACGAATTGCTAAGTGGCGGTGAAGTATATTGTGCTCTAATGAGTGTGGCTGTTACTACAGATACTTCTTCTACCACGCGAAACAGAAGATTGAAAGCGTGTTTGGCTATCGCGTGGTGCAGGTGGAAGATAGCACAAGCAAGGAGCTGTACCTCGTGCTGAACAATGCTTCGTCGCAAGAACACTTGCTGCTCATGAACAAGACGGGAAAAGCTGCTTCGCGCGGGTTTCTCATGATGGTGTTGGGCCTCTTGTGGTGCGCCCCTGCCCGGCGACTGTCGGAAGGTTCGTTTACTGGTGTTGTCAGTGACAACTTGTCACACATTTGCTCTTGAGCTGGCGTAAAAGCAAAAAACTCACGGTGCTTGCTTGCGAAATATAGATGATCTGTGGAAGCAACTGATCCGCTTGGACCCGACAGTGAAGCTGAAAGTAAACCACCCTCAGCTTGGAGACATTTCTTTGCTCTTCAAGACCTTTGAGAGCCAACTGTAAGTGAACGATCGACACTGTGTATGATGCACTTCATCGCGGATCGCACTTAAACGCACGTTTGTTGCGGATGCTGTCAGGTACTTGGACGCTACGTCAGAGCTTGATATGGACCTGAAGAAGATCAAACATTACCAGTATGGGCCGCGAACGTTTCTGGAAGTGAGCAAGGTGCAGGTTCTCAACTTTGTTTGCAAGGTGCGCAGTTTTGTCCTTGAGACCACTATTAGAATCGCTTATTTACGCTAAGACGCTATTGTGTACTGCTAGCTGATCACAGGACGTCCACCCTCCGAGGTGCAGATAAATGAGGTCCTGGCTGAAGACAACTAAGACAGGAAAGCAATTAGCAACATCATCCATTTAACGCTTCAAGCCATTTCCGATTCCCCGTTTTTGTTCCTTTCTATACTGCCCGCCCCCGATCACTAAAATGGAGTCCATCGTCGCTGCCTACGGATCATCGTCCGAATCATCACACGACGCTGCTTCCTCCTCGTCCGACAGCGAAGCGGGATGTGCCGCCACTGGAGATGATACTCAGGTTGGCACTAAGCGGAAGCGCTCCGATGAGCAGCAGTGGAAACGAGCTTTCCCTCACGTTGATGGCAACTGGCCAAGCCACGTACGAATCGATATTCCCGTCACCCACGAACTTCGTGAGCTGGCGAGACACGCTATCGAGCGAGCTCAGGAGATTGTCGGCGACGCGGTAGCAATGTTGGCTTTCGAGGAGCTTGGACTGACATCAACTGGAGCAACTGATTATCTGCACCTGAGTCTATCGCGACCGTTTGTCCTCACGTACGACCAGATTAACGGTTTTGTGGACTCACTGCGTGCTGCGCTCAAATGGCAACAACGGTGCCGTGCATGTTTACTTTCAGTGTAATGGATCTTGTAGTTGAACTGATCATCTGTCAGCTGTAAATGCTCTCAGGTTCAGCGTTACCCTGCGGCGCGCTCTCGTGCTGGCGAACGATGAAAAAACTCGCTCGTTCTTAGCGCTTCGAGTTGGTGAAGGAGAGCAGCAATTCACTCAAGTGCTGCGCTGTGTGGATCAGTGCCTCTCTCGCGTCGAACAGCCTACTTACTACAAGGTGCGTCGTTGCTTCTCCAATTTTGCAAGAACAAATGCATCGTATTATTCAAATGAATGTCGTTGTGTTTGTTGCCGGTGGCTCGAATGGTGTTGTTCGCTAACGTCGGGGTGATTTCGATCTCATAGGATCCCATTCCGCATGTTAGCATCGCCTCTTCCCTGGGTGAAGAGCTCGCGCAACTAACATCGGACCAATGTGAAAGCCTCCTCAGCCACCAGCAGGAAAACCAGCGCTGCTTTACGACAAGCGTAGCAGCAGTTCACGTCGCCATAGGCAACAAACACTACGACATTCCACTCCGGTAAATCGCCAATCCTATCTCGCCTTCGGCTCACTTGACAATGCGCAAAACCTCCGCCTTTCGTCTTCTTCCATTTTCTTTAGCCGTCGACGTGTCACTCACTTTCTGTCTCGGAAGCGAGATCGATAACTTCAGCCCGGGAGCCCATTTCATCCATTCCATCTTCACGATCCTGCGCTGCCATAACCGGTGCCACTGATCTCAGTGGCACAGGCAATGACAGCGGAAACGGTTTGCCTCCCACATCTTCATCCGAACTGATGTCTGATAAAGTGAACACTGGCGCATCGTCTGCCGGCTTGCTTGAATTCGTACGAGCTCCTCGTTTTGTTGGCCTTTGCTCGCTGTTATCTGCACCTACAATACACCGTGATACGATGAGCAAAAAAGTTGTTCAGCAAGGTAATCCAGCGCACACATTCCGCCACGCGTACCATTTCTTTTCCGCTTCTTGCCATTTCTCTCACCTGCACCTCGTTTTCCTTGAGCTGTTGGCTTTTTCTTCCTTTTAGCCACCCCTGCTGGAACACTTGTAACTTTCACTGGGACACTTACTACCGCAGGAACACTAGGCAACGCGTTTTCGACGTCAGGTAGGGCGTTCGAGGTGGCGCCATTCTCGGTGCTAGGTGGTTTCGCACGAGGCCGATCCCTCGATCGGGAGCGGCTTCGTCCTCGGCCATTTCTTCCTCGACCTCTTCCGTTCAATCGCCCTTCACGACCCCGGGGTCTGACCCGAGCCAATTGGTTGGAGCGGCTTCGCGCATCTTCACTAGTTGGAGCTATGACAACTTGGCGACCACTGCCTACCTCTTGCGCTTCGTTGAGTGCTGAAACAGAGTCATTGCTAAAGTGTACGTCCTCTCCTTCGTGGTCCTCAAACCACACAACTTCGTCTTTTCGCATTTCGTTTTTTCGCCCTCGATCTTTTCGTCCTTCATCCCTATGTCCACCCTCTTGAGATCTTCCCTGCCGGATACTTTTAACTTGAGACCATAAGTCATTCATCCAAAGAACCCGTGATGCCAGTTGCTGCAGGTCCCCGGATACTGTTCCTCGGTAGCCTAAGCAATTATCTCGTATCATCAGTACCGTTTATCAAGTAACTGAATAAACGATTGGAGCAGCACTTACCAATTACCCAGATATCCTTTCGTAACACATTGCGTACGTGGCTGAGTGAGCTGTAAAAATCACCGTCACCTGCTCCAAGCATGCAATAAGTCAGACCCAGGAAAATAGTAAAGGAAAGTATGAACGCGCACCGGCAAACAAAATGAAGCGGTCGCAAATCTGGTACACGTTCAGCAGAAACCAGGTTTACGGAGAGATTTGAATATTGTGACAGCACAGAGTTGGCTTACGTTTTCATAGGCAAGTGACAGGATCTTGGTAGCAATTCTGCGTAACGTATTACGCGTTTAGTAAGATTCGTTTTGTCCTAGAAAATACATGATGTCGATGCCCGTACCCGTTGTCAACACCTTTTTGCACATTCTGCGTGAAGTGGTTGCCGCATCTTCTGCAGTGACAATTATACTTTTTCATCGGGAACAAGCTGACTTGGAACTGCCAGCAGTAGCCATTTTACAACGTCTGTCACTAATCATTCAGCACCACACTTAGCAGGTCTGCAATACCTGAGGCCCGTCCGGAGGTGCAAACTTCAGCATGTGGTACTCTGCCGTCAATGCTGGATTAACCCGCTGAGCAGACGGGTTCTGGTCGAAGAACCAGCAATCTAATGAATCATGAAAGCGTCAACAAGCGTGACGGCCATTGCGCACACATACAGCAAAACATCAATCTGCCTGCATACTCCCACGCCTACCTCCAAATTGCGTCGACGCCTGATCTTCCAGAGCCGATCGGAGCTTGATGTAGTCGATCTTTCCACCCTGCATATGTCACAGTCAGCTAAGAATGTGCATCTCCACCGCACCTTACTACCATGGTAAAAGAGTGCACCGTACCAGGGCCCGCGCTCCTATCATCGCATAGGAACCGTCTGCATGCACGTCAATTAGACTAAGAAACGCCGGACAAGATGCCAATTTACAGAAACTTGACACGCACCGATAATTAGCGCTGCGCGGGTGGACCCAGCAGCCTCCATGCTCGATCCTGACGACGTCGCGGACGCCATAGAGGCAGGGTTCGCAAAATGGGTTTTGGAATTTTGGGTTTTGGGTATTTTGAGCGACCCACCCACCCACTCTTTCTTTAGGCTGGGTTTTCTGGGTTTATAAAAATTAAGTAAGAGCGATAGAGCTGACGCAATACGCAAGTGCCATGGCACTCGATGCGGCCGCGTCTTCGCCCGCCGGCACCTTAAGCGGGTCATTTGCTACAATACCCGCTTTCGGTTAACCAGTTGAAAAGAGCTACCCCAACCGCCACGAGTTGTCATTAGAGCACATTTCTTCCTTGCCCCAAAATTCGGATATAATATAATATAATAGGGTATTTACTTAACTTCGTCTGACGAAGATAATCAAAGTTACCTTAGCGCAACATTCAAGTAACGTCACCTTACTGTGACCAGTCGGGGAAAAGCTTTTGGAGATGGCAGGCGATACCAACGTGGAATCGATTGTGGACTTGATGGAGAGTGAGCTTGGCCCCTCTTCCAAGAAGCAAGATGCGTCCGCAAGGGCGAAGTTCAATGCCTTCTTGACCAGACATGTAGACAAGACTCTGAAGCTAGCTACGCTAACAGCAGCTCATGTGACAAAAGAAATGTTTGGTAAGTTTTTATCTTTTTTGTTTAATGATCCTGACATCCATTGGCGGACGTCGATGAGCTATCTCAGCTCTATCAAGCGTCAGCTGGAAGAGACGACTGGCACAGAGCTTTTCCGCAACGATCCGGAGTGGTACCGACGATGTCGTCGTCATCTTCAAAAACAATATCTCATGCTTTCCATTTCGACTGGAAAAAAGCTGAAGCAACAGGCTCCTCCTATGACACTAGACGACTTACGTTCCATCTCTACAATTCTCTTTCTTCGCAATGATGTCGAAGCGCTACTAGACAGAACTCTGCTTAACAATCAATGGCTAGCAATTGGACGCAGCTCGGATATTGGCACCATTCACTTCTCAGACTTACACTGGAATGGGAACTTTGTTCTCATCGACGTCACACGGTAAGGGTTAGCTAGTACTATTTCTTCTGCCCCTATTAATTGAGTTTTCGTTCTGCAGCATAAAAGCTCGACAACAACAAAGTATTTCGATTTTCTGTTCTTATATATGCTGGAGTATTGACCCTTTCCATGCTTTGGCATCTCAGCTAATTGCCAATCCGTATAACGCCTCGCCAAGGGTGTTCTCACAAGTATTGGAGACTACGACGGAAGCGCATGTGGCTGCGTACATCAACAGGTTATTTAAATCCATGTACAAGTATGATCACACGTTGACACTTACGAGAAATCTCCAGTCGCATTCAACAGCTGCATTCGTGTCAGGAGGAGCTGCTGGACTGGGGTAGCAAGATCCGGAAGCGGTTTGTTACTGATAACATCCTCTCGCTTCCAGTAGAAAGTATTAAAAGCAGTCTCACGATGGAAGAACAAGCGGAACAATTTGTTGGAGTTCATACCTTTGGGGATACGCTTGAGAGGTTATTACTTGGGCATCAAGAACTTGTTGCTGCAAATGAAAGTCTGAAAAACATGATGCATCAAATACTAGATAGGTTAGATCACATGCCTCGCATGGAGCACACCGTGTGCGCTGTGTGCAGTACCGGCAACGTGGCGGAGCAAACCCAGCCACCAAATGCAGCCTCAACACTGGAACTACGTCCTCCAATGGTAGAACAAACGTGGCCACACCGTTTATCCAGCTTGAGGGGCAAGCGTCTGTCCGACTTCTTGGTGCAGTATTTTGTGGAGGGTCTCGGTTCTCTTTCCAAATCCCGTGGCAACAGAAGTCAAAAGGACTGCTTGCGTGCTGTCGAAATTGTGGCGTACGTTGCTGATTTGTCTAGTATACCACCTATCTCAGCGCCAGTTCACGAGTTGGAAAGGATGCAGTGGATGTCTGCTATGGTAACCATGGCTAGTCAATGCGAGACATTGTTAGTGTAACGGGGTACAATCCAGTGTGCCCCATGTTACATAAATAGTGACCCGTCACTCTTGTGGACACCTGGTACACGGTACCAGGTGCTCTCGGAGCCAGTCAGTGCATGGCTACTTAGCTCCACTATAGGTAATTTCTAGTTTGTATGAGACCCAAGCTTATCTTACTTATAAATACATCAGTCTTAAATCTACTCCTCTAAGTAGCAAACCGTTCCCACTGAGGCCGGGAACACGTGGACTTACGTTCACTCGGGTAGTTAATACCCTTAAGCACTTCCTCTGTGCAAGGTGCTGTGTGACCCCGTCACACTTGGTAGCACTAGTAGTCAATCCAACACCATCGCGGGTAGATTGAACTACCTGAATCCTCTGTGCGCTCAACGTTTGAGCCAAGATGGACCGAAGCGAGTTTCCTCGCTTGAACGACTCACAGTACGAGTCTGTTCGGAAGATGGGAGGCATCTTTGGACAAGATGTCCTTCGCAGCTTGGCGGCGGCGACGCCTGCCGAGCAACAAGAACGCGTGACCGCGTTTGAGACCTACGAGCGTGGTCTCATCGCTCACGTCCGCGGGGGCTTGGAGGCCACGATGGCCGCTCCCCAGGCAACCAGGCCTAAGCCGGTGTGGCTGAAGGTCCCCGCGTTTGAGGGGAAGGAAGGAGAGAACCTTCACTTCTGGGTCCGTGAGGTGGAGATCGCCATGAAGGCGGGTCTCATCTCGGACGAGCCAGTTCGGGTGGCGTCTTCCCTGTCCAACCTTGGTGGACGTGCCAAGCACTGGGCATACACCAGGGAGACGACATCTCCTGGATGCTTTGCATCCTGGGCTCAGCTGTGTGAGCAGCTTCGAGCCGCGTTCCTACCGGCGAACGACGAGTTCCGCCAGCGCTCACGCTTTCTCGCGTGTAAGCAAGGTAAACGTGAGCTGCAGGAGTACGCGCAAGAGATGCGCACGCTGGTGGCATCTCTGGCAGGGAATCCTCTGCCTGAAGACATTAAGCCAACAGTCCTCATGGACGGCCTGAAGGTCTCCAAGAAGAGTACAGCCACAAGCAGGCTGGTACTCTTCGGGAAGAAGAACATCGCCACGATGAGAATGGCGTTCCTCGGGAGGCGGAGCATCGCAGCAATGACGCTGTTGCTCCTGCTGTCACGCAGCCCGTCGATACCGGTGCGTACAGCGAGCCCGAGCCCATGGACTTAAGCTCAGCCGAGAGCTTGGTCCGCTGCTATGGATGCGGCGGACATGGACACTACCAGCGTGTGTGTCCCTCGCTAGTCCTCGGGAAGAAGACGGCCCGTGGGCCCCAAGTCCGGTGGCGCAGGCCACGGCCAGGTGGACGAAGACTCCCCGGCCACCAGTAGAGGCGGTACGCCCTACTGAAAAGCGCTAAGTCTTTGTGATGGGTGTGCAGGTTGTGCACACCACGGGACTTAGCCCAGAGAGACGTGGTTCTCTCAAACCGGTGAAGGGCAGTGATGGGCTGCTGGTAGTACACTCGGTGTACGGGGGTACGGTACCCCTTGAACGTTTGATGAGTTCTGGGGCGCTGATACGCCGCCGGAACGTCGCTTGGCATAGCGACATCCGACTGCACTCTATGTCAGAGTGGCGGTCATGGGCTGGTCCTTGATGGACTAGCCTTTGGTACGGTAGTATCAATGGTCCTCAACGGACCTGAACGTTTCGGCTCGATGAGCTCGCGCACCGCGGTGTCGCTCGCAGTTCTCGCCATGAACAACATGGCTGTGCCGAACATAAGGCACAGCCCGGACTTTGGTGTGGCAAGGCTGAGAAGGGCCTACCAGTCCAGGTCTATGACGCAGCATTGGTGAGTCATGTTCCCACCTCCGTCATGACTGGGGCGTCTGATACAGACCGCCAGGACGCAGAAGCGTCACGGAGCTGTCAACGCGCCGACAGCTCTGCGTACAGCAAGACCATGCTACGCTGCGGCAATGCCACGGGCATGGGTCTTTTGCCCGGCGTGTGGACCTGCTACACCAGCAGCGTCCAACGCCGAAGGTCGTCGCGCCGTACGGGCTTCGACAGTGGTTATGCCTTTAAGCGCTAACCAGGTGGGTAACTTAGGACCACACGGTCGCCCAGACCTTAACTGAAGAGGAAGGCGCTGAATGCGCTTCCTGTGTGGATAACACAGTACCACACGCAGTCGCCCAGACTATAACTGAAGAGGAAGGCATGACCATGCTTCCTGTGTGGATAACACAGTACCACACGCAGTCGCCCAGACTATAACTGAAGAGGAAGGCATGACCATGCTTCCTGTGTGGGTAACACAGTACCACACGCAGTCGCCCAGACTATAACTGAAGAGGAAGGCATTGTCCATGCTTCCTGTGTGGGTAACACAGTGCCACACGAGGTCTCGAGTGCCTCTGATGTCGTCAACGAGACATCACGACGTGGGTAACGAAGTGCCACGTCACGTCAGCCGCCGCAAGTCGGGTCTGAACCTTGTTCAGGCCGACGTCGCTTCAAGCGACTCGGAGTCCAGGGCCCGGACTCCTCTGACTCGGTCGGTGGACACCAACTCTGTCCGGTGTGTGGGCGGGTCTGCCACACCAGCCGATCCCAACACCGAAGGTCGTCGCGCCGTATGCGCTTCGACAGTGGTGGTGCCTAAGGGCATTCACCAGGTGGGTAACATAGGTCCACACTGCGGGTAACAAGTTCCGCAAGCAGTGAAGCTGCTTAAGGAGACCGACATTCGGTGCTCCGGGCGTGGGTAACAAAGTTCCACGCAAGGTCACTCAGACCATAACTGATAAGGAAGTCGCTGTATGCGCTTCCGGTGTGGGTAACAGAGTTCCACACCCACGGCGAGTAACATAGCGCCGCACACAGAGCCATTGGCTCGAGGCGCGAGGTTGTCTTGGCCTCGCCAGACATGAGCAACTCGCTCGACGTCAAGTCGCGCAGACTCAAACTGCTGACGCGAAGGCTGAATGCCTTCAGTCGACACGGCCGACGCGGTCGGCCATACCGACGCAGTGCACATGGCGGAGAGCCGTTGCGCCTGCCAGTGGCTATTAGAAGCCACGAGAGACTCAGTAGTCTCGAGGTTAAGTGGGGGAGAGGCTCGGAAATACCTTTCCTCCCTGACTTTCCAAGAGGCAGGTAGCCGTCGTGCTGCCAGTGGCTATCACAAGCCACGAGAGACTCAATAGTCTCGAGTGTAAGTGGGGGAGAGGCTCGGAAATACCTTTCCTCCCTGGTCTTGAGGTAAGACCAAGTTCCTTACGGAACCAGGCGTCGATGTACATCGACTGCAGGCTGGAGGCGAACAGCCGGGCTAGAGCTGCGGTAGCTCTAGCCGAACAAGACATAGTGGCGAAGAAAGCCACGGGCGCAAGGTGCCTCGGAATCGCTGAGCGAATCAGCAGTGTTGGGGTTGCAAGCAACCACACACGAGGCGAAGCGCGGGCCTAGTGTAAGTCCCTTGGTCATGAACGACCTGTCGAGTAGGGTGAACGGAACGTCTCACCCGCCGACAAAGCGGTTGCGGTACGTGATGTACGCAACGCGCCGGGTATAATGGGCCGTGGAGCCATAACCCAAGTGTGGTGCACGAGTGCACACACAACTGACCAGGTGGTGGTCGAGGCAAGGCACGCAGTCGTAACTGGTGCCGCGCCGAGCATGACACCGTGGCGACGGCAGCTTGCCTCACCATGGGTTGGTACCCGTGAGTACTCGGTGTCAATGCCAGACACCAACGCCGCAGTGGCATGGTGGTGAGATATGCCCCACCACGGTCGAGTACCATCAAGGTACATGGTGTCTGTGACAGACACTGGTATAGGTGCAAAGAATATGCACCATACCACGACCCGATGCGCTCTGGACGCTGTGAGTCAACGCACGTACCGTGCATCGGCACTGGCTGCTGTCGAGCAACCTGCCAGGAGTTCCACGTAATGAACTCGTCGTGCATGACACACATGAAGTGCACGGAGCACTTATGGTAGCTGTGGTACGTATCGTACACAGCGTGCCTCGTGTACGGTCCCATGGACCTATACACTGTGCTTGCACATGCGTCGTGCATGATGCGAGCACTGGCCATGAATCTGTTCAGGCGACAGCACAGCAGAAGCTGTTGCCGCCAAACATGGCAACCTTGTGGTGGGCGTACCGCACCAAAGGTTAGTACCGTACGGTACATGGTGTCGATGGGAGACACCTACACCACGGTTGTGTACCGTCACGGTACACGGTGTCGATGAAGGACACCTTCGCGCCGTTGGTATGGTGACCAAGACGCGAAGAGAGCGTGGCAAAAGCTCCGCCCGCAAGGATGAATCCTTGCTGGAGCCAAAGGCATGGCCCGAGGTGAGCTGAGAGCTCCCTCTAGTGCTGGGGAAGGTGTTGCCCTTCTCGGTGTCGTCCCTCGCGGGAGACACCATGCTCCGGACGCGTTTGCGAGGACTGTCGTGTCCTCTGGTGCGAACTGTGGGCGAATGTCACACGTTCGGATGCTATTGCACCCTGTGCCAAAGCACTGTGCGCGCGCTAGCGCAGGAGCTAATGCAGCTCTGAGTGTAGGCTTTGCGGCCAACACAGTTGTGAGCATAGGGATGCAAATCCCAATGAGCTTTGGCAGCACAAGTCACTGTGGGTGTGACTGAGAGCCGCGCCAGTCTCGTGGCTGCTCAGTGTGAGAATTCACCTGATGGTGTTTTAATTCTCTCACTTCTGATTGGAGAATCAGTTGTGATTGGAGAATCAGGTGATACTCAGTTAAGTGCGGGAGGATGTAACGGGGTACAATCCAGTGTGCCCCATGTTACATAAAGAGTGACCCGTCACTCTTGTGGACACCTGGTACACGGTACCAGGTGCTCTCGGAGCCAGTCAGTGCATGACTACTTAGCTCCACTATAGGTAACCTCTAGTTTGTATGAGACCCAAGCTTATCTTACTTATAAATACAACAGTCTTAAATCTACTCCTCTAAGTAGCAAACCGTTCCCACTGAGGCCGGGAACACGTGGACTTACGTTCACTCGGGTAGTTAATACCCTTAAGCACTTCCTCTGTGCAAGGTGCTGTGTGACCCCGTCACAGTTAGTGACAGGCTTGAGCAAAACTGACAAAGTAGAACGAGGGAAACGCAAACGACGTAACCGCCCTAAAGCATCTGTAACCGCTCCATATGTCTCTGAGGTGACACAGTTTTTTGATAATTGTGTAAATGACGTCATCCAACAGATAAGACCCAGTTTTTTTATCCCACCCACTTACAAAAAATTCATTACCCACCCACTCAAATCCGAAAAGCTGGGTTTTGGCGAACCCTGCATAGAGGACAACGCCGCCATTTCCAGTGATGTTTTTGTAGGTTATTGGGTCCCTGCCATTGGCTGAATTACCAAAATTTGCAGCCAATTATATCGCGAACATAGATGTCGCCCTGCCAATGTCCCTCCCTAAAATATGGAAAAAATCGAGATTTTTTGGATTTTGGTTCCCGCTCTTTGCGGCCACACAACCGAAGTCGCTTTGCCGCCAACAGAACGCCGCGTATCGGCCTTACTAAGCAAAGCTTATATCTAAACACTAGAGTCATCATGCCGGGCGAGGAGAACAAGGAGTTCGACGACGAATTGGTCGACTACGAGGAGGAAGAGGAGACGACGACGGATGCCTCCAAGGCCGCCGCTGAAGGCAAAGACGCCAAGAAGTAAGCAAAAAGATCTCGATATTGCGAAAAGGGGGGAGTGGGAGCCCGAGAGACGGGAGAGCAGCGCCGAGGAGAGAGAGCGACGCCTAGGGAGAAGACGGCGCTTTCTCGCTCGCCTGCCTGCGTGCGGAGGACCTCTTGAGAGGCCGACTATGCCGTCTTTTGACGCGATCGACGCTCTTACCGGCCGCTCATCCGCCCACCCAGCATCTCTCGGAGAGAGGAGGGTTAAAGCCCAGTTTTTTAACACCTTCTTCTGTATCTGTTCCGGGGGAATCGTGATCGCCGGGGAATCTTGTCAACAGGGGCCATTACGTCGGAATCCACAGTTCCGGTTTCCGTGACTTTATTTTGAAGCCTGAGTGCCTGCGCGCCGTCGTGGACTGCGGTTTTGAGCACCCTTCGGAAGGTGAGATCAGTTGCTTGCCTGGGATTACGGGAAAGATGGGATACCACTCGCTAACAAGTTATAATTCTTCTTTTTTGATACATACAGTCCAGCACGAGTGCATCCCCCAGGCCGTGCTCGGCATGGACATCATTTGCCAGGCCAAGTCGGGTATGGGCAAGACTGCTGTCTTCGTGCTTGCTACTCTGCACCAGGTACGAAACTGCTCTATAAGTCTAGCGGCAGTGCTTTTGCTAATACCATTTTTGCGCCCTAGATCGAGCCTGTCGACGGCCAGATCAGCGTCGTGGTCATGTGCCACACCCGTGAACTGGCATTCCAGATCGCCCACGAGTACGAGCGATTCAGCAAGTACCTGGTGGACGTCAAGACCGGCGTATTCTACGGCGGTACGCCCTGTGACCGTGACCTTCGATGGGTCAGTTGCTCACATTTCTGTTATGGTAGGTGTGCCTATTTCGCAGAACCGCGAGGCTCTGAAGAACAACCCGCCCCACATCCTTGTGGGCACTCCCGGTCGTATCCTCGGTCTGCTTCGTGAGAAGACCCTGAAGCTGGACAAGGTGAAACACTTTGTCATGGACGAATGTGACAAGATGCTTGAGGCCATCGGTAAGTCATGCGAGCAAGTTTGTGGAGTTATCGACTCAAACAGTTGATCCTAATGTGTTTTCCGGGCAGACATGCGTCGCGACATCCAGGAGATCTTCAAGGCCACCCCTCACGACAAGCAGGTGATGATGTTCTCGGCTACCCTGAGCAAGGAGATCCGCCCTGTGTGCCGCAAGTTCTGTCAGGACGTAAGTGAACGATTTGCGTTTGAATGCTCGATTGCACTGAACTAATCGATGCTATGTTGGACTGTTTTACTGTGCAGCCGATGGAGATCTACGTTGACGACGAGACGAAGTTGACGCTTCACGGCCTGCAGCAGTACTACATCAAGCTCGAGGAGTCGGAGAAGAATCGCAAGCTGAACGACCTGCTGGATGCGCTTGAGTTTAACCAGGTAGTGATCTTCGTATCCAAGAAGAACCGTGGACGCGAGCTCAACCGCCTGCTGAACGAGTGCAACTTCCCGTCGATCTGTATCACGGCTGACCTATCTCAGGAGGAACGTATCAAGCGCTACAAGAGCTTCAAGGACTTCCAGAAGCGTATCCTGGTAACTACGGACTTGTTTGGTCGTGGTATGGATATCGAGCGTGTCAACATCGTCGTGAACTACGACTTCCCGAACGACAGCGACCAGTACCTCCACCGTGTGGGCCGTGCCGGTCGTTTCGGTACCAAGGGTCTGTCGATTAGTTTCATCTCGTCGGAGGAGGACACGGAGATGCTGGCCAAGGTGCAGTCGCGTTTCGAGGTAAACATCCCGGAGCTTCCCGACCAAATCGATATCTCCACGTACATGAGCACTTAGGCGTACAGCTCTAGTCATGATGGGGGCGATGCAAAGGGAAGAAACTGGAGAAATAGGCAAGAGATTTGTTCAAACCAACCAACGTCGCGTTTTCAAAGCTTTGCTGCTGCTGCTGCGTGGCTGAATGAATATACCGACTGCGGACGGCGCTTTTAATGACTCGGCTTGCGCTGTTTCTACTGGCGTCGTCCCAAGTCGCCGGTTCCAAGTATTACTCTTTTCTCCGTCGCTTCGTCGACCCATCGATATCCTTCATGCCGCTGAGGTGGCTTTTATACTTTTCGCGAATGCCGTCATTGCGCGCCCACAGCGAATCACGACTGGACGTATCTTGGTCTGCCAGATGCGTGTATTTCGTGCTGTAAATCGAATTGTAAACATAACAAATTGGGGAACATTAGAAATGCTTGAAGCAGAAAGATGCATGGCGTTCGAATAATGTTCGTACCGGCCAGCGCGTCCGAAGTTCTTGACCTGCATCACCGTCGGGAGCATCTCCTTGTTGAACTTGTCTTCGAGCGTGGCTTCTGTGGCATCCCGTTTGCGCACATCGTTCTTTGAGCGGATGCTATCGTCGTCCACGTAAAAAGCACCCTTGTGGTAGTATTTCTGCATGAACTTGAGTTTTTTCTTCTCTTTGGGCTCGTTCTTTTTCAATTTACTGCAATTAAAAAAAAAGACTCAGGAACTGTTAGTCGCCGTGGGGTCTCGATGCCTAAACTGAATAGCAATCTTACGCATCCTCGACTGCACGCTCCTCTTCTGTCATGTTACGTCTTCTTTGAGTTTCTTCTTCCTCCTTTCTATGCTGCTCCTTCCGATCTAGGTCACTACAACGGCAAACACACAGGAAAAGTTTAGACTGCAATTACCAGCAATTACAAATCATCGAAAAAGCCGCATACCGTTTGATCCGACGCATTTCGCGGAGTTCCCAGTCGCGATATTCTTGAGCTGGGTCGAGGCCATCCGTATCATCAGGCATCTCCACGTCAGTCGAGTCATCCTTATCGGCCCCGTCCTGCCCGCGCCGAATTTCCTCTGCAACCAAACGACGAGACTCCATTTTTCGCGCCTCCGTCTTCTCCTGCTCCTGCTTCAGGCGGCGTTCCTCTTCTGCTGCCAGTTCTTCTTGACGTTTCACCGTCCCACGGGCCTTTTTAGGTACGAACACAGGCTTCATTAGCTCTTCACCAGGCTCTGAATCATCTGTGTCGGTCTCATACTCCGAGCTGCTACTGCCGCTGCTGCCAGACTCAGAATCACTGTTTTTGGCCTTAGCCACTGGGGCGGCCACTGTGCTACGCTTCACGATCTGTGGCTCCACAGGCTGCCGCATTCCCTTCTTATCAGATAAAATAGGCTGAGTCTCCTCTTCTTTCTGTGCTTCACGGGCCTTCGCCTTATTGCGTAACATGAGACGACGACGGTCAATGTCTGAGTCATCTTCCTCTTCCGAGCTAGAATCTTGCAACGCCTTGGCGACAGCATCGTCACTCGAACCTATTTCGTCTTCAGAAGATGATGGCGCTCTCTCTCTCCGGCTGTCGTTTGCTGCAGGTTTAGTGGCACTCAGGACCTGCGCCTCCACGCGTTTTCGTCCAGTGCTGATCACTGGAACAGCCTTTTGCTGTGCTTTGGTCTTTGAGAACGCACGCACCTTGCTGTTGGCCGTCACAAAACCGCGGTCTTCCTCATAGCCGTGTGCAAAGTTGGGTACCTGTCCTGCTCGATACCGTGTCACCTTTTTGGATGGATCCACCTTTGGCTTCAGTGGCTTGAACTCCTCGGTTTCCTCTCTTAGTAGAATATGAACAGTAGACAGCGGGTAAACACAGGCGGCAATTGCAAGTAGGAGTATGACGTAGGAGCACGTACTTTGTGTTCGTGTGACGCAGCGATTGCGGGTCGCCTGGAGTATCGTCCGGTAGCAGAAGCCCCAGGTCCTTCTTGGTGAAGAGCGACATTTGTGCAAATGCATGAAAATGTGGTATACATGAAAAACACAAATAACTCATATCAGTAAAGAAAATGAAATCCAAATCAGTGCATGAATTGAAAAGATTAATGATCAACAGGTAGTTTTGTATGTTGCAGAGATTCAATGTTAAGCTCTTAAAAGCTTACACCAGCCGCAGTAGCTTGTGAGGGTATTGCAACTTTGAGCATGGCTAACCAAAGAAATATGACTTGACCAATTGCTTTCTTCGATCGGCTGCCCGAAACGACCGTGATCTTGAAAGGACGCGGTGCGAAACGGAGCTCATCAAACCATATTCCGATAAAAAGCTTGAAGCATTAACGATTCAAACGGCAGCGGCAGCGATGGATGATGGCATGAGCGCAAGTGAACTGCGACAGCGCTACGAGCGCGGGGGAAGTGTCCGCGACAGCGACCTCAGTGCGGCCCAATTGCGGTCTAGATATGCTATCCCTGGCAACAGTACGGACACACAAGCGTGTCACGAACGCGCAGGCACACTTTGTAGTCGAGGCTAATCGGGTAATTTTTGTTGTTGTGTACCTGCAGCTTTCAAGGAGAAGCAGTCCGACTCAAACCCTATAATGATCATCGCGGCGGTTGTTGCTTTGGTGATCCTTGCTGGCGCCGCGTACGCATTCTCGGCTCATTAGCTAAGCAACCACCTATCTCTTTAGCCAAACAACGCAACGACGCTGCTGTGATGTACTTCATGAATATGCTTGAACGACTTCAAGAGTTGTTCACGTCGCAAGGTAGAAAAGAAAGAAGGCCGTTTAATATACCCCCAGCGACCTCAATATTTGTTCCCCAGTTTTCATGAAAGTTTTTTAAACAGCTTTTTTAAAACTGTTTTAAACACTTTTAGTATTTTTTTTTAGAAAAAGCAGATGTGTTTTTCTTAACCTCGTGGCAATTTTCAAGTTGCAAGATGGCGTTTCAGACGCCTACATGTATGTCAGCGCTGGGGCTTCCGCAATCGCGACTCCGTGACCGAGATGCCGCTTCTATGAGTGCCAAGGAAGCTGCGCTGTTCCGGCGGCGGCGTGCTATTGCCGGCGTGGTGCTCGTCGCACTGTGTCTGTGTGTCATGATGACCTGGCGCCTCTCCACGCAACTTCCATCGTCTGCGACGTCCGTGGCTTCTCCAAAGCCCACGCTGCATCATACTATATCGCACGAGGTAGACGAGCAAGAGGATTTGGCCATCAAGCACCAGCAGCGAACGACTCGCGGCTTTCGAGATGAGAAACAGATCGTAGTGGTGCTCACTCATTTTCGAGACAGCGACGCGTGCGCCCAAGCGATCGTTGATGCGCGCGCGACGGCATTCCTCCCGCGAGTCCACTTCCGCGTCTTTGAGGAGCTGTATTTGACGCAGGAGCAGACGTGCGTGCAGCGGCTCTGCGAGCTGAAGCCCAAAGACTGCAAGCAATTGCTTCGATCCGGACAGCTTCGCATGCAAAGGAGAGATGCGTCGGGCGCTCTTGGAACGACCGTTGCTCGATACATAGCAGAAGGGATGGTGGAGCACAAATTCGTGAATGACTTTTACCTTTCGGTGGACCCGGCGGTGGTAGTCTTCACAGAGAACTGGGATCTCGAGCTTCTCAAGGAATGGTATAGCGTGGGAAATGATATGGCTATCCTGAGCGTTGCCCCCAAGGCTATTCAACTGCGTGGTCTAACGAACTCGACTGTACTCGTGCAATGCTCAGCGCGCATCCACTCCAAGTCTTCAGACGCAGTGGTGGAATTTAATGCCCCCGAGCCAATGCCACGTCAAGGAGCTGCGCTTCTGTCGCCGGTGCTGCAGACGCAATACTCGGAAGTGTTTCACTTCGGTCCAACTCGAGCACTTTTCGACGTGCGCTCGGACCCCCACACGCCATTGATCTCGGTCGGCCACGAATACGCGCGAGCGACGCGCTTCTGGACTCGCGGCTACGACTTCTATGCACCTAACGAGGACGTACTGTTTGCTCGATACCAGTGGCAGGAGCCTCCACTTCCGATGGCCTCTGGGGCTATCGGCGACGATACAGACATGCAGCAGCAGAGCAGGAAGGACGAAGCCAACCGGCGTATTCGACGGCTGCTCGGACTGCCAGTGTCAGTCCAGGACAGGCAGCTGGAACAGTCCGATATTTTTGCTCTGGGCAGTCAACGATCTATGGAAGCATGGCAGCAGTTTTCCGGTGTGGATCCTCGCGCTGCCTACAATGAGTCCACGACCAACCAATTCTCGCTCTGCGGTGCAATTGCAAGTGGCAAAGTGCATTACGTGCCCTACTAAGTCATCTTGAAGCTGACAAGGATATGTATACATGTAGTAGACGCTCGTTCGTACTCTAAAACAAAAATATGTAATTGGTGGAAATTGAGGAATTCTATAGACTCAAGAGGTAGTGCTATGATTCGCTAAGAAAACGAAAAAGCTCAGTCATCAGCCAATGAGAATGCTTTCACTATGCCTTAAAGCCCAAACTCGAAATCCCGATCGGTGTGAAGGTGGCGGACGCCAAGGGACGACGATGAACGTCGACGTGGTGCGCCAGAAGCTGGTGGACGGTGACCCGGATGCCGTGCTTAAGGAGCTCGTGGACCTGTACCGGCGAGCTGAGATCCTGCACACGCCGCAGCTGGGACGCATCCTCGAGGCGCTTTTCCCTGTCTGGAAGGGACTACTGCAGACCAAGCTGCCGCCGCAGTTGCGTGCCACAACACAGAACCGCTGCCGCAAGGTGTTATTACAGATATTGAACCGATTGCCGAGCAATGAGGCTCTACGGCCGTACGTGGCACAGCTACTGCAGCTGCTCATGGATGTTTTGCAGAAGGACAACGAGGATAATGCACTCATCGCGCTCAAGACGCTGTTCGATCTGCACCGCAACTACCGCCCAGGCTTGCGCAACGAGGTACAACCGTTCCTGGAACTCGTTCAGCTAATGTACAAGAACTTGGAGCCGACTATGAAGAAGCAGTTCAGTGGCCCGCCAGAGACGCACAAGTCTAACAGTACCGTGTCGGCGGCGACAACACCTACTGCTACAAAAACTTCAGTGTCTTCAGCTGCAGCTAATACGGAAGAAGTGAAGGAAGCTGCAACAAGTGGGACAGAAGCCGCGAGTGCCGCTACGACGGAATCGACTCAATCTGAGGCACAGGCACCTCAAACAACGGAGAGTACAAGTGCTGATGAGACTAGCACAAAAACAGCAGCAACAGCAACAGCAACAACAACAGCGACCACGGCAGATCCAACGAAAACAACGCCAGAAGCGCCTGCTACCAGCGTTGCTACTGCTTCTGGTAGCGACGCCATGACGGATGAGCCCATCTGCAGCAACTTGGAATCATTCAAGACTATTTCTGAACTGCCGCTGATCATTATGCTGCTCTTCCAGTGCTATCCAAGCTACATTGAAAGCTATATCCCAGTGCTAGTGCCGTTGATGATGGCAGCTCTGGCATTACGCGCGCCCGACACAGCCGCTACTACCCATCCCTCTCGATATTTGGACTTTTTGGATTGCCAAGTGAAGACGCTGTCTTTTGTGACGTACTTGCTGCGTGGATGTGCTAACCTGATGCGTCCGTTCCAAGATGCTATCTGCGAAAACACTGTGAAGCTTCTTGTCGCCTGCCCAAAAGATGCCTTCGTGTTGCGGAAAGACATTTTTGTGGCTGCGAGACATATCATCTCGACGGATTTTCGGCGGGGATTTTATCCACAACTTGAGCTGCTCATGAATGACGACGTACTTATCGGCAAAGGACGTTGCAGCTTCTATCAGATTCGACCACTGGCATACTCCACGCTAGCAGATATGATTCATCACGTTCGAGACATGCTGACGCTGCCGCAGGTAAGCACCATTGTGGACTTTTACGGCAAGCGTATCCACGACCCGACGCTGCCAATCTCGATACAGACTACTAGTATTCGGCTTCTACTCAACCTCGTCGATATCAGTGCCAAGAATGAGGACACTGACGCATGGAAAGGACGCAATATTCTGTCTCGCATTTTGCTAATTATTTCCGGGAAGTTCGGCACGACACTTGCCAACCTGCCTGTGGCCCTCGCTACGACACTACGCAACAAGTCCAGCGGAGACCGAGGCGATCTATTGGAAGGAGGTGCAATGGATAAAATCAAGCAGTCTAGTCTGCTACCAAAAGAAGTTGTGCAAAAGACGCCGTACGAGAAGAAGCTGGAGAGTCTACTGCTGCCGTACATGCGAGTTCAGCGACCTGCGGATTCTATCTCGGAGGAAGAACCAACTATTCGTGACATTAAGTCACTGCTTCGGACGATGATCCTGGGTATTCGTGCTGTAATTTGGTGTACAGCTAATTATCGAAATCCTCTAGCAAAGGACCTGTCCACCGTTGACGCCACAATAGCAGACGGGAGTGGTATAGCCTCTTTATCGACTTCACAAGGGATTCGATCGGGGCTGAATGTACATTCTATGGACGTTGGAAGTGTTTCTGGTCGCTCGGCTGGAAGTGGAAGTGAACATGTGTATCCTCTGACTGATGACGAACGTCTGCTTATCGCGAAGGTGCTTCGAAACGGACTGCGCTGTTTTATTTTGTACACGTTATCGGAGAACACGTTGTCTGAGGAGAAACAAATGCTGGATCACTTCGCTGGTGCGTTCACCGTTTTAGAAGCAGCAGATTTCAGAGATCTGTTCATCGCAAACATCGAGCTGCTCTATGAGTGTATACTGCAAGATCATGCTATCCTGACGATTCCTCAGCATTTCTTGGCTAACTCAAACGTGAGCTGTTGGTTTGCTGAGATTCTACTAAAGTTTCTGATCACGCAGATGAAGGATCTAAGTGTTGAGGCCGCAGGAGACGTGCCTGATACGAAACGTGTGGATAAGGTGATGGCGATCGAGAACTTGCGGTTTGAAAAGATGCGGCCTGTGCCGCAAGTAGACCGTGCTTCTATCGTACTTCGGTTGTTCAAGATTGTCTTTGGTTCGGTCACATTGTTCAAGTCGAACGAGTCAGCGCTGTTTCCACATTTGCGTACGATTATCGAGTCGTGTTTGAAGCAAGCAACGTTTACGAAGCACTCCGACAATTACTTGTTACTGCTGCGCGCGCTGTTCCGGTCGATCTCGGGCGGAAAGTATGAAAACTTTTACAAGGAGGTCTTCCCGCTGCTGCCGGGTGTGCTATCGGCTTTGATGCGACTACAGAAACATATCGGCAAACCGGCGATGCAAGAAGTTCTTCTGGAGCTGTGCCTGACGATTCCTGCGCGCCTGAGCTCGCTGCTGCAGTACCTTCCGTCTCTTATGAAGTCAGTGGTGCGAGCAATATTGTCGCGTGGTGAACTGGCGTACTTAGGCCTGCGAACACTCGAGTTTTGGGTGGACAATCTGAATCCAGACTTTTTGTATCCGATCATGACTTCCCAGGACCGGCTGTTGACGGAAATAATCGAGGCGCTGAATACGCATCTCATCCCGCCGCCGTATCCGTACGGCGAATTGGCTATGCGGATTTTGGGTAAAATCGGTGGGCGAAATCGTCAGTATCTCATGGATCCGCTAAACCTCGACTACCATGAGCACTCGTTCACGGGGCTAACGTTCACGTTTCAGTGGGGTGGGGATGGTGACAGTATGGATGTTGACATGGAAGGTGATGGTGTCGCACTCGCTTCGGGCGGCAGATTTCCGATGAAGATGGATGTGTTAGTCGCGCAGGCCACCAAAGTACTTCGAACGTATCTGCGACATACATCTGCAGAGCGCAACAACGGCAGTAAAGCTTACTCGCGGCTTGCAGATGTCGATGAGTTTGAGGAAGGCGAAAACCTGGCGAGACCGTCGTTCTTGCTGGAAAAAGACGACAAGACGCTTCAGTTGGAGACAGATACGATGGCGAAAATCCGTGGATCAATTTTGCAGCACAAGCGCTGTGCATTTATGTTTGTTTCTCGCACGGCTGTAGTATCTCTCAATGTTAACTACGCTGATCATGAGGCGGTTGAAGCAGACGCTGGAGACGCAGGTGCTCACCATGTAGAGCCCATGCGGAAGGTGATGTCGCTAGAGGCTTTGCGAGCTACACGCTCGCAGTTACTGGAGGTCTTGTTCGAGACAGTAGTGGATGTTGACGTGGGTACGGAGGCGAGAAAAGTGCTAATGGCTATGGCGGGACACTTGACAGTGCTAGCCTTGGCCAATTGTTCACGCGATTCACCTGACTTCGCTGTGCTATCATCGCTGCATGCGTCAACACTGTATGCAGCGACAAGAGGTTTATCACCTGGACGGCATTTGGCGACAACGAAACGGATCGAAACACTGCGCCAAGCAGCGTACGGTACCTCGAAAATGATGGGAGCAGATGTGACGAACGACTTCTATTCGTTTGTGCAAGCTGTCTTGGATGCGCTGAGCTCGCCTGACCAACACGTCGTGGATGCAGCGAAAGAGGTTGCCACATTTATCGTCAAGACAACCATTGCTCGGTTCGACTCACTGCAGTTGGCCGTGGAGCGCGGAGGTGCATTGTTTAACTGCATGTGTGAAGTCTTTTCGCATGGATGCTACGATAAAGGAAGCTGGCGCCAGAAACTTGGTGGTGCGATTGGACTCCAGCTTCTTGTGAATTTGTTGGAACCTCAGTGGTGTCATGAAAATGAGCTTACTATTGTCAAGGCATTATTCTTCGTACTATCAGATCACCCCCCAGAAGTGAGTGCGACTGTTAGTTCTGAAACTGGTGAGACACTGGTGGATGTGGTGAGGACTGCTTGGAAGGTTCGTTCGGGATACGCGGAGCAGCTTGGTGACGATGATTCCAAGAAAAAAGACTTCATGTCATGCGTTGCCTTCCAGGATACAGAGGTGTTCCAGATGCTTGTGGTGGAGTTCCTGAGTCCAAAGGCGCCAACGCGACAGTATGCCAAGCAGTGCATTAATACGATTGCGTCACTCCAGGAAACTACGGCTTCAGCGTTGCTGTACCCGTACAACCAGCTGATCAGCAAACAGGTCACTGGGTGCAATCTCCGGATGCTGCCCAGCAACACTAGGACAGGTTATGTTGATTCCATGGCGTACGCGTTGTCACTGAAGCCACCAATCTTCTCGTTGACGAAAGAAATTATGGTATTCCTGCAAGAGGTATGGAAGCTGATTTCGGAGGACTCCCAACGCGACGGAGTAACGATGATAGGGGCTGAGAGTCCTAGTAATGCTGGAGGTGCGACGACAGGGATCCCAAGCTCAGGTGTATCGGCTCAGGAGTACCCGTTTGGGCTTTCACAAGCTTGTGAACTGCGTATTGCGGCTGCGAAGCTCCTTCGGTCAGCATTTCTTGCAGCACCCAACGACCTGAATCAGCACCCTGAGTACCGTAATCGCTTCGTGGGTGTGTTTTTCCGATACCTGACCGGTCAGCCCCCAGAACTGGTGCAGGTAGCTCAGGATGCGCTAACGGACGTCATTCAGCTGAACAAGCAGAACAAGGATGTGTTTCTTCCCAAGGAGCTTCTGCAGCAGTGCTTGCGGCCGGTGCTTCTTAATTTGGCAGACTATCGGAAGCTGAACTTGCCGCTACTAGAAGGATTGTCACGTTTGCTGACACTGCTCAGCAGTTGTTTCAACGTTACGCTTGGGGAGAAGCTGTTGGAGCACCTGAAGCAGTGGCGTGATCCAGAGCGTATCATTAAAGCTGGAATTTGGAAGCGAGGTGAGGAGCCTGCCGTTGCAGCAGCGATAGTGGATCTGTTTCACCTGCTACCTCCGAACGATGCGTTCTTGGAGCCACTCATTAATTGCGTGGTGGACCTGGAGGCTGTATTACCGAAGTATGGAAGCTACGGCAAGATGAGCTCACCGTATCGAATTCCTCTGACGCGTTTCTTGAATCGTTACGCGTCCATGACCGTATCATTCTTTCTGAAGCGCGAGCATTTGATTGAAGTAAAGTACTCGTCGCTCTTCCAGCAGCTCGTCAAGCTACCGGAAGCAGCCCCTCTTCACGCAGTCCTTATCGGCAACGGTGGAGCACAGTCGCTGGTAGACGCGACGTTTAATGCAGCGCTAAAGATTAATGCCTCTGGTGTCGGGGAAGTGAAGGGCGGCGTTGATGTGTCAAGTGACGCCAAGATGCAGGCTCAGATTCAACTGAATGCGCAGAAAGCGGCAGCGCAGGCAGTTGCGACCGCCCAAGCCCAAGGGATGACAGCATCTGCGGCGGAGGCTCGCGGTGTGCAAGCTCGTGCGGCGTATGTAGTGAAGGCGCAGGCCCAAGTGAACGCGCAGCAGGCATTGAAGGTGCAGTCTCAAGTTCAGATTCAGGCTAACGCGCAAAAGCTGCACGCGCAGACTCTAGCAGCAGCGCAGGCACAAGGATTGTCGCTGGTTCAAGCCCAAGCTAAAGCTCAGTTCGCCAGCAAAGACTACATCGCCAAAGCCCAGAGTCATATTTCGTCAGCAGCTATGCAAGCTCCGTTGCCTAATCCTGCGATGAGCTCGCTGGTCACGCAGCAGCAAGCCCAGCAGCTGCAAGCTCAAATTCAAGTGAATGCTCAGAAAGTGCATGCTCAAGCACTTGCGACGGCGCAAGCACAGGGATTGAAGCCGATACAAGCGCAGGAAAAGGCGAAGCAAGCGCAAGCGACGTACGTGCACCGTGCGAATGCTCAAGCTCAGGCAAAGATCGCTCGTGCGCAGAGCCAAGGCCTGACGCCATCGCTGGGTTTGGGAAGCAACACAGCTGCTACTAGCGGTGGGCCCTTCGCGTCTAAGGCTCAACAAGAAGCGCTGGAGCTGCATTACCAGGGATTGCGACTTGTTCGATCAATAAGCAAGCTGCATCCGACGTGGTTGGCGTCGCAGACTGTGATAGTCGATGCTTTGCGGAAGCTGTGGCGGTCGTCAGCTCGTGTTCAGCGACTTGTTGCTCAAGATCGCCTGCCGATCAAATTTCATCTCGAATCGAAACTGCTGATCAAGTGCATGATCACATACAGCCGTGCGAAACCAGAAGACGCGCAAGTGCTGTTGGACATGGTGTCTGTGTTCTTGCACCGAACACCCTTCGACTTCAGCTTCCTGCAAACATTCTATCGCGAGGAGGTTGCAACCAAGTACAGCGCTGCAAACAAATGCAACCTCATCCGGTTGTTCCTACGAATGCTTCGCGAACCTGGTGCGTCCGAGGAGCTCAAGGTGCATGCTGTTCAGCTGTTGATCATGCCCGTGCTGACTACATCGTTCGAAGACACGGGCGTGGACAATATCGACGTCATGGACCTCGACACAGTCATGTGGATGCTGCGAGAGATTTTGGCGAGCAAAGAGTATTCACCGGACGCGATGCAGAGTCTCCGAATTGAATTGCTTAAGCTTGGTACGTTGCTCATTCAGCACATGAGCAAATACGTTACGGACCACCGAAAGGAAGTCATCAAGTTTGCATGGAACCATTTGAAGGCACACGATCTGACGTCGAAGCTGTGGGCGTATGTGAATGTGTGTCGCTTCATCTCAGTGTATGATACTCCGCCCAAAATTGTGCTGCAAGTGTATGTCGCACTATTGCGCACACATGAGATGGATGCGCGTTTCCTCGTACGCAAGGCATTCGACATCCTTCTGCCCGCTTTGCCAAGTCGCTTACCGTCCAATGAGTTTATCAAGGCGATCAAGTGGACGAAGAAGATTGCTTACGAAGAAGGCCACGTACTTGGACAGCTTGTGCACATTTGGTTCTTGATTGTTCGACACCCAGCCCTGTTTTATCCGTTCCGCGGCCAGTTCGTTCCTTTGATGGTGAACTCGCTGAACCGCTTGGCGATTCCTCCTAGCAGTACGCCAGACAACCGGAGACTTGCTGTGAATATCGTGGATTTGGTCATTTCGTGGGAGCAGACGCGTCAGGACCGACTGGCGATACGGACAGCTTCTTCGACGCCCAAGACGACTACGCCAAGTGGAGAGTTAAAGCGAAGTCCGTCCGCCATGAGCGCAGCTTCAGAGAAATCCCCAGATGACCACGCTGCAAAGAAGAGGAAAGTAATGACAACTGAAGGAGCTGATACAGCGGAGGCAAAGGTGGTAGATACCCAGTCGAGTACTAAAACGGATGGGTCTACGTCGCTGCAGATTCAAGTGCCAGCACAGACCAGGTCTGGCCAACAGCAAGGACAAACGGCGGCGTCTCCTTCTTCGGAGGCCAATAGAGCTGCAAACAATGAGGACGACTTCGAGCTGAGTGGCGCGATGGTGGATCTGGTGATCAACTTTGCTTTCCGTTTTGCTCTTGCGTCTGCGGATAAGCAGGAGACGAGTCGATTGGCAAAAACTTGCGGTGAGCTGTTCGACAAGGCACTTCGTCTGTGGCCGTCTGCATCGATCCGCTTTTCGCTCTTCGACAAGCTTATCGCTGTCACCGCGGAGACAGTGATTCGGCAACAGCAACAGCTGCAGGCAAGTATGAGCGCTGCTGCGGCGGCTGCTGCTGGAGGAGCAGGACAACAAGTTTCAATTCCGGCACCACCGCCACCGACAGTGATGCCCCCGTTCTTTGTTGTTCCGAAGGGAGCGCCCTTGTCGTCGCTGGCGATTCTGGACGCTGTTCTGGGCATCTTGAACTCCTTAATCACCCCGGAGGTTGTTACCAAGTCTAAGCGTCCAGTACCGTATGTGATTCAGTACGCACCACGTATTATGAAGTTGCTGGAGCCGTGCTTCGACCGCCAGAACCATGAAATCCAAGCGAGCTTGATTAAGTTTCTACGGCGGATGGCGGAGGTACGCACTGCTTTATTGTTCAGGGAACATTCCCAATGTGCTAACCTCTTCATTGTTCTTACTATGCTTGATGTTTGTGCAGCTGTATCCTCCGTCTCGTGCTCCCCAACCTTTGGTTGTGTGCAAGTTCTATCCGTGGCTTCGCGAGATTGTCAACGAGCGACTTGTGAATGCGGCAATCTTCCAGCAAGATGTAGGCGCAGGTGGTGTGGCCTTGTCTGGGGGATCAGGTGCTTTAGCATCAAAGGCCAAGGGGAAAACCGCAACACAGGCTGCTGCTGGAATAAAATCTGAGAAGCAGGGAGGAGCAGGAAGCAATTCTGCGGCGGGTCATGCTGCAGACAAACATCAGAAGGACCCGAGTGGCATCAATCCGTTGATCAACCATGAGGCAGCACGTATGCGCTTGCTGTTTTCGCAACATCCGCGGGTGGTCGTGTCGCCTTCAAGTTTTCCTGGTGAATTTACTCTCAAGTTGCTGAGCGGTCTGGCCGAAATCACTCCTGAGTTCGTGGATCACTTTGCCCCAGCACTGCTAAAGCTGGCGCAGAGATTCACGCGTGAACATCTGATTCAATCGGCGGCTAGCTCGGGTGGAAGTTCTCACGGTGTAAAGCATGGAGGAACCAACGGTACTGCTATGGGTGTGGAAAGTGGACAAGCAGTTGTGGACTCGTTTGGACGCAATCGCGTGATGGCCACGCCGTCGTTGGCAATCGTAAACGAATGGAATCAAATGCAGGCGGGACGATCAAACCTAGCAGTGAATAATGTCGTGCGGCATGTCGTGAAGAAACGCGAGGTTCCAGTAGAGAAGGTTTTGTCGAAGAAGAAGGCCAGTGTCAACGATTCGCTAGGAAATGATGCGGCAAATTCTAAGCCTGGGAACGCGATGAAGAAGAAGTTGGGAACTGCTGTAAACCAAGTCGCAGTGCGAGGTGGGTTTGCTGGCGGCAGTGGCAAAAGGCCGATTGAACTACTTGTCTTGTGCTATGCGCTGTTGGCCAAGTGCACGTTTACAGCTGCTGAGCACCGTCGTCTGTACACGAACTTGCTGGTGCACTGCCTGGAAGGATCATACAACATCCCGCTTCTGCTGCAAATCACGAGGATTGTGGCGAAGATGATTGCTTCTACAGACCCACGTCACCAGGTTTTGTCAACAAAAGACAAGATGACTTTGCTGAGCAAGATGGCGACGTTCGACCGACTGAATGAGATCTCTGCTCTTTCTCTAAATGAGGAGTACTACCAGCTAGTTCTCAAGCTTTGCGAACCACCGTCTGGAGACACTAAACAGCAAGCGCCTCAGCTGCATCTGAGTCCTACGCCTCAGAGTCATAGCCTCACGACGCATTTCATGGCAGGCTTACTTGCTCCATATCCAGCGACACGGGAGAAGTTCCTGCAAATCTTCTTCGCGGTTACTGGTTCTGGGCCCGCCGCACGACTCCAGCTTGTGTTGCGTCAAGATTGGCAAGCTTGTGGAACTAGATACTGGCCTGTGATTGCGATTGAGACGGTAATGGCGGCAATCGCCCCGAGCGCGTCTCCTACTGTTACCACGATGCTGTCTTCAGAGAATGCAACTCGAGGAAACGCTCCAGACGACGGCGACTTCCTGGGGGCCTATGGCCAGGTGAAGACATCAGAGCTCACGTTGGCTTTGCGTGACTTAGCCCATATCGATTTGGAGCTAGCCAAGGAGCTGTGGGTGAATTTGTTCAGCGCAGCGTGGAGATTACTGAAGCAGGCGGATCAAACGCAAGTGTCTAGTCAACTGTTGAAGATTTTGGCCTCTAAGTACAACAAGCGCGATCTGAATGTGCCACTCGGTGCGTCTACGCCCCGTCGCACAAATGTGGTCCAAACTCTGATGAAGGGCATTGTGAGTACTAGCCCAACTGCTCCAGTAATGACACCGGAGCTTGTGCTGCACATTGCATCGGCCTACGACGTGTGGAGCTGTGCTACGAGATTGTGTGAGTTCCAGGTCGAGAAATCTGACTTGAGTGTTGAGAGCAGACTGCGGTGGATTGAGGCCCTCAGTGCTATCTACAAGCAGCTGAGTGAGGATGATCTTCGTATTGGATTGAGTCTTGAAAACATTGCACAGCCCGAGACGCGCACAGCGCTGACTCTGGAAGCGCTTGGCTGTGTGCACGAAGCACAGGAGGAGTATTTCCGCGCATTATCCAAAGCTCAAAGTGCTCGTGTAAGCGTCGAGGATGTGAACCTGTTCGAGCTGAGATTGTGGGAGGAGCGCTGGGTGGGGTGTGCCAAGCAGTTGTGCCAATGGCAGCTCATGAATGACTTTGCCAAGTCGACACAGAATCAAGAACTGCTATTGGACTGTGCGTGGAAACGCGGAGACTGGGCTTCAGCAAAGCAATTGCTATTGGCGCCATCGATGCAGTCGTCGGCAGAGCTCGGATGTCCTCAGACCCGTCTACAGCGGCTGTATATTTCGATCCTTGATGCAGATAAGCGCGGTGCAATCGACACGCTGGCTTCGCAAACTGCCGAGTTGGCGTTGCATCAATGGCAAGGACTGCCGCGTATCCTGTCTCGTGCGCACTTGCCGCTAATGCATTTGTTCCACAAGTTTGTGGAGGTGAAAGAGTCGATCCAGATGATGGAAGATATAAAGTCTGCAAGCGCACAGCACGCATCGCTGCCGAACCTCAAGCCGTCCATTAATACGTGGCGGGAGCGCTTGCCGAACAAGTGGGAGCCTATTCTTCTGTGGGATGATATCCTCACGTGGAGGTCGCACATGTTCCAAGTGGTCAAGACTACGTTTGCGTGGAGTGACGCTCAGGTACTTGCTTGCATGCATGACAGTCCGTGGTCTGTTATCAAGCTTGCGCACACTGCACGTAAGCAACGACTTCCCGATGTGTGCCTCGGTGCTCTAGCAAAGCTGTACTCGGTTCCAGCCATGGACGTACAGGACGCGTTCTCAAAGCTTCGCGAACAAGTGAGTATCTGCTACGAGAGTGCCACGGAGTACTCTGGCGGATTGAGTATTCTGAACACGACCAACCTGGACTACTTCAGCTTGCGACAAAAGGCGGAGATGTTCAGATTGAAGGCACTTTTCTTGGAGGCACAGGGATCTCTTGGTGAAGCCAACAAGACGTTCTCGCATTGCTTGCAGATTTGTGATAGTTACGGCAAAGGATGGCTTTCGTGGGGACATTACTGCTACCGACTGTTTCTCGTGCGGAAAGATCTCGCTTTGGCTTCGCAGACCATCGCATGCTACCTGCAGGCTATTCACCACCGCTGTAACTCAGCACGACTCATGATCGCGCGTGTGTTGTGGCTGCTGAACTTGGACGACCGACGAGGAGTACTTATTCAAGCCTTCGAGACGCACGGAAAGCAGTTGCCGATTTGGATTTGGATCATCTGGATCCCGCAGTTGCTTATGGCACTCGGTCGGCCAGAGGCACCCCAGATTCGAGGTTTGTTACGTGGCCTCTCTGCAAAATTCCCGCAGGCGCTGTATTATACAATGCGAGCATTCTTCCTGGAGAACCGTGACAACGCAATGCTTACCAACCAGCAGTTAGCGTCGGGTGTGTCGCCTTCTGCAAGTGCGTCGTCTCCGGCTGGATCGCGTACGTACTACAGGACCAAGTCGGGACATGTTGTTGGCGTTCCGATCACCATGCCAGTCGCTCAGGTTCAAGAAGTTCCAGGCCTCGTCGGACCCCCTCGACCATCTCCTGCTGCTTTCAACGCATCGCCTAGTGTTGTCTTGACACTGGAAGCTTGGACTGAAAAGATTCGAAGTAACGGCGGCGATGGACATTCGTTGAAGGCTGAAGTTGGTCCCGTGCAGTACACCGAAGACCTGTTGAACTTCTTGCGCAGATCACACGACTCGCTTACGTTTGAAATGGAGTGCATGCTGGAAGAGATGATCACCCGATTCCGACCAGAGCCTGAAGAAGAGCTTCTTACAGCTGTCCACGCGCTGTTATTAAAGTGTTATCAGCTACCGAGACTAACGAAGACGGAACCTGTACCGAAGATGTTGCGTGCTGCACTGGCGAGAGTCTGTCGCAAACTCTTCGTGCTGCTGCCTCACCAGAAGAACGAGAAACATGAGGCATTTGTGGAGGAATTCAAGGCGGCATTTGAACGCGACTTTACACCTCTCGAGGATGACGACACGCAGCAACACGACGGAGCTGCCACGACGCTCTATAATATCATGAACCGTTTGAAGAGATGGAAGGGTCTCTTGCAGTTGCGTGTTAAAAAGGTGGGCAAACGGAACGCTGGTAAGCTGTACCTGGAACAATGCAGCCGTCATTTGATGGAGCTTAGTAGCTCAAACATGGAGGTGCCGGGCCAGTACGTGTCGGACAGTGAGCCCATCAAGGATCTACATGCTCGCATCCAACACTTCAAGAGTACGGTGGATGTTCTACTGCGGAATGGATTTACTCAGCGACGTGTGGCGATGGGCGGTAGTGACGGTCGGACCTACTACTTCTTGGTGCAGTACGCGATGACACACATCACCCGCACAGATGAACGGATGATGCAGATGTATTTGCTACTGAATCGATTGCTACTCCGCCACAAGGAAACCAAGAAGCGCAATACGGTCTTCCACGTGCCAAAGGTGATTCCACTGACGCCGCGAGTACGACTGCTCGAGGACAACCGCGATTTCATCACGCTGGGAGAAATCTACGAGCTGGACTGCCAGATTGAGAACAAGGATCCAGATCTCCCGGTTGAACTCTATCGCGAGCGTGTTAGCGAGGCGTACGCTGCTGTGGGGGCAGGAAACGACTCCAGCAAGCAGGAAGAGGAACGTGTTGCGCAGGCTAAAGCTCGTGCTTTCCATGAAATCTGCAGCGAGCATGTACCTGAGACACTTTTGGCCAAGTACGTGCACGGCATTTCCGAGCACAGCGATGCGTATTTCCAGTTCCGCAGCGAGTTTACTAAGCATCTCGCGCTCTCGAGCTTCCTGTCGTATGCGCTGTTTGTTGGTGACCGCGCCCCACATCGTGTACTGTTCTCACGACGTACAGGTCGCGTGGTGAGCACTGAGTTGCGTCCGGGATATGCGAGTAGTGGAATCTTGGAAGCGGCGACGACGATGCCATTCCGTCTTACGCGTAACCTTCACAGTTTTATGACGCGAGCGGGTGTTCAGGGACCGTTTAGCGTGGGGATGACGGCAGCTGCAGAAGCTCTGATGAGCGAGGAGGACATCCTGAGCAACCAGCTGTGTCTCTTCTTCAGAGACGACTTGCTGTCGTGGCATGCGTCGAAAACCCGACTTCTCTCTCTTGATCCACAAGGCACTGGGCGCACGTCATCGTCTGGCGGATCGTCCGGTGCAGCTTCGCCTGCGCAGCGTCGCGTGGAGTCTCAGGTTCAACAGCGTGTGGAGGCCAATGTGAGTCTCGTGCTCGAGAGGATCCGCGGTGTCTCGCTCAAGAAGGAGAATGTCGAATCTCCGAGAGGAATGAACGTGCAAGAATTGTTGGAGATTGCTACGAGTCCAGAGCGCCAGCAGGATATGTATCCGACGTGGTCCCCATGGCTGTAAGTGATCAATTTGTAGGGTGCGTATTGCATGTGCACAGATTTAAGTTGTGAAAAGCACTTTGACAAACAACCGTGTTGGAATAAATACTACCTACCTCAACGTACAGAGAAATACAAACGCTGATAATCCTGTGCTCGAGCCGCAATCCTGTTGAGCATTGCGTGTGTAAGAGCGATCACAGTCGTCAAGAGCAAAAAGAAGAGAGCCATATCTGTTGGCTCACGCTGGAAAAGCCACCGAGAAAGCACCGCAACGAGAGAAAGAGCGGTCGTGTAACCCAGCGCTTCAGCTAACGAGATGGCACCTTGCACTGTACCAGTCCAACGGCGGGACGATGATCCGAAAGACCCTCGTACTAGATCATGGCATGCTTCCTGGAAGCTCACACGAAAGAGTGCGTCGGACGCACCTAGCAAGATCATGTATGGCGACGTCCAGATGAACGTAAATTCCGAGTGCACAGCTCCACAACTGCGTGACAACACGAAAGGGCTCACCAGTGCTTGACGACGGTAAAGTTCCACCACACTTGATAGAAACACGCTGACAAGGTAGAGCAGCATCGCGAAGCACATTCGTGTCACCGGTGGACACGACGCCAATGATGGAAGCAGCTGCAGAGAGAGCGATTGCTTCCAGGAATTCTGGACAGCGGTCACAGGCGTCCGTGGTGAGAATATATTGGCTTTAATCGACGCAAGTTCGGAGCCGATAGGCTCAGGATTTGGCGGAGTCTTGTTCAGCACTCGAAAGAGACCGATAAAAACCAGAGACGACGTTCCAACCGCAGTGCCCAGCAACTCCGGATTGAAGTATGTACTGATAGTGCCCGGAATCAATAACCGAGTTTGACAAACTTGAGCCAACATGGACGAGTACAGTTGCGCACGTAGGAATGCAACACATCCCGACACACAGATAAAGGCGACCGCAAAAATCGCCAAGTAAAGCTGACGGGAGCGTAAACCTAGACGACGGCTCACGCGAACAAGATGTTTTTTCGTTGGATTCAGTTGCCGTGAGCTCGCAACCATTGTAAGTAGCCAGCCCGTCACGGTAAGCAAGAACGCTACCAAACGAACAGGAAGTGAAAATCGGGTAGCCAGGAGCACCGCCACCAAGGAAAACCCGGCACCAATCAATGTCATTAGCACGAACGCTAGCAGCGCATAGCCCACCAACACGCGGTTGCACAGACGCACCAGATTCGTCCAGCTCCAGGTCCAAATAGTTTCATTTGAAGAGGTGAAACTCTGCTCCAAAGTAGCAAGCTTCCGCTCGAGTTTCTCTTCATCGGTGCAGCCCGTATGCATGTTAGACTCATCACTGTGACTGTAGTTCCACGATTGAAAGCAAAAGTAGATGAGAGATGCCATCAGGCCGAAGCTCATTAGAAGCAAACAGTGAAACCCACGCGAGTCCACAGTCGTCTGTTCATTGTCGGCTGAAAACGTTTCCACATCCACCAACACAAAGTAATATCCCTGCACAAGTGTAGAGCCCGCTAACCTCGCCGCAAAGCAGACAGTAAAGAAATTGTGACTTCCAGAGTCATAATGCTGCTGCTGCTCATCAGACATTGTACTTGAGACATCGGATAGGTATGACGCTTCACTTTCTGCTGAGCTTTCACTTTCTTCTTCGTCTTCGCTGCTACTGCTGCAGTATTCAGGTGAAAGAGGTGTGTGTACAGTCTCTAAGCCAAACAACTTTGATTCTACACCCAAAGCGATCACATTAGGGCACACGATACCGTGTGCGACTCCGGCACACAATAAGCCCGAGACCATACTTACTAGAGACACCAGCGACGACATCTGAAAGGCTGCAACATGAAACGCCAAAACAGCAATACCCCACAGCACAGCAGTGCGCCGTAAAAGTAGCACTCGATCTCGCACGAGATCACCGGCCAAACCGCCGAAGAAATGAATTAAACCAGCAAATGTCCAGCTTAGCAGCAACACTATTCCAAAGGGGTACATGTCGACTTGCAAGAACTGTCGTAGCTCCGAACTGAAGTTAAATATCGCACAATGCAGCACCGCAGTACTGGAAAACAGTATCAAATAGACCACAGACTCATTTATCTGGAAACCAAATTGTGCTTCACGGCTAGCAACGAGAGGACTGGATAATACTTCAAGTTCCAATTTGTGAGCCTCCTCCTCCATGTGCACTTTCAGCTCGAGTTGGCTCTCCGTGCTGCACAATTTGCTCTCAAAGTCTCGCTTTGGTCTGCTCGCGTTCATGCCAGGTACAAAGGAAGCCACGGGTTTTAACGGCGGTAATTTAGGTGTCGAGCTTGATTGGTGCTCAAACGCACTGGCTGCATTCACACCCACATCTACGTGCTCTTCGTCTTGTAATCGTCTCTCTAGATCCCATTTCCGTCTGTTCGCTTCCACTTCATCTGCAGACGGGATAACAGGATTAATTGCGAAAGGGTTCAAACTATCTAGCTTCCGTCTCAGACCACTTTTTAGCTGTACATTCATGGCACCGACTGACGCATCGTGTAGCCTCCTCTCTAGGTCCCATTTACGTCGATTAGCCTCCACCTCGGACGCCGGGGGATCAACAGGCTTGATCGCCATCGTACGAGGGTTCAAAGCCGGTAATTTTCTCGTTTGACAGCTTTGTTCAGATCCGCTAGCAGCATTTACTGGTGCATCGCTTCGGTGTGTTTCATTCAATCGTCGTTCAAGGTCCCATTTCAGTTGATTAGCCTCTACTTCAGCCACAGAGGGGACGGTGGGAGTCATCTTCATCGCAAAAGGATTCAAGCTCTGGAGCTTTCTTCTCAGATCACGTTTGCGATCGGAGCCGCCGATAGAATCCACCGATATTCCACTCGGCACTGAGTCCTGCAATCGTCTCTCCAGGTTCCATTTCCTTCGATTTGCTTTTACCTCAGCCGTGGTAGGAGCAACGGGTCTCACATTGTGCTTCCGTTCTAGTCCACTTGCTTCTTCTGAGTTAATTTTTCGATCGGCATCTTGTAACTTTCTCTCCAAATCCCATTTTCTTCGATTGGCTTCAATCTCACCCCTCGAAGGTGCGAACTCATTACCCGTGGTCTCGAACTCCGCGTCAATCTTGCACTTATCCTTCATCGTAGTACCACCACGCGTTATCTGCAAATGCTTACCTCCACTTTGTGATAACTGTGCTCGTAGCGCCTCAGCGTTCGAAAACCCAGAAAGGAGAGGCAATTTCCGCTTCCCCTTGCGAGCCGATAGTTCGGTTTGCGTTTTGGATACATTCTCCTTGAACTCACTCCAGGTATCTAACTCATCACTATCTCTCCTCTCCGCAAGCGTCATAATGAAGGGCACAGGTGTGTGCATTTGAGCCCAATTGCACGCGTCTGTATCATTGCGCTCGTCCTCCTCATTTGCGCATATAGTGGATCGACAAAGCCACGATTCGCGGTCATCAACGCTGCCATCAGCAGTAAAACTTGAGGCCGCCGAGAGCCTTTCGCTCGTACGGCGAGCCATTTTCCCGCCGTGGTTGAGATGGCCGCGTCGGAAGCGCACTGCTACCGAATTGAGGCTACGAGCCGGCGAGAGTTGTCGAATTTTCTTCTCTTTTTTTCAACTTCGAGATGCTGACTATCTGTTGATTCTCGACGCCACGGCACGACCGGCTAGCTAGTCAGCCGTTCAACAATGTTGCATAACGCTCATGAAGAGACGCGCACTTCATCAAGAAGACGCGACGAACTGCTCAGTTCAGTTCTTGATGAACACCTCCCAGTCGTCAGATATGAAGCAAGTTCGTGTCAAGTGATCTACCAGCACCAGTGGCCCCAGATGGCAATTGCCCACTCGGAGAAAAGCAACGTGTAAGCTTCTTCGGACGCTTATACCCGGACGTACCAGTCTGTTAAACCAGAAACAAATTAGTATCTCTCACTCATCAATCCTTTGACAACCCATTACACACAGCAACTTCTGAACTTACCCCAACCGATGAGAAGCCTCGAAACCCACGACATCAGGCGAAGTATCACGAACACCTCCTTTCTGTGAAGGGAGCACTAGGGTCAAGTCAAAATCGGTGCGTGTAGAGCGGTTCACTACCGTCACACACACCGTGACTGCGCTTCCAACCGCGATATTGGCAGAAAGCGGTGCTACTGCGACCTTCAACACCGAGTCTGGAAGAAGTCGCACGCATTTGAAATCCGCATAGGGTTTCGCGTTTTTCTTCGAGTTCCCCGCTTGCACATACGTCACAAGCTTTTGGACGTCGTCACTTGAGAGAGAGGAGAACGAGCGCGGTGGAGACCACATGATCGTACGATTCTCCGTGATTGTATCCATGGAAACAGCGGCCGCTTGCCAGGACATCGTTAATAAAGTAGTAGATACTGTCGAACGACGAGGTAGGGGCGACTTGTTTTTCTTCTGCGTATTGCTCTTCGCTTGCTTGATATCGTCACCTTCTGGCCCCTCAAGCGCCTCGTCTGGCGTTGTTATCTCTACTGGCTCCAACACGAAGAGAAAGTTGTAGCGTTCTTGAGGTTGCAGCACAACTGGAAACGGCACTTTATCGCCGCTCACGACGCGATAGCGTCTGCCTGACGCTTTTTGTCGTAACGACTGGTCCAGATGGAGATGCAAGTCTCGCACAGCTAACGCCAGCGTCGAGTGAGCGTTTAATACTCGAGCCAAGATTCCCACACGTCGTGTGGCCAGCTCCCGAGTCTCGACCTCAAGTTGCAACGGCTTTGCGACGACAATATGCTGCTCAACACGACGAGTCATTACGGGTGTCGGCTGAGCTTCTTCCCTAGTTAAGGACAATAATTGGGAGGTAGCCCACTCATCTCGAAGGAGTGAGGCCCCTATTGATTCTCTGGGATCGAAAGATCCATGTTTTCCATCATTACTGACGTCTCCAGGAGCGCCAACCACGCTTTTCTTGGGTGTGATGTGCACAATGAGGAGCACTTCTCTTCCCCAGAACTCGTGACGGATTTTAAGGTCGAATTGAGCCTTGAGCTTAGCGCTAGGCACACCTCCGTCCTCTAATTCGTCCACTGACACATGAGAAATCTGAGTTTCCTGTCGAAATAATGTAGTGGAGGACGGAGTGGAGCTACTCGCGTGAGGGTCCGATTCTGAGACTTCCACGACCTGAATTTGCACGCGAGCACCTTCACAATGTTCTCTCCATCGGTGTAGCAATCGTTCTGCAGTTTTGGGGGCTTGGTTCTTGGTAGAATGAGACTTTGAGCTACTGGATAGAGGCGTCACGTCTGCGATCACTTGCACGTTTACGCTCTCTCCTACCAACAGCAATACGATCGCTAATGTTATATAGGCCATACTATGACCTGCACTATCATTCCAGCTATCATAATACCCGCCACTTACCCTGGAAGAGCTCCTCGTCGCGGAGATATAGCTGCAACCGCGCACACCTCCATTCGTCACTCCACGCCTTCATTTATGTCAATTGTTGAAATGTATTCAAATAATGACAATACTATTTATTAGAATTAAAATAATGTCAAATGCTAAAGCTGACAATGCCGAAAATTGCAACTTATCTCCTGATGCTCCGCGTTCTGCTAATTCATTTTTGTTTAACTGTTGGTGACAGGATCCATCTCAATGCAACTACAGTAGCTAGCTATATGGCGTTTTAATCTGCATGATTGAGCTGCGTAGACGAAAAGCAAAAAATATATACTTCAAGTAGCTCCAGGTTGCAGCCCCCTCCCACTCCCTGCATCGTTGGCTTCTTCATTTTCCAGCCGCTTCTTTCGTATCTTCTGGAGATGCTGCAACGCTCACTATCCACCGTCGCACCGAGTGGAAGCGCGCCTTCTAAAGCAGCACACGCCCGCTGGTTACGATCGGTCTGCCCAAACGCCTTATAGGAAGTAGTCCGGAGCCGGCTTCTTTACAGGCACACCACGCGCGTCTTGCGGTGCAGCCTCGAAAATCTGTAGAAAATATCACCAAGCATATGCGTTATGGTTAGCTTCTGATTTTTCGTAAAAAGTCGCTCTATCTCACCTTGAATCGCTGCTCCAGGTTCTCATCGAGCTCCAAGATAGCCGCGACATTGCCGCATCGGTAGCAGTAGTTAGGCGCTGACCAGACCGTCACCAGTGCGTTGTTGAACATGGATTTGTGTCCCTCCATCACGAGCTGATGCGCTCTGCAAATCAGTTGTATATCGTTCGTTTGGTTGAACTGTCATGACACGAGAGTGTTAAATAACGTGTTAGATCACTTGAGATGCAGTGCTATAGGGTACTTTAGGTCCTTCTTTACCTTCTCCACGACGTCTCCGCCGAATAGGTATCCAGCACCACGAGGACTCAGTCCCCAACCGTCAATGTCCTCTGGGTCGGACCACATGAGGTCACACATAGCGCCATCGTGCGGCACTTCCTGCTTACGATCGATGATACGGATCTGGTCGAGCGTATTGATCGACGGAGACAACCCGCCGTGCACGCAGAAGATCTTGTCCTCGATAATAGCTGACAGACTTAAATAATCGAAGATTTCCGTGCAGTATCGCCACACGTTCACCGAGCCGTACTTGCGGAGACACTCGTCGTAGAAGCCATACACTTGCGTGATCTGACGGCTCTCGTGGTTGCCACGGATAAGCGTGATGCGGTCCGGGTACCGCACCTGAGGACACCAGCAGAATAATCCAATGTTAGAAACTTTTCATCACTGCGCGCTCTCTTCAGCTAAGACGCACCTTGAGTGCGAGAAGCAGCAGGAACGTTTCGACACTGTAGAAACCGCGGTCCACAAAGTCTCCCATAAACAGGTAGTTGGTCTCAGGACACTCGCCGCCCACATTAAAGAGCTCCTTGAGGTCGTAGAACTGGCCGTGAATGTCACCGCAGATCTGTTCCCACAGTGAAAAGTGCATGAAATATCAGTTCTCCCCCCTTGTTTTCTTCCTTAAAATCAAGATGTTCCCCCCTACCGTCACGGGGGCGTCGATACGCTGCACATTGCTCTCGTCCACGAGGATCTCGCGCGCCTTCTGGCACAACGCTTTGACCTCCGACTCCTTGAGGTACTCGCAGCGCTTGAGCTGCTCAATCTGCCGGTCCAGCTCGCTTTGACTCGCCGCCATGTTCTGCTGCTTCGTTTATTCGCAACTGTTTTGGTGGCGGGACTCTCCCCAATACAAAAACCGAAGGAAGCTCCCCTGCCCAGCTTTCTCACTGTCTTTGTCTGACCCAATGTCGACCGGTCGTTTTTGCCTATCGAAAAGAATGCAAAACTTTGGAAGAATATACAAAATCATGAAACAGAATAACGGTAACGTTATCGAAATGGGTACATTCTGACATGGTTATCCATGTCTTACGTTCTGGGCCAGAACTTCGAACATGCCAGATTCTGGCATCTTTCGAAGCTTAGTCTTTGGATCCATGCAGCGGCACCTTGACGTGCTCCATAAGGGCTGCCAACTTGAGCTCCGTCTTCTTCCGCTTGGTCTGCTCCTCGCGGATCCACCCCATGTACAAATCGTTGAGGCTCTTTAACTCACGCTCGAGCTTCAAGCGACGCTCCTTCTCCCGACTCAGCCATTCGTTCACGTCGGCCGCGGCAACTGCCTCTTGAGATATCGGAGCATTGATACTCTCATCGGCCTCGGACACTCGAGTCTGCATCAGCTGACGGGACGACAGCTCCACTTGAAGCGAGGCCTTCTTGCGGAGCCATGCTCGCTTCATGCGGCGCGCTTCAACCACTGCACCCGTCGTGTCGGGCACGAACATTTCCACGCACACCTTCACAGTCACCATTGCGTGTTCCATTATAGCCACGGCCACTAGCGACCCGGCAAACGACATTTTCGGGAAAAGTCTGTGCAGGAAACCTGAGTGAAGTCCGAAAATCGCACAATTCGTCATCACCGACAGGTAGCCCAGAGCACTGAAGGCATAGTACCAAGTGCCGATGCCTTGCGTGGACGTTCGATGGCTTCGGCGGAAGCTCACGCAGAGCTTAAAGCCGTCACTTCGGATCTCCATGATGTTGTTAAATAGACTCCACAGCGAGGCAAGAGGATACGCTGCTGCAAATAGCGTCACTTGTCTGCATCACAAAAGGACCAGCGGTCATGGTTAGTGGTGAAAAATACCCGTATCAATTCGCTTGGATACGTAACGTACCCAAACTGCACGAACATCTCCAAGTAGTCATCAAATGTCCCGTCGTAAGTTGGGAACAGGAGCTCCGCGTCAATCTTGTCGACAATCGCGTTCTTGTTGTGAGTTTCCTTAGCCAACTTTCCCGCCTCAGCCTTCAGCGATGACCTCTTGCTCATATAGGGCATCAGCTGCTCCTGCAGATTACCCAGAAGCTGTCTTGTGATCAGCAGAGAGCTTAGCGTTTGCTCCAACAAAACCATATCGCGAGTCTTGAATGCCACGTAGAACAGGAATCCAAAATTGTTCACAAAGTAGAACAACGCTAGCTTCAGCACGCGGGCGTTTGCAAACTACAAGCCAGTGAAAACACACAAGTCAGCCAGTGATTCTGCACAAAACGACATAAAAAATAATGATAACGTACATCACTCTCCGTGCGGTGGTTCTCGAACTGTGTCAGGTAAGACGCGAGCTCGGAATACTTTGCATCCACATACAGCACTACAATGGAGTAGATGATGGAGGGGACAAGGTACACATACTCCCAAAATCCATCCCACCCAGTAGCGGGAATAAACGCAATAGCGAACCATTCCTCCATATAGCAGTACAGGATCATCAACACCGTAACAACCGCCATCGCAGCCATTGTCGCCGAGATCGTCACGAAGTAGCGTTTAGCACGGTCCTTAGTTGAAAAGAAAGTGTAGTAGCATCCCTCGACGGGGTCGAATCGCTTTTCACCGAAAAAATCTGTGCGTGTAGGCTCCAGCGCCAAAGAGTCTGACGTAGAGATGCCCCACTCATTGCGAAGTGTGTTCTCGCGGCGCTTCCAGAACTTCAGAAACGCTGTCGCCCAACTTGTCACCAAAAGTGAATATAATCCACGGCCATAGGCTGCCCAGCTTGGGAAGAAATCAATCACAAAAGTCAACAGCCCCACCGCTGCCAGTGGCATCAGCCACTGTGTGTACATTCCTAGGAAACCGAAGTAAAATCCAACTTCATCACCAAAGTACGACCGCACAGTATTAATCGGTTGTGGCTTGGTCCACTCCTTCACCCACGTTTCTACCAACTCGCTGCGTTCCTTGTCGTCGTGCAATGGGAAGTGGTCCGTTAGGAGCTTCGAATGCATCGCTTGCTGAAGGAGAAGTCCATGTTCTTCATCTTGGAACGGCTCCGGCATCGTATCTACATCATCTCCCACCTTCTCATCTTTGCCATTAGGGCGATAGTAAGTGGGTTGCACTTTCAAGCGTCCCAGCTCAAACAGGAGGAGGTCGATCCGATCTCCGGAAACGAAGCACTCGGGCACCGGCTCCTCGCTCACGTCGCCATACAGAGCTCGCTCTTTCTTCTCCTTGATAGCAACCAACGTTTTGTGCTTGGCACCCAGCAAATAATACGTTTCTTCAGGTTTAGCGTCTTCCTCGGCTTCAACGTGTTCCTGGAGCACGTTCTTGGACTTGGGGACGATGATCAGGTGGCTCTGCTTCTCCACCATCTGCACGAAGAAGTCCACAGCATCCTGCGAGAATTTCTTCGTGTTGAAACACAGCACTACATCAAGATCGTGCTCGGCTTCTCCACGTGGCGCGATTTTCTACATTTCAACCAAGACACGTCAGTTGACATCAAAAGATCTGCTCCTGTTTCAGAATACTCACCACGGGCGTGGCCACGATGAACTTGGTGAGCGTGTAGGCGCTGGCGAGGAAGCCGGCACCTCCGATGGCGCCCTTGATCACAGCATCCGCCACCGTAGACATCGATATTCTGTCTGCGTCCGGTGTGTTGTCTTGTCAGCTGGTCGTTAGTTCGCTTGAGTTTTGGCGTGGGTAAACTTTATCAATTGCGGATCCGAAAGTTGAGGATTCCTTGTGGCAGCAATAACCGTGAAAGATTATGCTTCAATAAGGTTTTGACACCTTAGTGAAACCAAGTGTAGCAACTGGTGGACCAAGTTGCCTTTTTTCAACGCCGATCGGAAATGGCTGAAGTGCCTGGGTCAAGTGAGCAGCCGGAGCCGGAGCAGCTTGCGGCGGTGGACGAGAATCCCGTTGATGAGAGTGCCAATACACTTTCGAAGCGCGCAATGCGCAGGGAGAAGCGTCGTTTGCAGTATGAGGAGCGCAAGGTGGAGAAGAAACTCAAGCGCAAGGAACAGAAGCGCATTAAGAATGCCAGCGGACTTATTCCGCCGCCCAAAGAGCTGGACATGAGCGAAGAGGCCGTACTGCGCCGCAAGGAACGCGCAAACGCTAAACGCGAGGCGTATCTTATGGCTGCAGAAGAAGGCGTCAAGGTCGTGATCGACTGCGAATTCGAAGAGAAGATGACCGACAAGGAGAAGAAGAGCCTCTCGCAGCAGATCATGTGCGTGCGGGCCGTTGGATACAGAGTTTGAGTGGGCCAAGCTAACTTATTTACTTGTTTTTGGCAGGTTCTCCTACGGAGTGAACCGAAAGAGCCGCACACCCATGAAGTACGTGTGCATTTTGCAGTGATTACTTCTGAATATTGGTTCTAACACCGTTTGTGTCTTTTCCAGCGTGTATATTACCTCTTTGCACGGTGATACCAGAAATAATTTGGAGAATATCTGCGGCTTTCACGAGTGGCTGGCGGTACGACCAATGCTGTTTGTTGAAATGGTAAAATTATCCAATTGCTTATCATTGATTGTGCTTTGTAGTTCACTGAGTCGTCGAAGAGCTATATGGATTTCTTCAAGAAGGAATCGCTCGTGTATCTTACAGCAGACTCGCCTAACATCATTACGAAGCTGAGCCGTGACAAGGTGTACATCATTGGCGGTATTGTGGACCGCAACCGTTTGAAGGGTATCACGTACGAGAAGGCGGTGGAACAAGGCATCGAGACTGCTAAACTGCCGCTTGATGCTGTCGTCGAAATGGGCGCTGCTACACGCGTGCTGACTGTCAACCATGGTGCGTCTCGCTGATACTTGGTGTATTGAGCAGGTTCTAACGCTTAGAAAATGTTGTGCACTCCAGTATTCGAAATTCTGGCGCAATTTTCAGAGATAAAGGACTGGGCTCAAGCCACTTTAGCTACGCTTCCGTCGCGCAAGGGTGCCCATTTAAAGCAGGAGTAACAAGGAGTCTGTTAGACCTAAACTACCAAATACAAGTACGTGTAGATGAAGCGATGAACAATACGCATGCATTCTGAAAAATATCAAACTTGCGGCATGTGTCAACTGCGGCTACGCTCCTCTAATATTGCGCAGGGCCATTTCCAAACGCTCTTCTGCCAGCTTCATGTCTTTCACCTGTAAACCATACAAAAAGTGAGTAACCAGTTGCGCCAACAAGCTGTACTTAGTATTGCGTACCTTGAGGGCTGCAACGGCGAATTTGGCGTACTCAATCGCGTCATTGATCTCGTTCTGTGATACGGGAGTATTACGCGTGCAAGCAGGTGTGCTCTGAGGCGTATAACTGGGCGGAGGTTGATATGGCGGTGTTGGAGCAGAAGGAGGCTGGTAGGCTGGTGTTGGAGCAGGAGGTGGTTGGTAGGCTGGTGTTGGAGCAGGAGGTTGTTGGTAGGCTGCTTCTGAAGCAGCGGGTGGAGGTGGGGCTAAGGGGACTGAGTATGCCGGAGAAGGAGGAGCGGCCGGTGCAGAATGGCTCGGGGCTGATGGTGCGGGGGGCGAATGGGTGGCACTAGGTCCGGCCCATGTATTATCAAGTTCACTTGCACTCATCGCACCCGCCGATCTCACCGACTCAGTGAGTGAAGGAAATGATGTTGGGTTGTACGCTGGTTCTGATGGTTGCAGCGGTGGCGTTACCACGGCTGGCGCAGGTGGCTGTGAAGTAGAGGGCTCGGGCGTAGGTGCTGGCGCTGCATCCTCGCTTCCATCTTCTATCTAAATGAACGCACCAAAAATATGTCAGAGATTGAGTGCGTTCGGCGATGCATGTACTCACAATTTTCATGTCCAGACCCTCCGGCGGGCCGGGTGTTGGCGTTTTTCCTTCCTTAATAGCCTTCAATATTGTCGCTGCTTTAAATTTGCAATAGCGACGCTTCTCCACAACCTGAAAGCAACATTATGCATAAGATACCTCCATATCTAGCACTCCCAACAAAGTTCCCTTACGTCCTCGGACAGGTCCCCAAACTGGCTCAGAATGTCGAAAAACGTGCCAGCAGCGTAGAATGTGCGAGCAGTGCTCCTGTCACACTCAACAAAGTAAGCAAAACCAGCTCCGTCTAGTACTCAACATTGTTACTATCACCACGCACTTAGTTGCCATCCCCGCGCGATCCTCATCGTCCGCTTTTGAAAAAATTTCCATCGCAAAATCCTCGCAGATTTCCTATTGCCAGAGAATGCACTCAGCGCCATTGCCCATAACCTCCATATTGCGCTGCCCACTGACCTTCCCTTCCTCCTGCGTAAAGTCTGGCAGCTTGTTCTTCTCCTCTTCCAGGCGGTCCATTAGCGATAGCAAGTAATCTGTCGCCTCGTTGGAGGAGTCGTTCTCGCGCAGCTTAATGCCCAGCTCCATAGCATACTGGCGGCAGAAATACGCAATCAGCTTGGACTCTGGGCGTGATGTGTCCCTATCCAGCTCCTCGGCACGCCGGATGAATGGCAGCAGCGTCTTAAAAGTTGGTGGCACTTTGACGGGTTGCGGATCCATTGTCTTGTTCACGTCTTCTTCGACAAGGTTGAAATGCGGCACTGATTGACCCAGAGTTGTAAAGTTAAAAGCGCCGAAAATCCAGCCGAAATTTCAACCAAGTTTTTTTATTGAGATATTCGCTGCTCGTAACGAAGTTTGAAAGTCGTTTATCCCACATTTTGTCAAAGACTGTAAAAAGATCGGTTTCCAGCGTTTTTTTTCAATGAAGTAGCGCTTCCATTGACGAAATGAAACATATGTAGGCTTCGCACAAATACTTATGCTTTGTAAAGATACCCTAGCCCTACAGACGCCCCTGTACGAACTGCAAATCTCAGCTGCTTCCGACTTACTTGATTTTTGTAAAAGTCTCTGTCTGAAGTAACTTCCGCGTCCAGAAACAACAAAATATGCAACTCTCGATTGCATGTCCAATCGGAGCACTTTGTTCTATTCGTTTTCGCGAGCACAGAAAAGGTGAAAAAAATATTGCATGTGCAAAAAGTTCGAAGGTGAACAAAAATAAGTTGTAGAAGGCCTAAAGGAATTGACAAGATCAAAAGTACTATGTCGTTTTGACGAGACTGAGAGTACTATGTCAGGACTAAAAATACTACAGCAAGACCAAAAATACTGATGAAAGAATATATTACTTGCACTATAGGTGGGTATATTACGACTTAACAACCCGACGCTTCCTGTCCAGGCGAATGCACCATGCTAGCGTATCGATTGTAAGAACATTCAGGTTAAACTCGGCGGTGTCTTTCAGACAGTGCTTCGTGTAGTATGCATTATACATTGTCAGTATAGAATCGGTCGCGTTTTTGGCATCTGAAGCTCCCATTTGAACAGCAAAATCTCTCACATCACTCCCAATCAGCTTGGCAACACTCAGCCGGCTAGCCAAAACACCAATCCGCTTTCTCTCCAAAGCCGTCCACTCAATAACAGGCTTAAATAGGTGGCGGGCGGCGTCAGCGTTCCAGTACATTTTGTACATATCCCTCCAGTTCTTTGCCGGCGGAAGACTTGATATCGGCTCTTTGCAGGATTCACCGACCGTATATTCTTTTCTAGTGCATGCAGTGCGGTGCTCAGTCGGCTGAATCATGGCCACAAGCATGTCGATCTTGTCTTCAATAGCTTTTCTTGATTTTCTTAACGGTTTTTAGTCTCGTTTCGATTGATGAGGGGGGGGGGGGGGGGCGATGGAGCATGAGTCGCTTTGTTACGTTTGCGTCGAGAAAATGTAGTAAGGCGCCCTACATGAGCTTCGCGATCCGGGGCTAAGCTGTCGGCATTTTGGGTGTCTTCATCAGCTGCTGCTTGATCCAAGAGGTATCGCCTAAGGGTTTCTGCTGACTCGTTTTGAGTCCACCCAGTCCACCACTTTACCATGCGAAGTGACCATCGTCGTTTAGGCGGCGCGAACATAAATCTGTACTGGGTGCCAGCGCGGCGGAATGTGTGAGAAGTGAACCAGATACCTTGCCACTGTTGTCGAACGTAGCCCCGGGTGGTCACCCCATTGCGATTGATATCTCGAACTGCACAGTTAAGCAATGTGATGACTGCCTGTTCGGACATCTTCTTACCCCACTCGACCCGTGCATTCTCGCAATATGTATATACAGCGTCTGTTTTGATAACACTCTTCGATATTTTCGATACTGCAGGGAAAATGTAGTCGCCGTCGTCCCACTTGTGATCGACCTTTGTTTCAACGTACGTCAGCCATGTCGTCAGATGAATAAGTACATCCAGCGGACTCTCGCTGTCATCCAGATAATGCATGTTGTAACAGCGGCCTTCAGCAACTTCTGTCTTCCTTCCTTCCTTCAATTTTGTACACGCCATAGCTAATCGAAACTTCGGGATCGGAGGTACTCGGTCGTACAAGGCCCAATGTAACTTTCTTCCACTTGAGACTATGCACTTCATAATCCGGCACATACCGTAGAAAGCAAAAGCGGGGACAGCGAGGAACCACAAATGACTTGCATCCGTGAACCCGGGGGCGCTCTCCAAGTGGGAGTGGAGTACTCGGAGCATATCCACGAAATTGGTGTCGCTTGGCGCTGCGTGAATTCACTGTTCTTGCGCTTCTTCAGTCCGCGCATAAACTGACGGACAAACGCATTCTTGGCTGGATTACCAAGTCCATACTTGTTACCTTGATCGTCTGTGAGTACCATCCACTTGTCAGGTCCTGCTGCGTCTCGACGTTCGTAACCTCCGTAGTAGTATGCTACAGCTACGCGAATCTTCTCTGCGGTTTGGTTGGAAACCGAAGCGGATGCAGAGACACTTTCCATGAAGGCGACTAGTAGAGAAGGTAGCTCGTGATGTCGCGTAAGCGCTGGGTCGGGATACTCATTGGCGATACAAAACTCGCAGAACTTCCTGAAATATGATGCATACACATTCCTTGTGTCCTGCTTAATCACGTGTGTTGCTGTGTCGATACCGCCTTGTAACAGCTCTTGGAATGATGCGGGGTGTCCTGCCATAAATACGATAGACACTGGCTGGGTATATGCTTGTCGTCCAGCCAAAATAACAATGAGCTGCAGAACCAATCATTTAAAGATTCGTACTTTTAGTCTTGTTTAGTATTTAGAGTCTTGTTTAGTACTTAGAGTCTAGTTTAGTACTTAGAGTCTTGTTGTTAGGGGGTAAATCCGATTGGTTAAAATTAAAACAAAAAATATCCCTTAATCTTCTTTTCTTCACTATCCGAATCAAAACCAAACACCTCCCGAAAGCGACGCTCGTCCGTCAGATCCTTCTCCTTTTCCTTCATCTTGTTCTCATATATCTTGTCTTTCTCAATAAAGCCCGCCATATATATCCCTTCAAACTCAGTTAAACTTGCACAATTCTTGCCTTCTTTGAAGCTGTCAATTTCATTATGAATTGGAGCTCTGAGAGCTGCGTTTTGGGCCTGTATCTCATCACAACTGGTAAGCCACCGCTTGACGCGCTCGTTATACGTCGCTCGTAAATAGGCAAGATATTTTTGAAGGCGGACCCTCTCTCCAAAAATAGTATGGGCGTCTGCATCGAGCATTTGTGCCTTGTACTGACCGAATACTTTGCATGTTTCTTGAAGCAAACTCTCAGCAGGCTCTCCTTGAAAATCTGGTGGCATCGAATGGCGCTTGTCAGGATGCAGAAGAAGGTAGGCCTTTCGGAACCACGCCTTTGACAGCAAGTCGATTTCGACATCTAATAATAAAAGGCAGTCAGTGTAAGTGTTTAGCTGAAAGCTTACCGGAATATCTGTACCTGAGCAAAAATGTACTCAAACAGCGGTCCGTTTTGACTTAGCTTCTTAAGGGGGTGTTGTCTTAGCCCTTTCGGCTGTGGCTTGTCAGGGAGAGCGCTGTGCTCCACCTCTCTAAGCTCCTGTTGGAGCGCTGGCATTACTAGATACAAATAGTAAGTACCACAATTGTGTCTAAAATATAAGATACTCACGGAACCTTCGAGTTTCTGGAATAGTTGTGTAGCGCGGCGAGAACGCTGCTCGGAGACGCGCTTGGCGCGGTGCTTAACCCACGACCTCTTGCGAATATCAACCCTGGATTCACGCGCTTTTATCCCCTTGCACTTCTTCGCGTGCTTTGAGAAGTTCGTGCGAGATATCGATCTCTCACACTTCACGCATTCTTTTGTCGTGGCCCTGCCGTACGGCACCTTTGTCGTTTTGTTTTGGAGTATTTGCAGAAATTGCGTCCAGGCTGGCCATTGTTTTTTTAAATGTGATATTCGATGCTGATTGGCTAAAACTATGTTTGCTTGGGCTGTTTTTGAGTTGCGTCAGTGAAAGAAGTCAAGATAAAGCCATTGATACAAATATCAAGTCTAGTGATAGTCGAGGACCGGTTTTTGACCGATATTACTTGCTTCGAAAAACTCAGACGGACCAAGCACTTATGCGTGGACCACGTCATCTGGCTGCTACTTTTCTCCATGCAACTACAGTAGGACGATTCCTACAAGATAGTTGACGCGCCTGGCGGCTGCTGCTGGATCTCGCAGTATGTGACGGGGTCACACAGCACCTTGCCCTAGAGGAAACTGGCTTCCGAGAGTATACAAACTCTCGGTGAGAAGTAGTCTACTGGTCCCTATCGTCTAAGGGAGCGAAGTGACCAAGTTGTAAGCTGAATGTATTTAAAGGAATACTGTGACGGGGTCACACAGCACTTTGCACAGAGGAAGTGCTTAAGGGTATTAACTACCCGAGTGAACGTTAGTCCACGTGTTCCCGGCCTCAAAGAGAACAATTTGCTACTTAAAAGAGTAGATTGAAGACTGATGTTGTAACGGGGTACGTAGCCCTAAGTGTACCCTGGTTATATGAAGTGTGACACGTCATACTTCGGGATATTTGGTACAAAGTACCAAGGTCGTCCAAAGCCAACCATTGGTTTATGACATTGCATTTCTATAGGTGACTTATAGTTTGTATTAAACCCAAGCTTTATCTACCTATATATATACTCAGTTTACATTCTACCTTAAATAGGTCACTTCGCTCTCTTTTGATAAAGAGGGGACCTGTGAACTGCCGTTCACTGAGAGTTTGTATACTCTCGGAAGCTAACTTCCTCTAGCGCAAGGTGCTGTGTGACCCCGTCACACTTGGTGGCACTAGTAGTCAATCCACGCCACCGCAGGTAGACTACCTGAACCTCTCCGAAGCTCGTTGCCATGGATAGGAACGACTTCTCCCATATGAACGACTCTCAGTTCGAGTCGGTTCGGAAGATGGCAGGCATCTTCGGGATGGGGGCCCTGCAGAGCCTGGTGGTGTCAGCACCGGCCGAGCAGGGGCTCATCGCGCATGTGCGGGAGAACCTGCAGGCTCCGGCGGCGGAAGCAAATCCGCCTCACCCGAAGCCAATACGGCTGAAGGTTAAGCTGTATGAAGGGAAGGAAGGCGAGAACCTTCACTTCCGGGTCCGAGAAGTAGAGCTCGCGATGGACGCGGCTCTGATCTCGACCGAGCAATTTCGTGTTGCTTTTGCACTCTCCAACCTTAGCGGCCGTGCTAAGAGTTGGGTGTACACACGGGAGGCAACATCCCCTGGATGTTTCACATCCTGGGCTCAGCTGTGTGAACAGCTCCGAGCCGCGTTCCTACCCGCGAGCTACGAGTACCGCCAGCGTTCGCGCTTCCGCTCGTGCAAAAAAGGGAGGCGTGAGCTGCACGAGTACGTTCAAGAGATACGGGAGCTCACGGCGACCCTAGTGGGAAACCCACTCAACGAACACATCAAGATGACTGTGTTCATGGACGGCCTTCGAGTGGGCCCTGCACGCACTCAGCTGTTCCGGGTGCAGTCAAACACCCTTGAAGAGGCGATCCAAGAAGCTCTCAAAGAAGAGTACAGCCATGACCAGGCGCGTACGCCGGCCTCAGCGTGGCCTGGGAGTTCCTTGTCGGCTTCTGGTCGAACAAGCCCCAACGGACCAGTTCCCATGGAACTCGGGTCCGCCGAACAGCGTGACATCCGCTGCTTCGGCTGCGGGAAGATGGGCCACTTTAAGCGCGACTGTCCCGCTGAAAGACTCCGCAGACGGGCTTTCCCCAAGCCCGTTCTCAAGGGTCGCTGGCAGAAGCCAGGATCCCGGGGACAGGGGAGCGCCGGGAACCAGTAGGGGCGGGGAAGTACTAAGTCTTCGTGATGGGTGCGCGCGTGGCGCGTACGACGGGGACTTAGCCCCTGAGAGTCTTCGCACTCTCGAATCGGCGAAGAGCAGCGGCGGGTTGCTCGTAGTACACGGATGTGTACGGGGATACGATCATCCCTTTAGAATCTCGATCGATTCTGGGGCGTCGAAGAATTTCGCACACCGCCAGACGGCTGCTCGTAACAGCAACAAGTTGTCCGATGCTTTGAGAGAAAGCAAGGACAACGGGACGGTGTCAGTGCGACTGGCCGACGGGAAGGTCGTCACAGTCCCCAACGTCCAAGTGGATCTGGCCGTCAAGTTTGAAGACTTTGACAGCCTCGAACAGCTCACTGTTCTCGATATGGATTCATTTGATATGATTGAGCATGCCCTGGCTTGAGAAGCACGAGCCCTGGATCGACTGGCGAGGCAAGGCAATCGGTGCCAGCCGCCCTGCGCAGTCCGACAGAGCATTAGTGAGTCATGTTCCCACCTCTGTCAGGACCCGGGGCGCCGGCAAGGGTTGCGAGGGTACCAAAGCATCCGGCAGATGCTTGGGAGTCGTCGACGTATATGACGACTCCGAGGATGTTTTGATGGTGGCAGCGCCCAGAAGAGGCGCTGGCAAGGTGGGTAACTTAGGTCCACAAGCGGGTAACTTAGGTCCGCAGACAGCTGCAGCTGTCACGAACACCGAGAACAGCGTGTCCAGAGTGGGTAACAGAGCTCCACACACGGTCGCCCAGACCTTAGCTGAAGCGGAAGACGTCGGATACTCTTTCTTTGTGGGTAACATAGTGCCACACGCGGTCGCCCAGACCTTAACTGAAGAGGAAGGCGTCGAACACGCTTCCTGTGTGGGTACCACAGTCCCACACGAGGCCACGAGTGCCTCGGATGTCGGAGCGCCGACATCCCCAGACGTGAGTAGCAAAGCTCCACGTCACGGTCGCCGTCGACGACGACGCCGCCGCCGCCTCAAGTCGGATCCGAACTTCGTTCAGATCGACGTCGCTTTAAGCGACTCGGAGTCCAGGGCCCGGGCTCCTCCGACAAGGCCGGTGGAAGAGTGTTATCACATCTTCGATGGCGAGACCGGTTTACCCGTCAAGGCATCTGGTGTCCACTTGGAACCGTTGCCAGAGGTTGCAGAGATACTGAACCTCGAGGAAATGACGGTCGAGTCTTTCCTGGCCAACCTCAAGGCTGGAAAGGTTGCCGAGATGGTGCTCATGAGACCTGAGACCACTTGGGAG